CAAAATTTTACATAATATATAGGAAAAATAAAAATCTGATGAAAAACAGCAAGCCGTGATTAATCATTTTTGTTTAGAAGCATTCTCAGGTATTGTAGATCCAAGTTTTTTAAATCCTGATCCTCGGGGGATAGGACAGGGCCACTATTGGCGATCAAAGTTTTACTTGCAAATGTATAAGAAAAATCCTTTTAACCATTCCTCTCAAGAACAGAGAGCAATGATCAGTCATATTTATATGGAAGCATCTTCAGGTAGTGTAGATTCAAGTTTTTTTTTTTTCAAATCATCAAGCTCTTAGGTAAGGTAGGCTACAACAGGTGATTAAAATTTTACATAGGAATAAATAGGACAATCTTTTTTAAAAAAGTTTTTCTGAAGAACAGAAAAAATCATGATTACTCATATTTGTATCCACAGGAAGTGTAGATTCAAGCTTGTCAAATCATGACCTCCGGGGTAGGACGGGGCGACAATATCTGTCAAATTTTGACATAGGAATACATAGGGAAAACATCTGCTGCTGAAGAACAGAAGGGCCTTAGCGATTCATGTGAGCGTTATGGCCCATGGGCTTTTTTTTCTTTCTAATGGAATTTATTAAACTAAGAACTAAACGTATTCCAACACTACTTCTTATTCTACTGCATAGGCTACAGAATATCTGTCAAATCCTACACACTTCCTCAGTATTTTCCACGTGACGTCTTGCATGTCGTATATTGTAAACGTATCACATGTAACTTTGTATTCTATTTAGCGCCTTTAAAATTTGATGGTAGCCTTCCGCTAAAGCATGTCTTTTATATATATATATATATATATATATATATATATATATATATATATATATATATATATACATATTCATTTTGAAGTTGTTATATTGAGCATCTATGAAGAAGACTATTGGGAATTTCATTTGACACTGCCATACATAAACTAAAATTATTTTTGGTTTATTTATAAACATTTTAAATACAATGGTTTTGATAATACTTTTACGAATTACACTGGATAACATGTTGCCAATATAAATTTTGACCATTCCATTTGTATAAAAGTAGAAAACGCAATGATATCTTGCACGATACACAGCTGTTCTACATTCATGTATCCTTAAACATGTTCTTGCCTACCAAATACGTGTCTTGAGCACTCGATTCTTTAAGATCTGAAAATTGAACTGAAAAAGTGGTTGCTTAGTTGATGAACCAAAATTTTCCCTTTTAAAACTCGAGTTGTTCATGTTTCACTATATCCTTTCGTATAAGCAAAATATCTAGCGTTCGTATTTCTGGAGTAAACACTTTTAAATAAAATAGATTCTTTCTTGCTCTATTTTAACTTTTTGCTAGAAAAAAATCAATTAAATAAGTTAACAAGTTATTGAGACATTTTTCAGACATACAATGGACTATAAAATAAACGAATAGTAATCAAGCTCCAAGTATATTGAAACAATACAAATTTGGAGCAGAGCAAACATGGACCTCTAAAAACATCAGAGATGGGATCAAGTGCCATGGAGGAGGAAGCATCCCCTGTCGACCGGTCACACCCGCCGTGTGCTCGGACCAACGGAAAAAAAATCTGTAGACAATTTAGTGTGAAAATAATGGCCTAACAATTTGTATGAAAAACGTCAGTCAACATTCGACTTATTGATAGACTGTATTTGCTGACAAGGTCATTGTATCGACCATGGAACTTGTGAAATGTTGACTTTAAACAAGACTGTTGATATTCTTGTTTCATCAACTTATTTGATAATAGCTTGCCTCGATTTAGAAATTATTTGTAGGTAGAGCATGCTCTTGCGTATCGAATCTACTTGAAGACATAAAACCCATAATCAGGTGATAATGGTATATCGCTACATAAATAAGGGCATTTGACGATAGAAAAGATGAAGTCATAAAGTTTGTTGAACATTAGGTTACCATTAACGTCTTTTTCTGATTAAAATATCCAAAGATGAAACAGATGTATCAGGCTCTGTGGTATCTTTTAATTTATTTCGAGTTCAAAGGGTTATATCGAGTCAACGTAGGAATGGAAAATAAATGTTGTTAATTGATAAAACGTTGTCGATATATTTAATTGTTGAATTGAAGGCCACAGCAAGAGTTCTTTTCATGTAGAAGTTTTTGAATACAAGTATCTTGCAGCCAGCTTCGTTAGTTGAAACAGTAACAAAAGCATGTCATTTTAAATTGGTAATGTATTGACTTCGCTCTCTGATGAAAATTCTCAAATAATTGTAGATCAACTGAGCAAAATGATTTGTAGCATAGTTCTAGGACAATATTTTACCTTCGCAAACGGTTTTTTTTTAAATATCTCTCGGCTCATAGAGTAAGTTCTAGCTGTTTTTTAATTAATTTTCCATTCGTTGGATAAATCGAGTCCGACATGAAAAATGTTTACAAGTGCCTTAAAATTAATTATTAAAGTACCCGGATATTAATTGACTCTCTTTGTGAAATTCAATGATTAACACGTGTCACTATCCCATTAATTATTAATGTTTATTGATTAAAACAAAGGAGCAAAATATTGAACACCAGATTTTACAAAAATATTATTAATATATTTATTTACAGTTTGATTAAATCCTTTACAAAATTGATTTAGCTCCTACTAACCCCCCCCCCCCCTCTACAAAAATCTTTCGTTTTTATAGGTGTCGCTAAAAGTTTTCATTTTTTCTATTATTATCAATACTAAGCTAATTTAATTAAGAGGACAATTAATATTAATATTCAAATGCTTTATCTATTGGACTAGGATATCCCACGGGTAATCATGGTGCTTCATTTAGGTTAGGGTGAATAAACTGCTCACAAAGTACTCCGGAGCATTTGTCAATGTGTTTGATACTGGATATATTGAAGGCAAATATTTTTTTTTTTTCAAAATCCCGATACGGAATCTATTGTAATATAGTACATAATCTATTAAAATAAAATTTTAGTGGTGAATTATTAGTTAAGGAAGATACTCGTATACTTTTATACATTGATTTATATTTGACCAAAATTGATTTGAATGCTTAGAACAAAATTGTCGTTCAATAGATATAATATGGAGATAACGAATAGTATTCAAGCTCAAATTCCATTAAACAATACAAACCGGGTGTAGAGCAAACACGGACCTCCAAAAACATCATAATTATTAGGAGGAGTGAGCATCCCTGTCGACGGTCACACCCGCCGTGTGCTCATGATCGGTAATTAACGGTAAAATATGTCGACAATTTAGTGTGTAAATTATGGCTAACAATTAGTATGAAAAACGTCAATCAGCGTATGACTTAATGATAGATTGTATTTGCTGACAAAGTTATTGTATCGACCATAGAACTTAGGAAATGATGAATTTAAACGAGACTGTTGATATTCTTGTTTCATCAGCTTGTTTTTCAAGAACTCACCTCGTTTTAGAAATTGTTCATACGTAGAGCATGCTCTTGCGTATGGAATCAACTGAGATATATACACCCACCCCAAATGCCGGTATATTGCTGCATAAGTAAGGGATATTGACGATTGAAAAATTAAAGTCACCACTTTTACCATCAAGCTTTGTTGTTATAATACCATTAACGTCTTTTTCTCGTAAAATATCCAAATATGAAACAGATGTGTCAGACTCTGTAGTATCTTTTGTTTCAAGCTCTCTGGGATATATCGTGCCGACATATGAATGGAAATAACTATATTGTTAATTAATAATACGTCGTCGATATATCTAAATGTCGAGTTGAAAGCTACAGTGAGAGATTTCTTTTCTCATGTATAAGATTTTGAATAAATTCTGCTTCATATGAATACAATATTAGGTCTGCTAACAACGGGGCGCAATTGGTACCCAAGGGGATTTCAACAGATTGTAGGAAGACCCTGGTCTCCAAAAACCACATAGATATTGTCAATCAGAAACTTAAGCATCTTTTTAATATCAACTTCAGAGTACTTGTGTGTACAATCAGAATGTTTTTTTTAACAAAATAATTTTGCAAATGACCAATGACAAGGTAAGTAAATTTTCGAGTTCCATTTTAATGAAAAAGCAGCTGTCAATGATGTCAAAAAGCATGGACTTTAATTTATCGTGGGGAATGGTTGTGTACAGAGTTGAAAAGTCGTAAGTTTTTATGTTTATTGATTTTGGTAAAATTTTGTGATTTCGAATTTTCAAAAAGTTCCTTTGAATTTGTATGTATCCACATCTGATTTACACCACTTCTCGAATATATTGTTGCACAGTACTCCTGAAGTTTCTCCTTCACTGCTGTTAATATTTTAGTGAGGAGTAAACCCGCTAAGTATTTTGGTTTGTAAGGATTATTATAAAGTTTAGAAATCCAATATAAATATGGTAATTCAAATTCATTTTGGTTGTTGGGAATATTAAAAATATTTAAAACTGACATGTGATTTTGAAGAATTTCCTCCTTAGAAAGGGAGCTATGTAAGAATTTCCTCCTTAGAAATGAAGCTATGGGTGTAAGTTGGATTGCCGCGTGAAGAATTAAATTCCAGTTCTTCTAAAATACAATTATAATAATGAGTCTTACAAACAAAGGCAATGTTGTTACCTGCTTTGTCAACTGGGACCAGCACATACTGTTCGTATAGTCTATTTAATTCTTTCTTTTTTTTAACTTCTGAATTATTGAACATAGAAGGATAGATGGTTTTATATTGCCCCTCAATCGCTTAATGCGAGATTTTAACATACATCTGATACATTTAATTCATTCTGACAAAGTGTCAAAATCTTCTTTTTCATGTCTGGCCCATCGCCTGGTGTAATCTTCCACAGATTTCATAATATTTATGAAATTATGATTCCAGTTGAAAGATTTGATTTGCACAATTGGTTTGTATCACACAAAGTAATATATTATAAAATAACAACCATAAAAATCTAAAATAACTCAACCTTTTATTGACTAATCTTAAAAAATTATTGTATAAAAGCTATCCAGAGTGTTGCATTGTTTTCATGTAGGGCGCACTTTAACTTGCAATGTTTTTAATTTTTGTTCCTCTAGTTCATTATTTTCAAACAAATGTGCCATTTCATATAATGCAATGAAGTTGTTCACAAACAGAGGAATGATTAAAGCAAGAACTATAACTCCACAAAGAGCACAAAAAGACCCAATAATGCGCCCGACAGCGGTGACCGGATAGAGATCACCATAACCAACAGTTGTCATGGTGATTATTCCCCACCACCACGCCTGTGGAATGCTGGATATGTGCTTCTGTTCGACAAAGTAGAGCACGTTTGCGAAAAAGTTAACCCCGACAAATAAAAATAATATAAGAACCAATATTTCCTTAAAATTTGCTTTGAAGCAGAAAGCGAGTACTTTAATGGCGGCAACATTCTGGACGACGCGAAGCAGACGAAACACGCGAAGTTGCTGAAGATAGACTAATATATCAAGGTCTCCTCTGTCAAAAGTGAAGTCAATCAAAGATTTTTCCAAGGCATATCCCAGAATTCCACAAACCAAGACGATCGTGTCTATCACATTCAGCGCTGACTTGTAATACGAAAATATACTTGGACAAGTTGCAAGTCTTAGGATAAGATCCACACTAAAAACAACCAACACAATCTGGTCAATTAAATCAAACTCTTTCAGACGAGCAGTTTTATTTGGTATTTTAATTTGTTTTAATTTCCACTTGAATTTAAGATCATCGATGTCGTATTCAATCTCTGAAGAAGTGTTCCATTGACTGTTCCACAGTTGTATCGTTTCGTTAAATTTCTCGTCTGTGTAGTATGCATAATCTCCAAGTATGGACTTCAAAGCTTCATCTGCATCATCGTTGCAATGGACATTATGGGAGAGGTATTCTTCTACGTCATCATCGACGTAATGATCGTAAATCATTAAATCACGAGCTTCGCAAATCGTCAGTTTCCGCTGGAACTTCGGTAACGTGCTCAGTGATAGTGAGGCCAATGACAGAAAAACAAAAAGAAGGATGATTCCAAGATAAATCTGCAAAATAGTAAGAAATGCATACTTTAATAGTAAATGTATTAGTTTCAACACTGCAAGAAAGAAAAATGAAACTAAATAGTTTCCCCTATTATGTCAAACCTTGGCTAGAACCGACGATTCTCTATTGTCTATGATAAACCAAAGCCGCTGTCTACACGAGAACTCCCCTGAAATAGTTCCGGGATGCTTGGCCGATGGAATTGTTTCACGAAACTGTCTCGACATCTCTTCCTGTTGCTTAAAACGCAAAAACCTGAAGAAAAACAACAGCATTATATATATACTATATGGATAAAATTCTGAGAATGGTTCTCATCTTCTCAAAACTTATGCCCTAGAATCACTGGCGCTTGTTTTGTATACAGGGCACCCTACTTTTTCTTACCACAAGGTACCTGATTCAATTTCAGACACCCCCACTTTAAACTCGTATTTTATTAATTTATCGATCATAAATCTTCTTTAATCAAACATATTTTGCTTTGAGATATATTTTTTTCTTTTTTAATGAATCATTCCAGACGTCCTTCACCGAGCCTCTTAATTGTAAACCATTCATTTATTCCTATAAAATTATCTTAACACATTTTAAGACTTTACAAAGGACACATTAGCTTCTGGCAAGGCTTATAGCGGGCTGTGATAGATTGCATTAATTGTATACATGTATATATACTTCTGAATTTAGTCATTTAACGCCAAAATTCAGTTTAATTGTGCCAATGACCATGAAGAAATGTCCACTATATATAATACAATGTACCTCATGATAAAAAGAACATTTTTGATAATTTTCTGTATATTAAATCTTGATGAAAAAAGTATTGATATAGAAGATATCATTAAATATCAGTCGGAAACGGAGAGAGTCGGTCCTGGATAAATATAATAAGAATCAAATTTAACGTAAATCACTGTAAAGTAATTAACAAAACAGATGTTTAATTATCCTTTTATTCCTTCTGAAATCGTTTTAATAGCTTAAATTAATGGCATTATTGATAGCTTCGAATGAATGATTTTCAGTCCATATACGAGGGGTTTATCAAAAAGTTCGTGGACTGAGGCGCCGAGTGAGGATGAGATATAACAATTTTCGTTTCATAAGCACTACTATGGTAACTGCTTTTTAATACAGTATTTACATATTTTACTTCCGTGAAATGGATTGATGAAAAACATCAATTTGGCTAAGATTGTATTTGTCCAACAAAAACACAATTTCTATTCATACCGTCAGATTGGGCCTTCTTCCATTTATGTCAGCTCGATATATCCCTGTGAAATTGAAATAAAAGATACCGTGCAGAGTCTGACCTATCTGTTTCATATTTAGATATTTTACTAGAAAAAGACGTTAATGGTAACCTAACAAAAAATTATGATAAACGTAATGACTTCAACTTTGTATCCTCAACTTCCTTTTTTATGTAGCAATATACATGTACCCTTATCAATTGCATATGGAGTTTATGCCTCCCAGCTTATTCGATACACAAGAGCATGATCGACGTACAAACAATTTCTAAATGAGGTAAGTTCTTGACAAACAAGTTAATGAAACAAAGATATCAACAGTCTCGTTTAAAGTCATCATTTGGCAAGTTCTGTAGTCGATACAATGACCTTGTCAGCAAATACAATCTATCATTACGTCAAATTCTGACTGACGTTTTCCATACTAATTGTTAGGTCATTATTTTCACACTTTATTGTCTACGAATTTTTTCCTGTTTGCTCGATCATGACAAGGAGCACACGGAGGGTGTGACAGGTCGACAGGGGATGCCTACTCCTCTATAGCACCTGATCCCACGTTTGATGTTTTGTGTTTGCTCTGCTCCCAATTTGTATTGTTTAAATGGATTTTTGGGCTTGATTACCGTTCGTTATCTTCATATTTCATTTTCTGAGAGTTTCTTGATACTTTTATGTTTAAAAATTCCTTAAAATGACATATATTTCAGAGCAATATTTTACAGGTTTAATACCCCTTTTTTAAGTAAAACATTCCTTCTGTATACCAAGCACACTAAAAATATTGGTTTTAGTTTGTAAGAAGAAAATTTAAGATTGGCACAACAACTGAATTTGGACGTTAAATTATATATTTTTATTCTGTCTATACTACACATACACATACATGTCTGGTTTTTTTGAGCTGGAATGTAGTTACTACATTTGTATTATATGTGCTAAAATTACATGTAGTATTTGGACTTAGGATTTGTACTTTGGAATTTAATGGGCTAAGTTCAGATCAAGTTTTTAAACAGTTGTGCTAACATATCAGTAGCTAGACACTCTTAGATTCTTGTATGTAATTTGTATATATTACATGACATGTTTTTTATTATTTCAAAGGAAATATATTGTAAAATAAACCCATAGCAAGTAGGGAATTAATTAAGACAAGGTATTACCATTGCAATGAAAAGTAAAGAAAAATATCAAATAACATTTCGACATAAAGAACTCAAACTGTAAACAATATCATGCTTGATAGTTAATGCCGATGAAAAGGTTCCTACTATGCAGATTACATGTACGTGCATTAACTCGAACAAAATGGTGTATTACATTACATTACATGCATTTAACCTCTAAAGTCATCGACTGTAAAGACTAAAACCATTCCTGGCCTTATACATGCAATAGATCTTTTCTTATATATATACGAGGGGTTATCAAAAAGTTCGTGGACTAGCGTCATAAAATTAAAACCGCTTAAGATACATCAATGAATTTTTAAACATTAAATAAGCATCTTCTTTTCTATCCGTAAAATAAACTATAAATCATAAGTTTTATTTTTGAGTGAATCGTAAATGTTTTTGTAAGCAATGGTATGTCAAGGCGGCGCAACCTCGAACATGACGTATTTTCTACCTGAGTGTAACTGAGAAAAACTCTTCTAATATGAGCATTTGTCATCCGAAATTCCCATTAATTCACTCATGTGATATGACATAATTTTTCCGTAAAAGTTGCAATTTTTACCTGATTCTATATATTCTATGAAATTTTATCGTAAATTTTATAGGGAATGTCCAAACAATATAGGGGTTAAAAATGACGTCGAAAGGGGGTAGGGTGTCATTTTACAACTTTCTATAAAGTTTCAGCCCCTGGAAAACCTGACATAGACCTAGAAAATGTTTAAACAGGCTACAGAGAAATAAAATACATCCAGAGTACTTGTGTTTAAATACCAAGACAGATTCAGCAAGAAAAGAGACACACGGTTAATGTCGATTTGTAGTCAGGGTGTCCAAAGTCAGACACGTCGAAAAGTGACGTTGATCATTGGTTGACATTGAACACCGGCAAGAAAATTATGCAGGCAAATCAAGCGAGGATCTTTTCCAATGTATAGATTTAATATTTACAATATTAATGCATTGAAATCATGTGTTCATAACATTGTAAAGTCATATAAACAAGACGGGTTTAGGTCTTTACTTTACTCAAGAGAATCTCATCAAGATAAGTGTATTGAGGCAAAGGGAGCGGGCATGGAGAAATAATGACGTTGTCGGACGTCATAAAAATAAACGGCGACAGCGCCGGGTGATCATATAATGCTCTTTTTATTTAATGATAATTTGGCAAATTATCAACATATCAAGCTGAAATTTTCAACACTTCTTAAACTTTTGTTGTTTTATGTTCCCTACAAATTTTGTAATCATCAACTACATAGTATTAATTTTATCGCATCAGTCCACGAACTTTTTGATAACCCCTCGTATATTGAAACGATTCTTTATTTAAGATACGTAAATCGCAAGGGAAATCTTTGTTTTACTTTGCTAAAGCCAAACTTAACACACATTTGCAGAGAACTTGTGTGTTTTCTGCAAACGTAATTTGTTTATAAATAAAGTTAGCAAAGTAACATTCGTGTCCCCCCATAGTGCTCTTTTGTGCTGAATCAGAAACTCTGACAATTCTAAATTTGACGACGTATTTTTACGTACTAGTAACTTGACGAGAACGCTTACTTTATATGCGTTTCTATTAAGAAGATACATGTATATTCTTTCAATATAAAATATACAATGTATATGAGAGAGCACGTGAACTTTATCCCAATGTGAAAGAAAATTTGCCAGGCAAAACAAAATCTTTTCTTTCAAATTTTTGTCCAGTATTCTGTCTGATTGGTTGAAATAACGATTTATGTATTTTACCTATATCGACAACATGGTTCCAAAATTTCTGACCGTATTCCCCAATAGTCCATTTCTTCGGCGAATTCTCCGGGACACAAGTTCAAGGGCATATGTAGCTTGCCGGTAAGGTAGAAGTTCCGAATGGCTTTGAAGGAGTCATCTGAGCGGTTGAAGGAAATGTAATGCCCTCTACTTTCCTTCACAAGTTCAGGAAGCATTTGCTCAAGTAACGTTCCCGGATATTTAAGAATATTTTCCTTAGGAATCTCATATCTTGTTCCTGCCACAAAAATTTCAACAAGGGAAGATTTTTCATATTTAGTGTAAGATTGCACATGAACAGGTACTTTCTCTCCCATATTTGTGGTACACAAGTTTTGGATAATAGTTCCACGATCTGCACTTCATCAGAAGTATCGTCAAAGAACGTTTTCACGGGGTTTATTTCAGTTTATTATCCCCATTTTAAACCCGTGGTAAGTATGATAAAAGAGACACCGTATTGATTATTAGTTGAATTATCACATATACGCAGAAATGACAGATGAAATATTGATAAATTCCAAGTACAACACATCCCTATTATTTGCATTGCCTTGGACAAAGTAAAAATCTTGACCACTTAACACTTTTCAATATTAATGTAGTACTGACCAAATAAGCCGATATAATGAAGTTACACCACCTGATTTACCATTTAGCTTTATAACTCCCTCTCTTTCATTTTCTTTTAAAGTGTACTTCTAAAGATAATTCATCTTAACTGTTGACATCTCTGACTGTTGACACCATTCAGTGTGATAATTTGACTTTCGTTCCCTTTGTATGGAAATGAATCTCATAGGAATCGACTCTTTCATTAACATAAATGGAAGAGCGTATTGTTTGCAGTAAAACTCTCCTGGGTTTCTTTCACGGAGTAGCTGCAAACTTGTGGGTCGTTGGTCGGAAAAAAAAATTGGGAGGGACGACTAGAGAGCTATAGTGCCACCCATTGAAAAAAGAGAATATTTATTGTGCACAAAAAAGTGCGCTATTTCTCGATTTATTTCTCCATATACATGTATTTAAACTATCTCAAAATATCACTAACCGTCTTTTCCTAACATATTCTTTTACTATTTCTACAACAAAACATTCCCCATAATCGTTGTTTAAATAGCCCTTCTGGGTCTGAATTTGGTCTAACAAGGCGTACAAAATGCCTATAGCTTTAAATTTATAAAAGTCATATTCATTTTTGTGAATTTAGCATTAAGAGTAATATTCTTATCATTGAAAGAAAAGAAACTCTTCTGCGGAAAATTCTTTTGGCAAAAATCATTTCACACTTTTAAAAAAGATGTGATATTCTTGGGGTTCGATCCCAAGCACTAAAAATCTTGAGTATCAATTTTTCCTTTGAGACTAACACGCTAACCACTATATTGCTCATAACAAATATCGGCATTTAAATCATGTTCGTGATATGACCCTTGACGAAATGGACCAAAAGTTTCTCGGAAAGGTGCGAATCTTTTGTCATGTAAGTGTATTTTAGGTTAGAATGAGTCTTTGCTCCATTTTTACGCATACTTTGAATATAATAAAAATGGAGCGAACAAACACTCATATGAAAAAATTGTTTTAGTATAAAAAATTGATCATTTTTGCTCTCTTTTGTGTATTTATGCTATTTCATAGACGAATTGTTTCAATCTTTGTGAGATTGTTGCGACATGTGGATATTTAACATAAGGTACAAGTTAATGTTAAATGAAATATCAAAGAAAATTTTGATGTAATTGAGATTTAATTTTTCACTTTCATATTTGTCGCACAATAGGCATTTTGCTCGCCTTGTTCGCCAGTCCTCTCTCGTCTATTTAGCTGCCATTTTTGGGTGACGAGACATTTCGGTCCAACACGCTTCGTGCATATGTCAGATATGAGTGTATTTGATATAGGATGAAAGATTTTATTTTTTTGAAATCGAGCTTTCGTGCAGTTGAAGTAAAAATTTGGAGAAATAAATTCAGAACGGTGCGCAACTTTTTGTGCGCAATATATATATATATATATTTTGTTGTTTCAAAACTTTGAAGAAGAAAAAATCTTGATCATGTGTGGATCTGGGGTAGACATTATATATTGTGTAGGTATCGCCTTAGACAACAGGCTAATCCATTGAAAATGTTACTATATATTTCCTATGGATCGCCAGTCAAATGAGCTTGGTACCTATAGGTGTCACTGTGCTTGATCTACTTCAAACTTCATTTGATTTTTTTAGGTACTTCTTGATAAAAAAAAAAAGTCAGATCTCTTCCAAACAAAAAGACTGAAAATGTTGCTAATTCATTTAGGTGATTTTTCTACATATTCTTTAGTGCGTACAGACGATTTCTCATAATACTCAATCCCATCAAGTTGAAGGGTCGACTCGCAGGCACCTCAGGCCTTTCATTTTTTAAAGGTATTTTACATTAATCATAAGTTTTCAATTTTTTTTAGATTGAGTATTCTAAGTGATATCCTCTTTAGTTCACCGAAACTGAGGATTCAAAGAAGCTTTTCTGATCACCTGTTGTTCGTCGTCTGTGTGTGTTTCTGTCTGTGTGTGTTTCCGTCTGTTATCTTTACACATTTTCATTCTTTTCTTCAGATCCATTTCAACCAAACTTGCCAAATACATCCTTGGGTAAAAGTCCAGAACAGGGCGGATGTCTTTAAAAATTTCTTCCCAAGAACCACTGTTCCAGGAAAGATAAAAACTTATGTGAAACATTTCTGATATAGTGTAGATACAAGTTTGTTCAAATCATTGTCCACGGGGTATGGTGGGGCTACAAAGGTGATCAAAGTTTTACCTGGGAATAAAAAGTAAAAGAATCTTCTGAAGGTATCTTCCTCTAAAGAACAGCAAAGTCATGATTTGTCACATTGATATGAAAGCATCCTCAGGTAGTGCAGAATTCAAAATTGTTCAAATCACGGTCCTTGCCGAATGGATTCAAGTTTGGTTAAATCAAAACTCTTTGGGGTTAGGGATGTCCCACAACATGAGATAAATAATTTTCATGGGCATAAACGGGAAAATTAAAGTCTTATAAATTTAATCTGAAGAGAGCAGCCGGGTTGGTGACTTGGGTGAGCGTTTTGGTCCATGGGTTTCTTTTCAATGAATTATAGCTCATTTGTCTTCAGTACACATTATAACAATGTTCAAAATGTTTTCAATAAAAAATTCCGTCAAAACGATTCTTAGCCAAGCTTTTGTTCCGAAGCAAATACTGACTTAAATTTTTAAGCCATTATGAAAGCCGTAGTATTCGATTTTTACTCTGAATTTTTATGGATGATTATTTTCTGATGATGTGATCGGTAATGTGATCGCTCTTCTGAGCCTTGCGTGTTTTAAGTGTTTGCAAATACATGTAATTATAACCACGAACCATTAGTGATGGGAATCCAATGAATTCATAGCTTTTCGTTTCCCATGCTTGAAACTTTTCAATTATATTTTCAGGTATTCTGTTCAACTGATCAAAAGAATACAAATTCAAGAATTCATCAACAAATAATTATGTATTTATGCACTGGTTAAAACTAATTTCGTATTAAAATTTTAACTAGGTAGTAGCTTGCAATTCAAATGAAAATCATCTGAGAAAATGAAATTTAGCCGTAACCTTTTGGTGAGTTCTCTTCTCTTCGGCTTTAACCATGAGATGGGTATCAGAAAATGTGGTGTAAACTATGACCTCGGCTTGCGGGTCAGAGGGCAAACTGATGGTTAGGTCACCTAATAGAGAACAAGTGTCGTCTGTCACAGACTTGGGATTTTTGGCGGTTGATATATACATCATAAGAATCATTGAGGCTTGGTAAGGCGAAACTTTGTTGTAGGTTTTCGTTACCTGGTGTCTTCCTACATCTACTGCTTGGCCTACCTCTACAAGTTTATCAAAAAATCCAGCTTCTAATCGTCCGTCTTGTATAGTTCTGTCAAACGGGACATTTCTTTCGGAAGTTTGAATAGGTTTCACAGCCATGAATCCATAAGTATATTTGCATATTCGTGTTTGTACAGTCAGAGGGGCGTGGCCGTATATGACCGCGCCCTTTAGAATCGCCATAGATGGATGTTCAGGAATAACAATCCGTTTGTCTCTGAAGGTGTCTCTGATGGCTTTCTTTAGAACAGGGGATTCCGAGAATCCTCCAACAAGAAGCAGAGTGGACACATCTCGAGATCCATTTTCCTTAAACATCTCCTTCAGTTTACTTGTGATATTATCTATGGATACTGAAAACAAACTTTTAAAGCGCTCTGGTTGAACTATTAGTCTTCCAGAAGTCCATTCTAAGTCACCATCCATGGTCGACTGTTGGATGACATCCATTAATTTTTCGTCTGATTCGTCTTCGAACATCCTCACCAGAGACTCCGGTACCTTTAGCACCACTTCTTCATCATTTTCAAAAGAAATAAATTGTTTCTTGATTTCAAACTCGCTCATCATTTCCAAATAATCAAAGAATTTTTCATTTTTGAATTTAGTGATAATTGGTGCTCCCACAAGCTTGATGAGGAGATTGAGGAAGGAGCTATTGACTTGGGTCCCTCCCCAGTCCCCACCAACAGGTGGGTGTATCTCTGCGAGTGCCCGGTTCTCTTCAACTTTGTGTGTTACGATATCGACTGTTCCTCCTGTCACATGTAAAAAAAATATTTTAGATCAATAGATGCATAATTTTATCTTTCTTAATTCAACACAAGTGTCATAGCTGATAAAGATGAGTTATTATTATAAGTACCTCCCATGTCTAACACAGTGTATGACGTTCCCGGTGTGATAATTTTTCTACCATCAGGACTCTGATTGTGCATGGACCAACAACAAAGAGAAGCAGCTTCTGGTTCCAGGGCAAGGAGCAACTTGTTCTCATCGATACCCGCCTGCCAAATAGGAGTCACTCCTATACATACTGACGAGGAATTACTAATTAATAAACGCTAAATATTATTCTAATTCAATTTTGAAAATAAACCTGGAATTCTGTTGCTGAGACTCAATAAAATGCTTTTGACGCATACCCTGATTGCAGCCTCTTTCATGAACTCTTTGGCTGGATCAGTCCATATTGCAGGCACTGTAACGACCCACTGTATCTTCTGCATTGCCTCGTCCTTGTCTTTCATGCCTTGTTCCACTAATACGCCCAGCAGATGGTCTTTAAGATACCGTATTGAGCTGGTAAACACGTCCATGGCTTTGATACTTTTGCCCATTTCGTCCTCCAAGATGGAATCCAGGCTGAGGCGATCTTTGCCTTTCTGTAATTTTTTCCAAGATATTTTATCCCTCACACTTACTAAGTAAAATTCAGCCTCAAGTCATCCACATGTGTCCATGACATACGAATAAAATAGTCGGTTATCATAAACGAAAATTATTATTTTTTCTTCATTTCCGAAAAAAATCATTAGATTTCATTACTAAAAATTCAAAATGAGAAATACAGTGACTATGTATCTGGGGCCGTGTTACGCCAGAATTATGTCAACTTTAACTTTGGGCTAGCCTGTCAATACTCTGCAGTAAATGATATGCAAATTATCGTGTAAATTGTTGAAAAATATATATGTTTTAATCGGGTTTTAAATCGACAGTAAACAATGTTTCGCTAGAAATCGTGCTTAGAATTAATTAAATTCTTTCATAGCATCCTGCTAAATTTCCTTATTCACCTCTCCTTGTTCAAAAGGGGGACAACAGTACAACTGACGGAAAAGATAATTATCAAAATGAGACTTTCGGAAATGCTATACATTGTTTTGGAAATTAGCGAATGATTTTTTCGGTAATGATATAAAAATATTTTCGGTAATGATAACAAAAAATTTCGGTATTGCAATATCAATTTTCGATAATGCAAAACTGCGTAAGAGTCCTGTGTTCTTAATTAAAGGATGTAGTTTAATTGTTTGCAATTGGCAACTGATCAAGTATACATTTCTGCATTTGATACATGATTACATACACATTAAATTTTTTTTTTAAGATTTTAGATACAACTATATCAGTAAGAACTAATTTTTGGAATAAAGTTAATTGGACTCAGCGAAATTATACACTTAAATTTACATTTAATTTGCTACGATTGATTTAACAATCCCACTTTTTGTCAGTGCCTCGTATGAAGCGAAGTACCTTGGATTCGGTACTTAGCAAAAACATTTTTGCTAGCTTTTCCTACGTAGCAGCTAGGTTAGCATATCGTTCAAGATCATATCTCTATATCCCAGATTTCATTGTCGTGTTCGAATGGATGACGTACTTGTGTCGGTTGTCTTGTATTGCCTTTGTGTTTTCATTTTTTACTGAATGCAACTAATCTGACAATATAAATATTCAAAATTTAATAATGCTATACTTTCTTGCACTTACATCAACTTCCCTTTGGTGGAGGCGCATTTTGAAATTCCTGAAAAAGTACCAAGATTCATGTTTGTCCCTTAAAACTAGATTCAGGTACTTTTTCTCTGCCTCAAATCCAAACGAGTGAAATGTTTTGTCCTTATCAAACAAAACTGTGGTCGGAGTCTTCATGAACTTATCGCTGGTTCCCGTTCCTGATTTCCAAGCGCTGGTCTTGATGGGTGGGAATTGCTGTTTGAAGTCATTTTTAGAACAATATGCATACCCCGAGTATGTTGTCCCGAAGTCAATCGCGGCTGATATGTCGAACTCGTTCATTGCTGTTTTTGTCGTTAAACCGAAAGCGGAAGTGATATAACAAGATATTGGTAATCGATAATTATATTTTTTAAGATATCTTACCAATTTTATTTCGGTCAGTTAAATCATTGAATTAAAGCGACCCATTTTTAGCTCATCTCAACGAAGTTGGGGGAGTTTATGTAATACCCTCGGCGTCGGCCTCGGTGTGTCGGCTTCAGCGTCCCAGACACAGGCACTTATTTCGTATACGGGGCACCCCTACTTATTTTTACCGCAATAAGTAGGGATGCCCCGCTTATAAGAACAAGTGTGGTAAAAATAAGTAGGGGTGCAACGTATACAAAACAAGTGCCTGTGGTCCCAGGTTAAAGTTTTTGGTGCAGTTTTCTTTACAAGTACTTCTATGCCCTATATTAACCAGAGATGCATGGAGGATGCTTCTAGCATGTTACATTGTACATGTAACAGTCAAGGTTTCAGATGCTGCAATTTCAGCTGAAGAATGACCAGGTAAATGTTTTTGGAGCAGGTTTAAGTTCTTGGAGCAGGTAAAAGCTTTTGGAGCAGGTCTCATTTAAAAGTAACTATAAGCCCTTTATTGACCAAACTTGCATGCAAGATCCATCTAAGGTGCACACTACTGGACTTGCTTCGGATGCTGGATCTGACCTACATTTCCAGATGAGTGACCATGTTTAAGTTTTTGGAGCAGGTCTCATCTCCAAGTAACTATAAGCCCTATATTGACCAAACTTGCATGGATGGTACATCTAAAGATGCACACTACTGGACTTGCTTCAGATGCTGGATCTGACCTACATTTTCCGGATGAGTGACCAGTTTAAAGTTTTTAGAGCAGGTCTCATTTCTAGGTAACTATAAGCCCTATATTGACCAAACTTGCATGGATGATCCATCTAAGGATGCACACTACTGGACTTGCTTCGGATGCAGTATCTGACCTACATTTCGCAGATGAGAGACCAGGTTAAAGTAAACTATAAGGGCTATCTGAACCAAACTTGCATGGATGATGCATCATGGGATGAACACTCTCAAACTTGCTTCAGATGCTGGATATGACTTACATTTTCTGGATGAGTAACTAGTTTAAAGTTTTTAGGTAAGTCCTTTCCCAAGTAACTGCAAGCCCTATCGTACCAAAATTGCAAAAATGTTACATCAAGGGATGCTCACTACTAGATTATTAGTTTGGAAGTTTGCCTTACTTAAAGACAACATTCGTTGAGGTGAGCTCTGTAATCTCTGATTACATATGTTTTATTAATGATTTTGCCATTATAAACTTGAGTTTATTCCGATAGCCTAATACACATGTACAAGTTTGTCAATACAGAGCGCCAAATTACATAAATTAATATTTAATTTAACAGATCTTTAATTGAATGATATCTTTCAATTAATTGATTTACATCTTTAATTATTAATATCCAGCCGGTGTTATGGTTATTCTGATACTTACAAAACTATATAAAACCTCAGATTCCATGAAGTGAAGGAAAATGAGGTTGATTAACACTGGATAATATAGTGGGGGCACATGCCCCCAACCAAAGTTTCCAGAAAATAGATTACATGTGTTGACATATAAATTAAAGAAAAACTGTCATGATATTAAGATGAGCATATTAGAATACGTTGAAAATTGAAATAGATAAATGCATAAAATACAACATTTGGTACAACATGTATTGCAAAGGATCATAACATGGATTTTATACTTTTAAAGAAATCAAAATCATCGGTGAAATGATTTCCTTAAACATCTATTATGCCATCAGGTTTTGATACCAAAAATATTCTTAAGATGTCGTTTAACAGAAATTCTTTCAACCTCTGAAAGTGAAGAAGAATGATTTTGTTTACACGTGAAAATGGCGACCGTGGATCGGCAAAAAATAATGCATTTTCTCTTCCGTTGTTGATGAATACTAAAGAATTGGGGGGGGGGGGGTGGGGGGTTAAAATGACAACATCAGTAGTGAAATGTTTTAAGAATTTTTGGCATAAAATACTCCGAGATATGCTGTTTAGGAAACCAAGTCCAAAAGAGGCGCACATATTGCATGTGTAGCTTTATAATTTTTTTTCATCGAATCGTGCAGCCAATTGTAAACATGTATTTCAGAAAGCAGTTTAGTTTTACAAGATATCATAATTAGAGGGAAGGCAAGATTTAAAATATCTGACTAAAATGATACTCATTATAATTCTATCTTTTTATACTGAGTTTCACACAGTTTTATGAAATTTAAAGATATTGGAAATAATGTGTTATTTTTGTTGTCTTCGTCATTTGCACAGCAAAGTCATTCTGAATCAGAAATCATGCATTTCTGGGGGGGGGGGGGGGGCTAATATTTCCTAAAACTATTTCAACGTCTATTGATTACTACAAAAATGAGAAGACACCCATTGAGTCAAGAGGTGTCATCACACAAAATGAAAGAGGGCATGATAAATTAAAGAGTGTGTGTGTGTGTGACATGATCAAAGACAGGGAGTGATGTATACACAAGAAGTATAAGTAGATGGTCTCAAATCCCAGCTGAGTGACGAGCAAATAAGTTTGACCAGAAGGAAATGTACTTTAATGAGAAATTTTGCACAATTTGATTATCGATATAAAATGTGTTTGTTTTTGGAAGGGTGTAGCTAAGCCTATGAGGGCTAATTATAAGGATAAATTTTACTTCAAAAATCACTAAAATTCAGGAGCTTCGCCCCCTGGGCCCCACAAAGGCTTTGCCCTGGATCCACTGGGGGCCTTAAGGCCCAATACCCCCTGCCTCTGAAAAAACAAGAGGCCCAAGGGCTCTAACTGTAACCTGAGTATAATACAACACTGTGAAGGATCCATAGAAGTATCACCGAGCAGAATTAACCCTTTTTACCAATTTTCTTTTGAACTTTTATTTTGCACTTAAATATATAATTATGTTTTATCAGTTATCTTCATTGAAATTAGTTCTGAATCTTTATTCATTGTTGGACTATGAAACACCGAATTATTTTACTTAATTGCATAGTGACACTCTTTGGACAATTGCTGAGAACTACAAAGGGACAGAGTGTTAATACAACCACTCATTTCTAATACCTTATAAAAACATTCATGTAATTATTTTATTTATCTTTCTTTCATGTCTATCTTATCAAAACTCCTCACAGATTGTAATTTACTCAGCATATGTCATTTTGTCACTCAATTTGCTAATTGTTGTCAAAGAACTCTTTTATATACCAGTATCTGAATTGTATGTGGAAGTTCGGAGGCCTGACGCATTACTGGCCACTTCCGTCTGTGTTCCCCGCATGTATTTCTTGAATGTTAAAATTGTTGACCATCATTAAATTAAATGCTTTTATTAATAAACTCGGAAACTAAATTACCCGTTACTTTGGATTTATGATATGTGATTTCGGGAAGACCCCTAGGAATACGGCAATACTTCTTCCGGCCCACAGCGCCACTCGTTTTACGCCAACATTCCCTCTTACCCGATCAACGACATATAATATTTTTGACCCAAACACGTGGTCATAGAAGTATAAAACAAAATTAACTGATAGACGAAGCAATGTTGCCCAAGAATTTCAAAAATCTGGTAAAAATACCCTTGCTAATTGTAACGTGTGAGACCCGTGTGATCGTCTTGGGATCACACTTGATTTTCCCAAGCCTTAAAGGGATGATAATGAATGCAAAATATACAAATACAATGAACACTTGCCTATTGTGTAAGGTATTCAATATATACCACTTGCCTAGTGCTACAATTCAGTACACAGAGACTTGGCTGTATAATGTAGCTATTTGCAACATGTCACTAATTATAACAAGTCACCCTGGCTCTCTGTGATTCTTTGTTCTCTTTGATAAAGTATAAAACAACTTTATCCAGTCTCTTTGTCCAGTGTACAATTTCAAATTTTGCTAAATATTAAATAATCTTTCTATCAATCTTTTATATTGCTTTCCAGGCAAGAATATGACTTTGAGCATGCTTTGCTCATTTAAACATTCACTTTTATTTTGTTTCTATATATATAACATTCTTTCTTGTATTCTCATTCAATCAAATAACCTGTTAATTAAATTATATACAAAGATTTCTTGATTAACACAATCTAGCAAAGGGGAATAACTCTCATTTGCTTCACTTATTACAATTGTGTACTCTGTTTGCCTCCTAGATACCCAAGAGCAAAGAAAGGGCACATTTACTTATAATAATATCTAATACATGATATTATTGCATTTAGTTTGTTTGTTAAGTACTAAGGGGCAGAGAAGAAGATTGTCAAAGCATAAATGCAATTTTGCTGATTAATCAATAGAGCCCCACCAAAGCACCAGAACTCCTGACCCTGGGACCATGAAATTCACAATTTTGGAAGAGGCACACTTCCTAATCATAGGTATGTACTTAGTTCATCGCCTTAATACCCAGGAGCAGGGGAGAAGATTTTTAAAGAATTAATGCATTTTCTCTATATTATCATTTGAGTCCTGCCCTAACACAAGAACCCCTGACCCAGGGGTCATGAAATTCACAATTTTGGAAGAGGCACTCTTCATCATCATAAATATGTATTTCATTCATTGGCTTAATACCCAGGAGTAGAGGAGGAGATTTTTAAAGAATTAATGCATTTTCACTATATTATCATTAGAGCCCCACCATAACACCAGAACCCCTGACACAGGGGTCATGAAAATCACAATTTTGAAAGAGGCACCTTTCCTCATCATAACTATGTACTTAGTTCATTATCTTAATACCCAGGAGCAGAGAAGAAGATTTTTAAAGAATTAATGCATTTAACTACATAATCATTAAAACCCTGTCCTAACACCTGAACCCCTGACCCTGGGGCCATGAATTTCACAATTTTAGAAGAGGCACCTTTCCTCATCATTATTATTCATATATTCATATTGTTTGTTTTCTTAATTCCCAGGAACAGAGGAGAAGATTTTTTAAGAAATAATGCATTTTCACTATATATTCAACAGAGCCTCGCCCTTGCACCAGAACCCCTGAACCAGGGGCCATAAATTTCAAAATTTTGGTAGAGGGCTCAATGTTCATTACAATCATGCCAACTGTTTCACTGCTTGATGTCCAGGAGTAAAGAGGAAGATTTTTAAAGATTGCATTAATTTTAGTGGTTTTGGCCCCAACCCTCAGGCCCCAGGGGAGTAGGGACCATGAAATTCATAATTTTTGTTCCACTTCACCCATAGATGCTATATGCCAAAATTGGTTGAAATTGGTCAAGCAGTTTCAGAGAAGAGGCTGAAAATGTTTAAATGTTAACACACAATGCACGACGACAGACAAACACAGATAGCAATAGATCACCTGAGTAAACTCGGGTGACCTAAAATTTCATCCTCCAGCTTTTACCAATGAACTGAAATTCTGAATATAAAAATATGTAGATCAACAATCCTCCTTTCAAAAAAAAAAAAAAAAAAATATATATGTATCTCTGTATTTTTATTTTTATACACCTGTTCATAACCAATTCAACATATAAACAACAACAAAACACAATAACCATGCCAACAACTACCGGTATCATAATGTTAGAACATCAATTGCAGATATAACATCAAACAAATATTCTACCAAAGAAAATTAACTGGAATGTCTTTCTATAAGATTTGAGGATTTGTGATTTGCAGAATATTAATTATACTGAAAAAAATTGTCCCAAATGTTATTTTCACTCCCTTGATTTAATTTAAAACTTGAATAATTCATCAAAGAGCATGCACCAGAAAAAGGAAACAGCTTTGAGAGATTCCAAAATGAAATGAAAAGTATAGCATTGTCAATATCATACAGCTGAAGTATGCTCATAATCAATAATCATGACCTATTGACCCTGACCTATAACCCAAACTGTAACTTGTTTAGTGAAGTCATTAAGTTTAATAATTAAGGTCCCATTTCTGCACCACATGAAAATATTGACAAACATATCAATAATATTGACCTTTTGACCCCACTCTTTGCATAGTAGAACCAGACATATCAATCATCTTGATTCAATATCTGGAAGTGTCTCCCTGTTTCCTATCTGTGTAGTGTAGTATTCAACCCTTTCCTGTGTAGTGTAGTATTCAACCCTTTCCTGTGTAGTGTAGTATTCACCTACTAGTATTTCCTTTCTTTTCTGTGTAGTGTAGTATTCAACCCTTTCCTGTGTATTGTAATATTCAACCCTTTCCTGTGTAGTGTAGTATTCAACCCTTTCCTGTGTAGTGTAGTATTCAACCCTTTCCTGTGTAGTGTAGTATTCACCTACTAGTATTTCCTTTCTTTTCTGTGTAGTGTAGTATTCAACCCTTTCCTGTGTATTGTAATATTCAACCCTTTCCTGTGTAGTGTAGTATTCAACCCTTTCCTGTGTAGTGTAGTATTCACCTACTAGTATTTCCTTTCTGTGTAGTGTAGTATTCAACCTTTTCCTGTGTAGTGTAGTATTCAACCCTTTCCTGTGTAGTGTAGTATTCACCTACTAGTATTTCCTTTCTGTGTAGTGTAGTATGCACCCTTTTTTTATCTGTTTAGTGTAATATGCAGCCACTGGGAGCAGAGGAGCTCAAAATATTGCATCAGAAACACATTAAAGTGTACTAACCTTCACCTCTGCTCCTGGGTGACTATGTATACAGACTGAAATAATTGTCTTATATTGTTACTATGAACAATTCAAATATTTGACACCAAACATGAAATTCCTATACAGTTCCAATGTTGATGAAATAATAGTTAACAGCATATTACATATCAGAGATTGAACCACCAAGACCTATGCTATTAATGAATATATTCCAAGATGAAAGTGCTCTTTCAATGGAACACGAACACAAGTTTATCAATCCACCACACAATCATTAAATATTGATAGATTCTCTTACATGATAAACACAACCATATACTGAACTTGAATCAAAGTCAATACACTCAAATACACAAAAAAGCACCACTGTAAAAGAGAAGCAGACATTAAAAGATGTAGAAAGGTAGATCACAGAGTAAAAACTATCCTAAATTCTATGTCAGAAATATTTTATGCTAAAATTACAATCATTAACAAAATCTAAATAAAGATATTTCAGTGTTAAAGACACTATTCAGAATTTCAACATTCGTATGGGTGTTTTTATGAATAAGGCACTATATTAACTGAAACAAAATAGAAGTTTCTTTTATCAAATCATTTACTGTATGGAATACTCTGTCATCAAAGTGTAAATCAATTTTTATTCATAAGAACATTATTTTAGCATAATTATAAAGACGCTCTACTTGTGAAAATTTCATTTTAGGGAATATTTTATTCTTTAGAAATAAAATATGGTGATTTACAGTAGATGTTAATAATCACCTTTTTATTTGTGTGCACCTAATCTAATGCAAAAGGAAAAGAACCAGTAATTCCAAGTATAAATTATTGATCAAATCCATGGTCAGACAAATTTTTCTCTCTCTCTCTCTCTGTAATGTTTCATTGTTGTGTTTTGAATGTTGTTTGTTTGTTTGTTTTTTGTTTTTGTTTTTGTTTTTGTTTTTTTTTTGGGGGGGGGGGGGATGGGGGCACCATGGTTTTATAGGAAATAAAATACAGGTACAATGTAAAAGATTATTCCACTTATTTTACTGCTAGACAGCTGTATTCAAAATAATTTGAGAATGACTTCAAACTGTTTATTTAAAATGAATCAAACTGATTAAAATGCCAGCACTGGCATATGTTTACTGGTATATATAAATGGTTCTGCACACTTCTATCAAAGAGATACATGACTGTATGCAAGTCTAACAAAGATATTCTTTTTCTTAATCAAAAGTAAACTTCCATGTTCTTTGAAAATTCAAAATCTGGTTGTCATCTTCAATTTATTCACAGAAAAAGCAGCTGAATAACAAAAACAAAACCTTGAATTGTTATTTTAAGCTCCATTGCAGTAGTGTTTTGTGTATTTTACTGACTGATGAGGTAGAAGGCAAACACGGCCAGTACAGCGACAGTAACTGAGAGGAAGACAACCTTCCTATGTCTCTGTAGAAATGATGGCTTCTCCTCTTCTTCTGTAGCCTTGTGTTGACGTCTTTTTCGTCCCTTCATCTTTCTCTCATACTCTTCCAATTCTGCTTGCTGCTTTTTCCTTTCCTCTTCTTTTTTCTGTTTTTCTTTATCTTCCTCCAGCTGTGAGGGTAAATATTTGTTTACTAACTTACATACATGTAGATGTAACATATACTTGTAAGTGTTTGTCTTTGTATGCGTATATTTTTTTCACAGCATGTTCGAGTTATCACTTTTTGCACAATACATAAAAAATGTAAGTACATGTACGTGTATATGCTCAATGAATATTTGTTAAGTACATGTAAATGTTATTCTTTATGCTTTCCAAAAAGATTTTGTTAAGATAAATTATATCTGCCATGCAATCCTTCTGTGTACTGTACCTTTTTCTTACGCTCCTTTTCTTGCTGACAAATGTCATCACAGTCCAATTTTTTCCCATCCTTGACCTCTTTACACAGAAAGTCCTTTTTCTTGCGGCGACATTTACAGCGGACTGTGACCTTCTTTTCACATTTTCCAATATTGGGACATTCCCCAGCATGACATACAGCTCCACATGGGTGTCCACACGGCATCTACAAGGTCACCATAAAATACAGTCACCAAAAGTTTTGATCCAAAATAAGCAACATTAAATTTTTATAATTTTTTTAAAATTCAAGACTTCTTTATTTCAATTGCAAAGCAAGATAAATCATAAAATGGAATGCATTCTAAATTTCAAGACCCAAATTTCTAACTCCTCAAATGTATCAAAGTAAGCACCTTTGCTGCATCATATTCAGTACTGCAATATAATAGAAAATGGACAGCAAGAGAAAATTACCAGCTTGGGACACTCCCCACCACAAGACTGCAAGCTTTCTCTTTTCTCTACATTCCTGATCCATTCATCACAGCTGACGTGCTGCACACTAATCTGACAGTGGCACCTCATACGTAACATCTGCTGACAAGGGGGGCAGGGGCCTGGATGACACTTCATAGCTGGGCAAGTGTGGGTACAGCCCTCAGGGCGGGGCTTTTGACAACTTAACTCACATTCTTCACAGTTATCTCCACACTAAAATCAGAATATAGAAGTTTTATAATGATGTTGTTTGGGGATATCATAAACTGTAAAAGAAAGGAAAAACAAGAAGTCTTCGAGCCATTGCTCACTAGTAATACGCCCACTTTGATGTGAATATACATTCTGATGTGACTGTACACAAGTTCAGTTATGGACAGACACAATGATGAACAAGAAGTTGACATCAGATTCGTACAAAAATGAATCCCACCATATTGCAGGCTTAACAAAGAGTGCTTAAATTTCAAGCATCTGCAATCAGAAGTTGCTGAGAAAACTGTGACGAAAAATTTGTTCTGTATGGTACGGACAGACGCACGGATAAACAGGAAGTTGACATCAGATTCGTACAAAAATGATTCCCACCATTTGGCATGCCTAAGCAAAGAGTGTGCTAAAATTTCAAGCATCTGCAATCAGTAGTTGCTGAGAAAACTGTGACGAAAAATTTGTTATGTATGGTACGGACAGACACATGGATAAACAGAAAGTTGACATCGGATTCGTACAAAAATAAATCCCACCATATGGCATACCTAAGCAAAGAATGTGCTAAAATTTCAAGCATCTGCAATCAGTAGTTGCTGAGAAAACTGCGACGAAAAATTTGTTATGTATGGTACAGACAGACACGCAGATGAACAGGAAGTTGACATCAGATTCGTACAAAAACGATTCTCACTATACGGCATGCCTAAACAAAGAATGTGGTAAAATTTCAAGCATCTGCAATCAGTAGTTGCTGAGAAAACTGCGACCAAAATTTGTTATGTATGGTACGGCCAGACGCATGGATAAACAGGAAGTTGACATTGGATTTGTACAAAATTGAATCCCATCATATTGCATGCCTCAACAAAGTGTATGCTAAAATTTCAAACATCTGTGATGAGTAGTTGCTGAGAAAACTGTGACAGAAAATTTGTTACGGACAGACAGACAGACAAACAAGGGTAAAACAGTATACCCCCCTCTACTTCAGAGCAGGGGTACAATAAAAACACACAAAAAGTACCAGTAATAAGTAAGCAGTTAAAACAATTTATAACACTTAAATAGCACCTGTCCAGTAACATGTAAGCAGTCAAAACAATTCATAACACTCAAATAGACCAGAGTTCTCCATCATTTGAAATTTTACTGTGTTGCAGACTTTATGTGAACCACCAATATTCGTGGTATTTTCACAATCAAATTTGCAACTGAACCACTAATCATTATAATTACAAAAGCAAACACACACCTTTTTTGAATCAACAATTCTGTATACAAATTGTATGGTTGTACAGATTAATAAAAAGTAAATTAATGGAATGGATATTTAAAACAATTAAAATTTTTCAATACATGTATAATAATGTACATATACTATAAGACAAACTAACTATAAATCCCCCCCCCCAAACACACAACTTAAAATAATAAGTACGATATAAAAACAAACTGAAAATAATATACTTGTATCACTGTCTACAAGTTGCATGTGTAAATTAAACCTTGATATTTTTCAATTGTATATACAATGTTTATTACATTTTCAACAGTGAAATACTGTGATTTATTCATTGAATAAAAGTGATATCCTCTCACAGTGTGAAAGGATACCAAAGTGATATTCTGTCACAGAGTGAAAGGATATCGAAGTAAGTAAAATATAATTTCTGCCCTGTAACAAGATTGAGATAGAAACTAAACCATCTTGACAGAGATTAAAACTGCCAATTTCTTCCCAAATATGTTGCTAAAATCTATGCTACAATGTTTTCAATCTCACAACTGCGAAGCTATGACTTCTTAACTGCTACAACTATGACGCCACAGCCTATGACAGTGTTAAGAGAAGAGAGAGGCAAAGGGAAAAATCAAAGAAAATGTAATAAACAGAAAATTCAATGTTTTGTAGTTGGATATAGAATTTATTTTGCTCGTGAGACAGGATTTTTTGATATTTTCAAAAAATATCGCGCTTTGCACTCGTGAAAATATCAAAAATCCTGTCCCATTCGTGAAATAAATTCCATATCCAACTACAAAACATTGAATATCCTCTATATACATGTATTTAACTTCATATTTTACACATGCTCTCAGGAACAGAGGAAATTCTGGTAGAGATATACTTTTAGAGGATGCCTTTAAATTCTTCAGCAATATATTTACATTAATGAAATGATTACAGTACAACGTTTGACTCACAGTGCCAACATAATTCTAAAGACGTGGTTCTGAAGTATAAAGACATATATTTATGATAAATTTTTAATTTTCAAATAATATTTAAAAATTCAACTAGCAATTATACGGTTACATGGAAGTGTGAAAACAAATTATTTGTCTTTGTTCCTTCATGCGTAAAGACCAGCGAGAGTCTAGGAGATAATTGAGTATGCAAGGTGAAGCAAGACAGAGTGCCCTAATTAAGAGATATATGTAATTAAGTGCTTTGCCTTAAAAATTGATAGACGGTAGATTTATTTGATTAAAGTTTCAGTTAAAGAGAATTTATGTTCTGATTTTCTGATAATCAGGGATCTTACTGTGTCGCAAAATTTTTACTGTGTTGCATGCATAAAATTTGTAATCGTTACTGTGTCAGGGAAAATTTTACTGTGTCGGCCCCCGACACAGTAAAACAGCTCAAGAAGAACCCTGTAGACATTTAAAAAAAACAGTTCAGAGTAAATTGATGTGGGACTAGAATCTTGTATACTCATGCAAAATACAAGGTATCAGTTACTAGTAAGTCCATGAATATGAAAATTAAAAAAAACACTCATTTAGGAAGCTCAGCATACTTTTATAGTGTCTGGGGCATTAGTAACCAGGTGGCACTCCTTAGAACAGGTGTGATTCCCACATTCCAACTTGCGACCACACTTTCTGCCACATGAGTATTTCCGAACTTCTGAACATGGGAAATTAGAAATCTGTTGACAAAGAAACAAAAGTGTAAACTTGTAATACTGGTGTAACACTTGTATATATACATGATACCCTCTAGCTTTTATTTTTTGTACATGTATTGAATATATGTATGTAAAAAACAGGTATACTGTGGAATTATTAATTTTCATGAGGGTTTAATTTTCATCTTCAAGGCATGAAGAGACCCATAAATTCATGCCCACCATGCAATGTAAAATTTCATATACAAAACTACTCAACACTTTCCCAACCATGAAATCCAATCCCTCCTAACAAATATTTTTTCTTCAAACCTTGAAAATTTGACCCCACAAAAATATGTGATTTCAAAGTATCCACAAGGTATAAATGTCTATTTTCCCTTTCATGAAGTGGTGCAATAACTTCCTCTTACAAATGTTATAATTTCTCATAAAAACCATTCAAAATACTGCAGTCACAAACACTTAAGCTAGTGGAGAAATTTACAGTATACATTTTGCATGCACAAATACTCTAAATTGTAGGTTTGAATGCTGAAACTAAATGGACAGTTAGAGAATATCAATCCTTGTTCCCTATCAAAACATAAATAGAGATTTTAATTATAAATACTGAATAATTTAATTAATTATAAAAAAGTTTTGTAAAAGCTTACCTCATGGAGTCCCAGGCATTGTACAGGGATAGGAAACTGACAAGGTGGGCAAGGCTTACACACTATTTCCTCCTTTATGGTTGGCCTACCTTCCCATGGGCCTGCTCTCACAGTCTGAGGGAAATAATGCCAATAAAATCAAGTTCATAAAGAAAAAAAATCATATATTAACAACTAGAAATATGTCCATAGGACATGAATGCCCCGCCGAGGGTATATTAGTAATGCAATATTTTAACACAAATTGAGAAAAGTGAGGTCAAGGTCAAAGGAAAGGTCAAGGTGAAAAATATTGATGCAGTTGAATAGCTTACATCAGTATGTATCAGCATATGAAGTTTGACACTAATTTAAGAAAAGTGAGGTCAAGGTCAAAGGAAAGGCCAAAGTCAAAAATTGTTGATGCAGTTGAAAAGGTTACATCAGTATGTATAAGCATATGAAGTTTGATAAAAATATTATGAATGGTTTCTTTAAAACTGAGCTAAACACTAATTTTAAAAAAGTGAGGTCAAGGTCAAAGGAAAGGTCAAGGTAAAAAAATATTGATGCAGTTGAATAGCTCTCATCAGTATGTATCAGCATATGAAGTTTGACACTAATTTAAGAAAAGTGAGGTCAAGGTCAAAAGAAAGGTCAAGGTCAAAAAATGTTGATGCAGTTGAATAGCTTACATCAGTATGTATCAACATATGAAGTTTAATTACACTATCTTGAATGGTATCTTTAAAACTGAGCTAAACACTAATTTAAGAAAAGTGAGGTCAAGGTCAAAGGAAAGGTCAAGGTCAAAAAATGTTGATGCAGTTGCATAGCTCTCATCAATATCTATCAGCATATGAAGTTTGATAAAAATATCTTGGATAGTTTCTTTGAAACTGAGCTTTGAACAGAGCTAAACACAAAGTGTGACGGAAGGACAGACGGAAGGACGGAAGGATGGAAGACGGACATGACAAACACTATATGCCCCTGCCATATTCATGGCGGGGCATAAAAATGGTTTTGAAATATTAGAGTTAAGGGATTAGCTTTAAAATGTATGCCTCTTAATAAGAAAGACTTTCCTTCACATTCGGACTGTTAAAGAAAGAATATTGTTCCATACACACGAAAAAAGAAGAAGAAGCCTATAGACAAACTGAAAGACAAGATGGTTCCAGTACATCCCCAAGACTTTATTTGTGAGGTTATAAAAGATGATCAGAAATAGCTCATCTTTGAACTATATCTTCATACATGTATTGAAGCTGCACTTAAAAGGATTATGATGTCAAAAAAACTATCCCCTGAAACATGTTTTCTAGTAACAATAAGAAGTAATTATGGATTGACAGATGGATGACTGAACAATTCAACTGCTTACTCTTTATTATTTAAGGCATGGTCATTTTTGAGTTAAAATCAATTTTGCATTGAAAATCAATAGGGATCATCCTCTTACATGTAACCTAAGCACTTACATGTGATTAGAGAGAAAAACAAAAACAAAACAAATCAATTTTAAGTTCGATATATTCCAGAAATATGTTTTTTTTATTTCCATGTTAAGGTACCATTGACCTTTTATCTTAAAAACAATATGGAATTTCCTCACATGATTTGCCACCTATTTATTAAAGTTATAGAATGACTCAAAATCATGTGTTTCTTTTAAAATATCTGTCTCATAAAATGAAAGATTTATGAAAAAATATGAGTATAGCAAAGATATGACAAACTCAACTGCTTTGTAAAGCAAGAAAAGACTGCAAAATATAAGTGTCGGAAAAACAAAGGTTGTATCTAACATTTTGTTGTTATTTTGCATGTCAAGGTCACATGACTGTATTTTAGCATTAACTTGTAAACATTGAATTGGAGCATGCAAAGGTGAGAAATATGTTCTAAAATTCTTTTTTGAAAATTGTATCAAAATTCTTGGTCTACCGACATTCATTTTTTGGTAGTTGAGACCATGGTAATTTCTACAACTTTTCTGTGTATGTGTACAATAGGGTGGAAGAAGTGAAGCAAAATTTTCATTTTGGGCCAGACAAAATTTTTTTTCTCCATTACAGATTTTTTCAGGTTCCAAAATCTGTAATTTTTGGAAACCCAATACTTTCATAGGTCATGCACAAATTCTATTTTTGTCAATTTTCCCATTTGTGTGTTACAGTGTCACTTTAAGTTTGAACTTAAAAGAGCAATGAATTTAAGAATTTTCTGCAAGAAACCAGTTGGGTGCTTATCCATCTGCCCACCAGAACATCAATAGTAAAACGATACCTTGCAACTTCGTAAGCAGGGTATGAAGTATATAAGTTGCAGTTTAAAGCAAGTGACTCATGAATATTTACATTGTCTCTGATGATCATTTTAACAGCTGTGTGACACTGGGCTGGACAAGAGTGAGGACATCCTTCCAGCTGTTTCCCACAAACCAATCGACATGGCGGACAGTCTCCAAAATGACATCGGTGTGGGATCTGACTAGAGTGATGGCAGATTGGGGTTTTTCTAAAAACAAAAATAATAAACAAATTTATCTGATAACTTGCAGTCTTTCTCCAAGAATATTTTTTTAAATAATGTAACACCATTAAGAGTTTAATGAAATATACATATATGTACATACAGGTATATTGTATAAGAATACATCTTAAATATCAGAATCTTGAAGCATTAATACATAGTCATGATCTTGACAAGAAGACTTTAACATCAATGGTTTGAGTTTGTTCACAATAGTTTGGTTCATGGCCATGGCATATCCCCTGGCTATGCATAGACAACATTTATAAATATAACCTTCACATACCCAAAGGAGGTTCAAATATACATGTACATTTGATTTAATTTGAATTATGAATGCATTGTGTACAACCCTACCAGCATGGGTAGTTACATCTGAATTATGAATGTGTAATGAACAACCTACCTGCATGGGTAGTTACATCTTAATTATGAATAGGTAATGAACAACCTACCTGCATGGGTAGTTACATCGAGGTGGGCGAGTGACTTTTTCTTTCCCACATGGCACTGTGATACGAGTTGCTTTACAAAAGCAGGTTATCTGTACAGTTAATGGACAAGGATAACATGGTCCTGAAATTAAAAGAAATAAATGTAGAAAATCCAAGGCAATACGTTCATAATTCACTTTTTTTTTTAAATAGAATAGGGCTATTGTACGTTACCTCTATGACATCCACTAGCACACTTGTGGTTTTTACAGCTTAGCAATTTTCCACAAACTTGTTCACAGCTAGGACAGTTTCCATCACAACACTGTAAAATAAAACATGAACAGTTACTAATAAATCCATATTTCCTACCGATCCATGAAGTCCTGAAGTAGATTGCAGCAATACAAATCATGATAAGTTGCTCAAAATTCCAACTCATTTCACCTGTACTGAGATATTGTACATGTATGTACTGATCCTATTGTGTGTATTGCAAATGTTAATTACATGTATATTGTGTGTACTGCAAATGCTAATTATGCCTTTAATGACATTTAATTTTGCTTCAATTTGACTTGTAGTAAAATTAAATCCTCAGATGATCAATACACATAAAATTATATTTAACACTGATTTATACTTCACAATAAAAGTATATTTTTTTAATAAACAAAGTCTAACTTGACACTCAAGTGTTCTTCAGATATTTTTGAAATAAATACATGTACTGCTGTTTACAGATAAAATCTGCTAAGAAGAAAAAAGAAGAGGAATATGCTCACAGCCCTTACCCCTTTTTATTAAATTGCCCACTGACTTTATTGTTTATATTTATATAATTAAGTAATTATTTGCCAGGATCAGTAATGAGTAACCACAGCAAGATTAGTAATTACATGTAATAATTCTCATTATTATTATACAAGGACTTTATTTTTACTATAAAACAATTCTAAAAATAAAGTCCTTAACTTCCTGTGAATAAAATGTTTATTACATTGTATGTTTTTCCTACAACTTCCTCAATGGTCTTTAAAATGTTACATAAAAGACATATAAGGAATCTTATTTCCCCTCAGTAATCCCCACACAGACCTTTCTCTTACACTGGTGTTTGTTGCAGTCCCTCATCGCTGTACACTTGATTTCACACAGATATTGCTTTGAACATAAGACCTCTTTTTGCTTCTGTCCACATCGACATTTCTTTGTTACTAATTGTAGGCACTACACAAAAGAAAAGAGGAGTAAAATCTACATTTGTACATACAAAGAAGTATATGAATATACAGTTGCATAAAAATAGAAGCTATATTAATTAGACTACAGAGACTTAATTAAGGAAAATATTCATGTAATAGTTTCAGAAAGCAAGAAAAGAATGAAACATTGCTGAAACATTCTGTAAAAGAAAAGTTTTGAAGGAATATATATTTCACTTTTCCTTTTAGACAATAGCATAAATATAAGATCATGCTGAGACAATGACACACTCACAGATCCACAGTTGCCAGTGTGACAGCGTTGTGAACAGGTATGCATCCCACAATCCAACAGTTTACCACAAGTATCACCACAGGTTGGTACATCCTCTGTACAAGGCAGGTTGTATTCTAAAATTTATTTTTCTAAATTACTGCAAGATCTATATGAATGAATCTGTATGCTCTATATTCTGCACACATTTTCCATCCTACCCTCTCTAAATGCATCAAAGGTACCTGTTTTCCCACAAGGACAGAATCGTTGGCCAGATCTTGGACAAGGCCCACAACTCTCCTTGTGACAAATCTTCTCACATAGGTGGTTTCCACAGGAAAGTGTTTTGCCACAAGGCTGCAAGGGAGGGAAATAAGATTTAGTATTATCAGATCACAATATCATTCAATTTAGGACAACTCTAAATTAACAGATTTTAATTAGAAAAAAAAGATACAAAATTTCATCATTCATACCAACATACATGTACCAAATAATCTGATGCAATCTATAAAAAATAAAGCATATTCTAACTTTTTGTTACACAACTTGAACAGATACAGATTTATTATGTACCTGATCACACTTCCAATCTGGGCTGGCACATGGCCGTGTAGTGACTTTTTTCCCACAATAACAGGACTGCTTGCTTGTTTTAGGACAAGGGGCACATTCGCCTACTCATAATAAAGATTATTCACTTGTGTTTAAACAGGTACCTTGTCATAAAATTATAGCAGACTGTATAAGTTCCATTCCTCATGAGTTTAACTTTTCAGCAAGTCTTACCTTTGAAGGAATATCATTATTAATCTTAAATACTAGAACTATTAGCCAGAGTAAATTGAAATGCTATATTTAAAAATTACATGTATAACTCAAAAATTTCTATCATCAAACATTTCCTGCTTTACAACATATGTTTTTTTTTCCTTTGTAGTAAATGTTTTGCTTGGAATCACCTGCATGACAAGGGAGCTGGCAGTTGTGATGGCCACATGACAGCTTTTTCCCACATGGTTTTCCACATGACCATTGTTTAGCACTACACCTGACCACTTTAGGTTTCTGTTTACCACAATGACAGGTTACTGTCACGGTCTTAGGGCATGGAGGACAGGCTCCTACAAAAATCAAACAATAAAACTTACCCACTGAGCATACTTTAAGATAATCAGTCACATTTTAGCTATCATATAAAAAGAAACTGAAAAAGTAGCACAGATGCTGAGAGTATTTTTGAGAAAGGAAAACCCCAGTGAGAGATTAACCTGTATCACCTGAGTGACATACCTGGATGACACAGCAAAAGACAGGTGTGTCCACACTCTGGCTTCAAATTTCTGCCACAAGTCTGTCCACAGGAATGAGGTACTAACCATGGGTCAAACTTGGGGTTCACTTCCTTTCCACAAAAGCATAAGTATTTAGAGGGGCAGTCTTTTTGCTGGTACTCTGTTCTACATTTAGGACTGTAAAACATTTGCAAAACAGGAGTAAATCCATTGTGCATTTTGACACACATTTAAGGCATTTTATTTTCAAAAGCAAATAAGAAGGAGCAATCGTTAATGCCTTTACCAGTGCCAAGGAATGTCTTTGCTGGGAGTTTGTCCATCTGGTGATTTGTAGGCATGCTGATATATCCCTTCACGCACCCACTTCTGAATACACTGCATATGGAACATAGCATAGCAACCACTACAGTTCCAGATCTGAAGAAATAAAATTCCATCATTTCATTATAAACAGTGATGGCACTTGATACATGTATCTGACATTTCACTTGTTTATGAAGACATCCTGCAGCTTATAGGGAATAATGTAAATATGGAAATATCCCCAAAATGTTAATTAAAAAAATCTATTAAACCAGTCTTTGACAAATCCCGGGAGTCCGAAGCCCGGGACCTGATAAAATTGGAAGCGGGCATGTGGAAATTGCATACTTACAAGCCCGAAAGGGCGTGTAAATTCTGAGGCCTAAGCCTCCGTATTATCAACTTAAATAATACCAATAACATTAAATGTACTTTAAAGTCTGATTTTTCATCTAAAGTGGAGCACCAAATAAAATATTAACAACAGTTTATTCTACTGTGATTTCCAAAGAACTCTTTTGCAAAGGAGACACAAAAGGTATAAACATTGAAAACAATACGTGACTTCCAAGGAACTCTTTTGCAAAGGAGACACAAAAAGTGTACAGGTTGAAAACAATATTAATGGCGAGATAATAGATCTATAGAAATGGATTTCGGATCATTTCCTTGGCATGAAAAGGCAAATAAGAATAAAATTACTTGATAAAATTCTGGGCATGTAAATATTTGTTCGGGCTAGCGTAATAAGTGGTTAAACCTGCCCGAAGGGCATGTACTGAAAAAAAGATTTGGCGAAGACTGTTAAACAGACTGTGAATACATTTTGGGTTTATTTCAGCAATGCAGGCAAGTCTGACTCATTTCAGAGAAGGCTCTAGTCATAGGACTATTAACCCAGAAATTTCCTTATCATAAACATGTACCCAGTAGTTACTGCATAACTTTTCTGAGCATAATAATTCCATATTTACAGACCTTAAGAATAAAGTACTGATAGTGTAAGGCTTCAGAAATGATAATGCAGGACTTACAGCATCATTCTTTTTAATTGTTTCAATACAGATCAGACAGGCAGAAGAGCTGGAGCGGTAAGAATGTACCAAGTCTTCTTGAGCTGTTCCCTGTTCTCCAGTAGTGTCCCCTTCATTGCCTATGTAAAGCAAGATAAAAATTACCAGTCTAAAAAATAGTGATACTTGTGCCTCAATCTACATGTATGTCTTCCTTGTAGAAAAATCAAACCAAATAATAAGATTAAATATTGATGCCAAAAAACTGTCACACAACACATTTAATTGGATTACCCTATTCAAGTTTTTTGTATGTTTAGTGTCCATGTGCCCATTGGTTTTTTGACATCCAAGATCAGAAAAAAAACAAACAAAATCAGTAGTCTTGAAATTGATTATTTTGGTGGAAATCTTTGAATTCTGTCAATTTCTTTCAAAATTTGACTAGAATCTGTCAAATAAGGTATACACTGAGCATTTAATACCTTGATTTTGCAAAGAAATTATCTTTCTGCAAGAAAAATAGATTAATAAAATCAAATCCTTTGAATGATGTTGATTTTATGAATATAAAGTATGTGTTCTATTTATCAGCTTGTATTTTTTGTAAAAGTTTTTGAATGATAGATGGATGCTAAACCAAGAAAAAAAACTTGGAATGGCCTTATTATATATTATATATACAGAGAGGAGGTATATTAAAGTTGTACTGGTTTTGGCTTACTATACAAAGAAGAATAAGATTTAAACACTGTGTTGATGATGTCATCAGCAATGTCTTCCTCCTCTTCTTCCTTCTCTTCCTGCTGTATATGTTGCTGGATGGCCTGCTGGTGAGCTGTACTGGCCTGTAAAAACTTCTCCTCTGCATTCTTGTGTTTTTCTGCATTTTTGCCTTCAGAAAGAAAAAATATACACAGCTATGTTTAAATATACAAATGTAGAGGAAATCATTCTAAAAAAAAAGTTTATTTTCCTGTGGGGACAGAACAGGTGACATTTACAATTCAAAATATACAACTGAACTGCAGTTTCTCCAAGATCAATATTTTGAATTCCACAGACATGTTCAAGAGAGTTGGAAGTTCCAAATATATTTTTTTTTTATGTACCAGTATTTTAACCTCAATACAGTAAAACATGGTAATAGTGAACACACTTATGATGAATTCATGCTTACAGGAAAGTGATTTCCAGTCTGAATGGTTTAGTGTCTTTTGAATCATTGGATATCTTGAAGTGATTTCTTTGCCCCATGGAGTTCAAGATAACAAGGTTTAACTGTGTCTTATCAATTGATTTGTAAACCATCTTTACTTTTGTCTCTCACAAATCTTATTTCTTCCTCTTTATTGAAAAGTTTTTTTTACATATTTTGAAAAAAAATGTACTCTTTCAGACAATCTGACGTAAGCCTGCTAAGCCTTAGTTATGCTAATGATAGCATAAATAGAAGTCAGGCATTTAAATGTGACTGGAAAGAAGAAAACGTATGACTTGACCAGGAAAGGGACCCAGGGCCCGTGCATCACTAGTCAGGTGCTCTACCAAGCTACCCAGGCCAATATCCACAGCCCGAATCATTACATAAAAAATAAGATTGCTCTTTCAGAGTGAAAATCTTTTAATAATTTATCTCTTTGTCCTCGAAAATCTTTAAAAAAGGAAACATTTAAGATGGATTAAATTTAAAAGAAAGACAAGCTAATATTATCCCACATTCAATGGCTGCTAAGTAATAACAACACTTATAAAAGAATTTACCCGGTACCAAAGAACTACTATTGGTGTTATTTGTAGCACTGAAGTTGCTCCCCCTTCCTCTTCCACGGCCCTTTGGTTTTAGATACGATGGAACATGTGCCATTACTTACATCTGAAAAGGAGGTCATCTTTACTTAAATTAATGGGTTTATATAAAATTCAGTCTCTAAATAGCAGTATCAATCCTCTAAATAAGTACAGAACTCTCTTTTTAATGTTTGACATAAATGTGTGTGCATGTGGTGGATTTTCATATTATCACTATAAGATTTTTTTCTAAAATAAAAAAATGACAAAAGTGCACAGAAAGTCTAGAAAGGTCAGCACAGTTTCTGACCTCTCCAGACTTTCCCGTGCAATTTCACATAGTTAGAAATAATCACTTCTGTCGCTTTCCTTTTCAGTGCTAGGTATCAAGGATGTTTTGCTTCACTGCTTGTTTTATTCAGCAAGTGCAAATCGGCAGAAAATAGAAGGGAGTTATTCAAGCATTTTTGAAGCTTCTCTCACCCAACACTGGCAGGAAAAGTGTAGATATTGATTAAAATCATGTGTGAACCAAGGCACCCCCTAGAATTCCAGATGGCGTTTGTCATCCCTTGTGTCTTTTATTATGTACATTGAAATATGATTTTTTAAAGACTGCCAATTTCAGCGAATTTACATTTTTAATCAGTATATTTAGACAGACATAGAAATCACGCACTATACATCATCCTTAAACCGAGTCCCTATGAGGGCGAACAGACCCAATACCCGGCCTGATCACAGGGCTTGACATGATCAATCAGTCTTCTTTCTTTTTGACCACGCTACACCACGAGCCCCTGACCCTGTCCGACTGTGGTCTGTAATCTCAGTGAGATTCGTCGAGACTAAAAATTTTGGACAGGCGTCGCGTAAGAGATTATGTGGTCTGATTTCATTATTATCGACGTTTTAAATGATTGAAAGAAAATTCTTGTTATGAAAGATATAGACTATAATTCAATTAGTTAACTACTGCAGAAAATAGAGCTTCTCATACTCATTATACCGCACACGTCAGACTCTTTCGTCAATCGTCGGCATTCGACATGGGCGCAGCCATGAAATCAGTCAACCGTGAAATTATTTATATTTTTCATCTTTAAAAAAAAAAAATAATGTGTCGGCTAATGTTCCATATTTCAAAACAAAAAAAACCTGTCTTACCAGGAACTAAATTTTCAGTTTTTTTTTTTAAATCTCGTCCAAAACATATGTGCGAGATTACATAGATGGCGACAGAAAAACAACTGACGGTGGTGACATAATCATCTATTCTTACTTTTGTGTAAATGAAATGGAAGTATGGACTGCCTAATTCACATCAGAAGCTAAAACCTTCGTATGAACCCAGACGAGAAAAATTCTGAACAAAGTGGAATCTCTGCCGCAAGGTATTTTGTGTTTTGGTGTTCATTCATTTCCTTGTGCTGCTAAATCAGTAAATGGTATGCAAAATGAAAGTCCACTAATGTCACCTCCAATAAAAATATTTGATTGCCATATGTCTTATCTCTACATAACTGATGAGTTAACGTTCATGGTGTACATTGTAAACAGGTGTGAGTACATTGATTTTTTTCACACGTTCTATTTCACACCCCAGCATGCTGTACAGTCCCCATCCCCCCCCCCTCCACATACACCACACACACACACACACACACACACGATTGGTACTGGACAACTCTTGAAAGATATCTCATCAGTTTTGCTATTGTCCATAGAAATTGCCAATCGTATGAGACAGGTTTTTTTACTTTTTAAAATTTTTTTTGGATAGGATATTTACGTTGTATGCTATATAGCTGTTTCAGAATATAAAATTACTGTAGGAATCTAATAGCTTGTCTATAAAGGGGGGAAAAAAATAAATTTTAAAATAATCCAATCATCGATTATAATAAAAAAAATAAGTCGATTGCTGGCATAACACTGGATTACAAAATTTTTATTCCGTTTTATCGTTTTTTAAATTTTACAATCTTAATAGTTTTAAGCCAAAAATTCCAGCTGCAAGTTATCTATTATCTTATTTGTGTATCGTAATGACAAAGACGAACAAACAATTGTATCCATACCCGGGTAATAAAACACGTTTCTAGTTTTTGAATTTGTTTATTAATGTTTAGTTTAAACATGCTTTAAGGGTTAAGGTCAATGTTTGCAAAAATAATTTTTGTTTAATGAAAAATCTTTCCAAAGATACCATTTTTTTTTCTACATAAGCTTTTCCCTAGATTTTCAATTTTCCTATATAGTACACTTAAACAATATTCAATAATTTACATAGAATAAATAGAGGATATTCAATGTTTTGTAGATGAATATGGAATTTATTTCACGAGTGGAACAGGATTTTTTTTATATTTTCACGAGTGCGAAGCACAAGTGAAAATATTAAAAAATCCTGTCTTACAAGTGAAATTTCATATTCATCTACAAAACATTGAATTTTCTGTTTATTACATTTTCTTTGATGTTCTCTTTGCGTAACACAGTCACTGTGTCATAGGCTATGACGTCATAGTTAAGCGGTTGAGATGTCATAGCTAAGCGATTGAGAGATTGAAAAATGTTTTAAACATGGATTTTTAACAACATATCTGGAGAAACTTTGGCAGTTTTAGTCTCAGTCAGGACGGTTCATTTACTATATATTATGACAGACCAGGGAGTTTTTAAAAACACTCTTCGTGAAGGAAGAAAAATCTCGAGTTTTGCCGCACTTCTGATATTCTCTCATACTGTGAGAATATCATTGTAATATCCTTCCACACTATGTCAGAATATCACTTTTATTCAATAGATAAATTACAGTATTTCACTGTTGAAAATGTAATTATACTGATTTGAATATTTTTATAGAAGGAGTGAACACTGAAAACTTGGTGAAATAAAGGGGGAAAAGGCTATTTTAAAACAGCAAAGACAATTTTATAGAGTTAAAAGGAAATGTCTTAGTTTAATGTGCTATTGTATTTTATTATTAAAAGTGATTAATGTAATGCTTTATTTTATTTTCAAAAATGATAATATCTGTAAATTGAATGTTTTTATTTTCAGGGGTCCCAATTCTTTGTCAGAACAAATTCCAGAAAAAGAAGACGGAATGTAAGTGTCAGAGAAAAGATGTGTAAATTTTAGCACATTTTTGGTCCGATTTTAAGAGTGAAGCAGATATTTGGAATGGAGGAAAGAATTATTGCATCCACATTTGATATTGTGAAAAAATTATTAGGAAGTATCTAAAGTTAATCAATGTTGGTTATTTAGTGTATGCAATACAACTTAAGATCATTTTATTTTACATATGGCCATATCATTTAAATTTTTTATTTTTTTTAAGAGAATGTCATTTATTTTTTTATAACTCATCTATAGGAAACGTGCGGCAGCAAGACAGATGATAGAGAAGTATTACTATCAGCTAACGGATGGTTGTGGAAATGAAAATTGTCAGAATGAAGACTGTGCCTCTTGCTCCTCCTTTGCATTTAAAGATAAAACAAAGAATGAACTTGCCATCAAAGCAATTGATTTGTTCAAGGGTAAAGCTGACTTGTGTGGATCGCAGCCCAGCAAAGTACCACGTGCTGAAAATGTAGCAGGACCTTCAAAAGTCAGCAGCGAAGAAAAATCACCAACAGCAAAGGTCATCACAGAGGAAAAACCATCCTCATCCAAAGGGCAAACAACTGCTCTGTTTTCACAACAGTCAACATGCAATGTTATAAAACCTATTCCAACTTCTGGTAGGTTATTGCCTTCTCACTGTGTATCTTTTAACCATGGAAGATTGCTGTCATAAATTAATACTTTATATAAATAAATTTATGTATTCAGTATGAATTAAAGAGAAAAATTGGACTCGATTTTATGTCACAATTCAAATTTACTTCACATCATGATTTTTTTATTTAGACCTTTATTTGATTCCCTGTATAAATGGAAATAGTTTTAAATCCATATGAGGAAGTTTTTACTTTAAATTCTGAAGTTCCTTGTGCTTAGCAATGTATTTTTAAAAATTTGTATCATGTTCTTTCACCCACTTCCCGGCATTTGTATTAAATGTAATTATATTTATAGTGATATATGTACAAAAATATATATTTAATGAGGAAGGAGAACTTTTACATTACCGTAATTTTTCTATTTGTGCATTACAATCAAACCACCTTAAACCAAAAAAAGAAAAAAATTAGGACATTCTTAATATCTAGTAAAGAAACTATAATATAAATTATGGAATAATACCTTCCCTTTTTAGGTCACCTGAGTCGCTCAGGTGTCGCTCAGGTGACCTATTGCGATCTTTTTCGTCCATCATCGTACGGATGTGCATCATGCGGGTGTGCGTCGTGCGTAACTTTTCACATTTTCGACTTCTTCTCAAGAACTACCGGGCCAATTTCCACCAAACTTGCCACAAAGTATCCTTGGGTAAAGATGATTCTAATTTGTTCAAATGAAGGGCCACACCTTTTTCCAAGGGGAGATAATTAAGAATTAGTGAAAAATTAATGGTATCTTAAAAATCTTCTCAAGAACCACTGGACCAGGTAAGATGAAACTTATATGGAAACATCCTCAGGTAGTGTAGACTCAAGTTTAAAATCATAATCCCCAGGGTAGGGTGGGGCAACAATGAACCATCAGTTTTACATAGAAATACATAGAAGAAATCTTTAAAAATCTTCTTCTCCAGATCCACTGGGCCAAGAAAGATGAAACTTATTTGGAAACATCCTCAGGTAGTGTAGATTTAAGTTTTTTCAAATCATTACCCCCAGGGTTAGGGTGGGGCCACAATGGACAATGAAAGTTTTATTTGGAATATGTAGGAAAAATCTTGAAAAAATTCTTTTCTCAAAAACAGCAAAGCCATGATTGGTTATATTTACATGGAAACATCCTCAGGTAGTATAGATTCAAGTTTGTTCAAATCATGACTCAGGGGATAGGGTGGGGCCACAATGGAAGATCAAAGATTTACAAAAGCTTCTTCTATCAGTATATTTTATACTCTATGGATCCTCTGTAGATTGTTGTTTTATACTCAGGTGACTATTAAGGCCCTTGGGCCTCTTGTTTTATTTGTGATCGTTAATGCTGATTTAACGGTCACAAACAGAGTTTAACCAGCAATGCATAAGTGGAGCCGATAAAACAGATGTTTGTGACCCTTAAATCAGCATTTAATAAGTGTTGCTATTAACAAATGAGAAGATGGTTATTCCCATTCTAATGCAAAGTTTGCATTTTGTTTGATGTTTACATCTTATTTTGTTGAGTTTTTCTTTTTTTGGTTATATGGGTTTTATGAAATACATCAGATATGTGTATGCTTGATGTTGAATTTTGGATCCTTCTATTCAGACGTCACACTGTCTGAAAAGCTTTCACTCAGTAATGCTCATTAAACTGCCTCAAATGCCAGTGCATTAGCCATTCAAAATGCAGATTTACAAAACAGTTGTAATTCGAATTAAGATTAATGATGACCATTGACAGAAAATATATTTCACTCTTTTATTGACATCTTTATTCTCACCCCACTCCTCCCCCCCCCCCCCCCCCTTTCACAGATTAGTAGTACATGTATTCATGCATGGGTATTTTTTTAACAAACTGACCTGTTTCAACAAGTTTATCAATATGCTGCATGCGAAAACTTTTCAAACTTCAACTTAATATTGTTTGTAGTAATTTTTGTAATACCTTGAATTTAATTCTTTAAATTTTAACTCAAAGTAGAAGTTTATGTATACACTATTGACATGTTTATTCTAAACAGAGCCAGAACACTAAATTTTAAAGCTGAACATGACTCGTAAATAGGCATACGCCATTTTAGCTTTCTTGTCACTGGTACCTGCGTGGAATGGACAACACTGATTACACTGAAATGTGACCAAGTAATCGGCTTACTGTAAAATCTCTTATTTTCATGGGGTCAAATTATTATGATTAGGGGAAAAATTACTGGTTCGAGGGGATGTGATTTCGTGGTTAAAGGAGGATCATGATAAATCAGTATGTAATTTTCTCATTTCATGGGGGATATGAATTCGTGGGTCTCTTTATTCAATGAAACAACGAAAATTAAACCCCCATGAAAATTTGTGATTTCACAGTATATAAGGGCGGTACAGGTAACGGAAAATGCAGAGTAATATGGTAGACAAACATAGATCTTTGCCTTTTACAAATTGTGTTCAGCTTTAATTTGAAAAAAAATACATTAATCTTACTATAGAAATGGTAAAAGATGTGTTCTGTACAACCTGATTTGTCATTAATTATTATAATAATTCCATAATTATATGTTGTTTTCCAGCTGCTGAAACAATAAACTATTTAACAGAAGAGAAAGTTCTTAAGTTAATCAAAGATTGTGAGGAGGAAAATAACTGGTCCAAATTGATCCGAGTGATTGGTGCCACATTTAATAATGCAGACTCACTCATCATGAGTTTCCGTAGAAAGGAGGTTATGACAAGCTCCACCAGCACTGTGGAGGAGGAGAAAGTTTCTGAACAAGAGAGAAGTCAGTCTAGTACCTGTGACAGAGAAACGGCTCATTCTCTAGACTTGGAGGCTGTTCGTAGAACATTTCGCGCCTTAATGAAGATTCCAGACCTTCCTTATCAGGGTGCTCTAGTGAATGCTCTGTCTAGTTTGTCAAAGAATGTGGAAATGGAGCTCAGATATAGAAGACCTTTGGAACAAAATCCAAATTACATGAATATATTTTTGATTGTGATGGAAATTCCCCTGGACGAGCACGTAGATTTATTGGAAAATGCATTTCCAGAGTTCTGCAAGGCACTGGGTCACATGGATGTTTCAGGAAAAGCTAAACTTGCCAAAATTTGGTCCACTTTTGGAGCTGAATGGCTGCTGCAAATGACGAGAACTCTTCATCAAGTGATTACTGTCAGAATTGCACAAAACCATGGACGCTGGGGCCGTATGTACCAGTTAAATGATGATGAAGGCATTGGAGGTGCAACAAAAGTGATGAAGATTTTGTTCTATGCTAGCATAATAGGAGGAGGATTAGACCCAGATGCTGTTCTGGCTGAGGAGAAAGAAACAAATGAGAGGGAAGAAAGTTTACAGGATATGTTGCAAGGTGGAGCTGTGGGACATGAGCACAAAGACCTGATTAAACCCAAGGAAGATCCGCTGGCTCAGGAATTAAAAGTATCGGTTTTAGATTGTCGCAAGCCATTAGTTCCATATGATGAGTTTGTAAATGAACTTCTGAATGAATATGTGGACATTGAAGTAGACTATAAGAATAAGTTGGAATCCAAGTTTTCTTTTATGAATCACAATTTTATATTAAGTACTGCTTCTAAGCATATGTGTATGTATTATGACAACAGAGTTAGAATGTTTAATGAGAGAAGATCTTCCATATTAAACACGTTCTTAAGAGGACTACCCCCAACTCCTTTCTTACGACTTAGAGTGAGAAGAGATCACCTCATAGACGATGCCTTAGTTAATGTGAGTCAGATTGAAAGAATTTATGGTTTAGCATGTATAAGTCATATTGCAAGACTAAATGAACAATGAACATATATTTTGATTAATATTTTTTTTGGTATCTGTTAAATGCATGAACTTTTTAAGATAGCTATATACCAGTACAGTCAAACCTCATTATCTCAAACTCCATTGGGCTGAGAGAGAAAAAAAAAAATTGAGATATCTGAGGATTCGAGAAACTGAGGGTAAAATACATCAAGAAAAAAATACTCTGGACTTCCAAATGACTTTGACATATCCATGGTATTCGAGATATTGATGTTTGAGATACATGTACTGAAGTTCAACTGTAATGTTTAACTTCTTGTATATATGATGAATTTTCAAGTAATCCCAAATTTTTATTATGAATAATACAATATATGCATATGGTTGTCCATCATATTGGAACTGAAATTTGAATCTTCTGAAATAAGGAGTATAAATACATGTATTTGTTTGATTTTTATTGACAGTTGGAAATGACAGCTATGGACAACCCCCAGGATTTGAAAAAACAGCTCATCGTGGAGTTTGAAGGTGAACATGCAATGGATGAAGGGGGTGTGTCTAAAGAATTCTTCCAGCTTGTTGTTGAAGAAATCTTCAATCCAGATTTTGGTAAGCTATTTGATAACTTGCTAAACTTGAAAAACAGTGCTGTGTATCCTGATTTTTGGCTGCCAGGAGGGGTGTCAGCCATTGGAAACTGGAAAAAGTCGCAACATACATGGGGTACCTGTAAAATGCGAAACGAAATAGAAACGAAACGGAATGAAATGAAACGAAACGAAATCTACCGAAACGAAATGAAATCTTACGAAACGAAATGAAACCTACCGAAACGAAACAAAACGAAACTTACCGAAACGAAATCAAAACGAAACCTACCGAAACGAAATGAAAACTACAGAAACAAAAAACGAAATAAAATCGAGCAAAAGTAAAATATATATATATAAACATTATGATTTAAAATATATTATATAGTGTATATTTTATAAGTAACGAGTCTCTTTTGATACGCAGTGAAAGATAAAAAAGATTTTATGTGTTTCTAAACGTGCACATTTGTAAGTATGGATTACACTTTTAAATAGATATTGCTCATTTTAGTGCAACACATTAGACTAAGCCTATACATATAACCCAAGTTATCACTTTCGGGTTCTTGTTAATACAATCCATTTGTATGTATACTTGTATACTCAAAATCAGATTTTAAGACCTGGCGATTCTTGGTCTGCTTTTGTCCAACACTAAACTATATCAGATCACACACTTTTATAAACAGTAATTTAAAAGCGGAGGATAAGCATTTTTTTTAAAAAAAATAATAATAATAATAATACGGTAAAATTGAAACATAAAATTTAAATTAAATTCAAAGCAAATATTTATCGAAATTAAAATTCAATTTTTATCAAATAATTTGAACAAGCCTTGAAACCACCAGAGGAGGGGGGTGTGGTCCTTCTCGGAACTACCTCTCAAATAAAAAAAAAAAGCTGGACTCGACAATAATCAAAAGTATAATAATAATTAGGCTTTGTATAATTGATCACATATATATAAATAACAGTAATGCACTTTTTTCATTTAACTCAATGTGTACAGTTTCTTTTTTTTTTTTTTAAAGTTATGTTTAAAGACATTCGCAATACAACGGTACAGTAACTTTATTTCAATACGTAAATAGGAAAGCTTTTACATGTAGCACATCAATTATGAGAAATGTATTGTATTTCGATGGTTAAAGACTAAAAATAAAAGTAAGACATAAAAATTAGAGAATACTACGCTTATTTTGAAATGAGTATTTTGAAATTATATAGTATGCTCGTGCATATTTGTAGCTGGCAGTTGATTTACAGTATATATAAGCCTGTATAAGTAAATACATCACTAAAGAAGGGAGCATTTATCGGTGTTTAAATATTATATTAACAAGTGCTTGAACTATATAAATTTTATATGAAGTAAAAATAGTCCATATACAGTTACACATTATAATTTATATAATGATATACCTTGATTTGAAAAACATTCTGTTTCGTTTCGTTTCGGTAGGTTTCATTTTGAGTTCGTTTCGTTTTGTTTCGTTTCGGTAGGTTTCGTTTCTATTTCGTTTCGCATTGTACAGGTTCCCGTTTCGTTTCGGTAGGTTTCGTTTCATTTTGTTTCGTTTCTATTTCGTTTCGCACTTTACAGGTACCCACATACATGTAGGTTTCAGAGAGAAAAGTCAGTTACAAATGAAAATCGATAATTAGTTTGAAACTTTACCAAAATTTTGGGGGAAATAGTATGTTTTTCCACATTTACATATAGGAATGAGGCCAAATGTTTCAATTTTAGAGTCAAAAACCCTGCATGGATCTCTTTGGTAAAATATATATTTAAGCTCTGCAGAGCAACATTTTCTTTTTGGCATCTCCAATTGTTCTAAACTCAGCTATTTCCTTTTGTAGGAATGTTCACATACAACGAGCAAACCAGACAGTTTTGGTTTAACCCAACATCATTTGAAAATGATGGCCAGTTTACTCTTATTGGAATAGTGCTTGGACTAGCCATTTATAACAGTACCATCGTAGATATCCATTTTCCTTCAGTAGTTTACCGCAAGTTAATGGGAAAGAAAGGCAGATTTGAAGACTTAAAAGACTTAGATCCGGTAGGCTGAACTTTTATAGTGGTTATTTTAATTCAGAGACAGCATTTTTGTCCTCAAAGTTTACATTTCTTCAGATTCTAGTGTAGAGCATTTCTCGCTGGAGAAAAGACGAGAGAATGAGATCAGTTTTAGTTACCCGGTACTGACATTTTGAATGTAAGATTTGCTACTTTCAGTGTGGTATTACGTACCATAAAAGTAAGTCCTGGCCTTTAGGTCATAATATCTGTTATTATATACCCGGTACACTTTTTGAAGAGTGTAAATTTCCTTTCTGCAGACATTGTATGCTAGTCTACAACACATGTTAGAGTATGAAGGAGAGGACATAGAAGATGTGTTCATGCAGCCATTTAAAGTTGGATATAAAGATGTATTTGGATGTGACCTGACACACGAACTCAAAGAAAGGGGCGGGGAAATGCATGTCAATCATGAAAACAAAGAGGTGAGTGTAGATTTCTTGTCTCTAATTAAAACAATGCAGAAAAGTATTGTAAGCTAACCCTGAGTATATATGAATTCAAATATGATCTTAATTTTGCTTACTGGAAGGTAGAGGGATTTTAACCTGTGTTTCTGTAGAAAACCCCTGTCTTCTCTTGCAGACTTAAGTGTGTGTGTATGGTAATTTTTTAATGTTAACATCTTATATTAGAATTGATACTACATTTATTTAATTTGTACAATAATTATAATTATTTGAAGGTAGCTATTTATAAGTTTTTTCTTTTTTATCAATTTTCAAATAGGTCTTATCATTAATGATTTTGTGAAATATATATTCATGTACATTAGTGTGCATTTATTTGATGTAGGAATTTGTGGAGCTGTATTCCGACTTCATGCTCAACAAATCCGTCGAGAAACAATTCCGAGCTTTTAAGCGTGGATTTAACCTGGTGACCAGTGAGAGTCCTCTACGCATTCTCTTCCGACCAGAGGAAGTTGAAGTCTTGATCTGTGGGAGCACGGTGAGAAAACTTGCCCAAATTTCAATCTAAATGCTTGTTATATGAGATCAAAACATAATTATTGAATGTTTAAGTAAATTATGGGTGCGTGAATTTTAAATGTGAATCTTTTTTTTTTTGGGGGGTTAAATTTTAATTAGCTGAAAGTGCATGTATAATAATTTGGTGAGGAGTATCCACATGATAAAGTATTTGTTTATCAAGTTGTGATCTATTTTACAGCATTTTGATTTCTATGATCTACAAAAGTCAACAGAATATGATGGAGGTTTTACAGCAGATTCACCAACAATCAAGTAATGTTCATTTCTCAGAATCCCCAAAAAAAGATACAAAATGTACATGTATTATAGGCCTTTAGGAATATTTCTCCAGCTTAAAACTTCCATTAAATCTTATTCTAACAAAATTAGAAATGTTCCATTCAACATGGGAATATGTTTCCAAAATTGTTTACTGTTTTGTGTATTTCACATGGTAAAAAAAAATCTCATAAGCACTGTTTCAAGAAAAGAGAAGTTCATGTTGAAAATAAGGGCTAACATCCTGCATACAAAAACTTTTTGGATCGTAGTAAATTACAGTGTATTATCTTTATAATAATTAAGAATACTGCATCATTAAAAATATCTCACTAGCATTATATACATGTATATATAACTTTGTAGGCATTTTTGGGAAATTGTGCATGAATTCTCAGAAGATCAGAAAAGACGATTATTACAATTTACAACTGGAACAGACAGGGTTCCTGTAGGAGGCCTCACAAAAATCAAACTTATCATCGCTAGAAATGGCCCCGACTCGGATAGGTAAAGATTGCCCTGCTGGCCTCTTGGATATCATCAACTTTAATACTTACCTTCCATTTTGCTTGTTTAGTAAATGATAAAAAAATAATGCACTTATACCATGACAGTATACACAAGAGATTTCGCTTTAGTTAATATTTTTATTTAAAATACATTAACTCTTTTACAGGTTGCCAACTGCCCACACTTGTTTTAATGTGTTGCTTCTGCCAGATTATTGCACCAAAGAAAAGTTGAAAGATAGATTAGAAAAGGCAGTGGATTACTCAAAAGGATTTGGAATGCTGTGATATATACAATGTACATGTATTTTTTATTGCCAGTTCTGTTTATACATCAAATGTATACTGCATCTTCTCAAATTGCAAGACATTATTTTTTTTTAAATTTTATGCAAAACAGTGAAAACAATTTGGGATAAAAATCCCTAAGACCTGATGTAAGGTATTCCCAAGGTCAAATGTCCAACCATAAAATCTGACTTAAAGACCATGTAGAGCAAGAAAATGTTTTGCAGAGCTCTGTTGAATATTTTCATTGTAAAACTAAACTGAAAACTATTCATACCACATAAGAGGGTTTTTAAAATGTATCAAATGACTAAATTTTATGCAACCATTTAGGTTCATTGATTTTGAGTTTTAGCAATGGGAATGAAGTAATTTTTCAGTCATTAAAAATGGTGATCAATAGGACTATGGTAGGAATCTTTGGATAAATATGTGTACTTGAAGCTTGTACATGTACCGTACCTTATTCAGTGACTTTTTTAAACCTGTGCCTCCAAGAGTTATTAATTTAAAGAGTACAGTTGGATATGAATGCTAGTTACTGATATTTTTTTCACTTCATTCATAAGCAGAAGCCCTTCCCTATTAAAATCCTACACAAAGAAGGTGATGATTTTAATCTGTATCATTTGATTGATTCAGACGTTTGTTGTGTACATGAGAAGGAAACAGTCATGGTTATTTGACTTATGGTGTAAGAAAGATCTCTCATAATTGTTTGTTAAGAGCCACTCTCTTACAGTGCATTTGTAGTAGTCTTAAGCACTATGAAATGTCTCTGTTGCCATACATACCTGCAAGAGACTCGGAAATGTTGCAAAAACATTATATAAACTGTGTTAGAGGATACATTTATGCATGCAAGAATAAAAATAATAGCTATTGTAAAACAGGTAATGTTCAGTTTGTGTATTTAGATTCCATGGTTAGCAGTTTGTTGTGTGTGAAAAGAAGTCTGTAAAATCTAGTCCCTTTCATGCAAATGTTAAATGTACATGTATTTGATAGTTCTTTCTGGAGTTTTCAACATAAAATACAGGGTGATCTCTGGTTTACTGCAGTGTGTAACTTTTAAAAGTACAACTTTATTTTCAGAAATCAACTATTAAGACTCTTTAAAATACAGCTTTATTTTCAGAAATTAACTTGAATGGACTCTCATGGTTCGAGAAAAGTTAACAAAAATAATAGCTTGTTTGTTGTGTGCATTGTGGATTTCAGTTGATTTTCCAAATTGGGATACAAAGTCTCGTACATTTTTTCAACATTATTAATGGTTTTTCAATGGACTGTGTCAAAAAAGATTGTCATTAGAAAGAAACGGTTGTATACGATTGTGAGGAAAGAATAACAGGTGAAATCCAATTTGTTTAAGAAAACCAAACTTAAAGCATGCTTTCTGTTGAGTGTTAATGTACTGTAACTTCAGCATGAACATTGACTTGGAACATGCCTGGAAGTGTGTCAAGACCAATAAATTTAAAATGAAAAAACATTTCTTTTGTGCAGTTTATTTTGTATGGAAACCTTTGGAAAGGAAATTGAGATTTCTTCAAATAAATGGCCACACCTGATTTCAACACAGGACAATTGGTAATTATTGCCCCTGCAGGTCCAGCTGTCCATTTGCAATCTTGTTGAGACAACTTTCTAAGACTTGACACAAGGATTGCTTATAACCTGAGAATGTGTCTTTATTTCTTCAACCGAAAGCCTGTGTATCAAGAATGAGAGGAAATTACTAACCTATTTTGACACAACAGAATATCCATGAAGTTGCCTTTGGGCTTTATCTTTTAAAATCTTAAACTTTTTGGTCAGGCTTATTTGCTGCAGGCCAAGTACCCATCTTCAGTTAGCACTTTGTGTGTGAATCCAGTTTGCATTTATTCCCTTCTTGTTACAGGCTTTAGGCAAGCTTGTTGTATTCAAGATTGAAAGGTTATATTTTTAGCTCACCTGAGCTGAAAGCTCAAGTGAGCTTTTCTGATCACATTTTGTCCGGCGTCTGTCTGTCTGTCTGTAAACTTTTCACATTTTCAACTTCTTCTCAAGAACCACTGGGCCAATTTCAACCAAACTTGCCACAAAGTATCCTTGGGTAAAGGGGATTCAAGTTTGTTCAAATGAAGGGCCATGCCCTCTTTCAAGGGGAGATAATTAGGAATTAGTGAAAAAATAATGGCATCATTTAAAAATCTTCTTCTCAAGAACCATAGGGCCAGGAAAGATGAAACTCATGTGGAAGCATCCTCAGGTAGTGTAGATTCAAGTTTGTTCAAATCATGACCCCCGGGGGTAGGGCGGGGCCACAATGGAGGATCAAAGTTTTACATGGAATTATCTTAGAAAAATCTTTAAAAATCTTCTCAAGAACAGCAGAGCCCTGATATGTCGTATTTATATGGAAGCATCCTCAGTTAGTGTAGATTCAAGTTTGTTCAAACCATGACCCCCGGGGGTAGGGCGGTGCCACAATGGAGGATCAAAGTTTTACATAGAAATATATTGGAAAAATCTTTAAAAATCTTCTCAAGAACAGCAAAGCCATGATGAGTCATATTTATATGGAAGCATCCTCAGTTAGTGTAGATTCAAGTTTGTTCAAACCATGACCCCCGGGGGTAGGGCGGGGCCACAATGGAGGATCAAAGTTTTACATAGAAATATATTGGAAAAATCTTTAAAAATCTTCTTTTCAAGAACAGCAAAGCCATAATGAGTCATATTTATATGGAAGCATCCTCAGTTAGTGTAGATTCAAGTTTGTTCAAATCATGAGCCCTGGGGGTAGGGCGGGGCCGCAATGGAGGATTAAAGTTTTACATAGAAATATATAGGAAAATTTTTTAAAAATCTTCTTCTCAAGAACAGCAAAGCCATGATGAGTCATATTTATATGGAAGCATCCTCAGGTAGTGTAGATTCAAGTTTGTTCAAATCATGACCCCTGGAGGTAGGGCGGGGCCACAATGGAGGATCAAAGTTTTACATAGAAATATATGGGAAAAATCTTTAAAAATCTTCTTCTCAAGAACAGCAAAGTCAGGATGAGTCATATTTATATGGAAGCATCCTCAGTTAGTGTAGATTCAAGTTTGTTCAAATCATGATCCTTGGGGGTAGGGCAGGGCTGCAATGGAGGATCAAAGATTTACATAGAAATATATTGGAAAAATCTTTAAAAATCTTTTTCTCAAGAATAGCAAAGCCATGATGAGTCATATTGGAAGCATCCTCAGGTAGTGTAGATTCAATTTTGTTCAAATGATGACCCCCAGGGGTAGGGTGGGGCCCAATGGGGGATGGAAAGTTTTACATAAGAACATATAGAAAAAATATTTCTTCTCAAGAACAGAAAAGCTATGTTTAGTCATATTGATATGGAAGCATCCTCAGGTAGTGTAGATTCAAGTTTGTTCAAATGATGACCCCTCGGATAGGGAGGAGCCACAATGGGGGATCAAATTTTTACAAAGGAATATTGGAAATTTTTTTTAAAATCTTTCCAAGTACAACAAAGCCATTTGTTATATTGACATGGAAGCATCAACAGGTAGTTTAAAATTCAAGCCAATGTGTTCAGGTGAGCGATGTGGCCCATGGGCCTCTTGTTATTATGCCCGCCATGAAAAAGTGGTCCGTACGTTGGTCACTCAGTGGACCAAGTGTCATCTGCTCAATATCTTGAGGACCCTTCGTTTGACCAACATCATACTTGGTACACCATTTCACCCTAAGGAGTAGATGGTCCCTATTAATTTTAAGGTGACAAGATTAAAGGTCAATAGTCAAGATATTGACTGTTCAATATCTTGAGGATGCTTTGCTTGACAAACATCAAACTAGACACACTGGTTTCCCTCAGTATATAATCCCTGAGGATTTTGTTCAAGGTCATAGGTCAATCTGACATAGGAAGATGTTGACCTCTCAGCATCTTCAGAATCGTATGCTTGACATTAAATTTGGTACACTGGTCTTCTCAAGGACTAGATATCCCTGTGGATTTTAAGTCAACAAAGTCAAAGGTCAAAATACACTGACCCAAAATCAATTTTTAAAAAATTCAATACATTTCAATCAGCAATTTGAATTATTTTGAATTTCTATTTTCTCTGGAGGCTTTCATTAAACACTAAAATTTATTCCTTTCGCACACCATTTCATATATGAATGCAACTGGTGAGTGCAGGTTCATAGGGGGAGATAACAGAGAATAGGTATGCAAATAAAACATATTAACAAATACATTTCTGATGATTTAATGATTACACTATTATTCTATGACAATTATTTTATGAATGATGCTGTGTGATAGAGCTATGAAAGGATAATGAATGATTCTCCAAGGTGTTGTAAACAACCAAGGTACATAAAAAAAAAAAAACTTTCATAAAATACAAATTTACATTGGACACTGACAACATGCACAACTGAACAACTACATAAAAACTACACTAAGTATGCCATACATTTACATTTATCTGAAACGGACATACCACCCCTGAAACATGTATTATGGTAGATTAACCTGTCCTATTTTTTTAACTTGTGATCCACAGTTGGATAATAAGTTAAATTCAATTAAAACAATTCTTTCCTCGAATGCCATAAAACTGTAGGAAAATCACAAGTAATTTGAGATTACACCATTTTAGTCTGTCATAAAGAGATTCACTTTTTCTTCTTTGGTCGACCCCTATTGTCCATAGCATCAGCTTTTCTTTTCTGTCCTTTTGGGGTACCTGATTTTCCTCGTCGCCTTTTTTCTGCCTTTTCTTTTTCTTCTAGTTCCATGTTTTCTCTTTCTATCAATGTTATTAACGTATTGCACCTTCTTTGCAACTCCTGTAAGATAATTTAAAATGATAAACTTCCACACTGGCATTCTTTCCAAGTATATCTGATGTCTAATTTCTTTCAATTTTTCCCTTTCAGTTAAATCATGGTTTTATGTTAATTGAGATTGGTACTATTTTTTTTTTATTGTCTCAGTACATTCCAATATTATTATTATATAAAGATTGTTTTTTTTTCTCCCACAAGGTATATACTTGTTAATAAAATATAGTTTAACATGGAAATTGCCTACCATTGCTGTTCTTGATTTGATGAACCAGTCAAATCTGAATTGTGGAGCCTGGCGTACCGACGTCCTTAGCTCATCATACACATTCTCCTTGTCAAAGCCCAGCTTGTGTAGCATACAAATCAGAAACCTGTCCTCTTCCTCGGTGTAATTCTTGCCTTTGTTTGTACCATACTGAATTCTCAGCTGGTGGAATGGAGCTCTGTATCTGGCCATCTAAAATACAGTAAATATTACATGTATAAAGCATTCCATAATATCATTACATTGTCATCCAAAATTAAGTTTTATTTAATTCTATGAAATCACTAATTTTTCTGAGGGTTTAATTTTCATTACTTTCATGGTATGAAGAGACCCACAAATTCATGTGAATGTAAATTTCCTAATACTGTGAAAACACACATTTTTGTGGGGTCAAATTTTCGAGGTTTGAGGAAAAAATATTGGTTCAGGGGATTTGATTTCATGGTTGGGGAAGTGTTGAGTAGTTAGTTATATGTAATTTTTCATTTTCTGGTGGACATGAATTTGTGGGTCTCTTTGTACCTCGAAAAACCACAAAAATTAAACCCCCACGAAATTACTGATATCACTGTATATTATAACTGAACACTTATTCAACCACAAAATCAAACCTCCACATACTAATATTTTTTCCTCAAACAATGAAATTTTGACCCTAAGTGATTTAACAGTAAACATGTACAGTACTCTATACTGGAAAGACTGCCTCTTTAAAGTACATGTAGCTCCCCTTGTACCTTAGCATCCAGTGCCTTTTTTATGCTGATCCTGCGCTGAATCTTTGCTTCTCCACGTTCTATCTGAGCCATGATTTTCTCAATGTCAGTGAGTTCATTACAACGATCCCAAAACACCCCAGAGTATTCCATCACTTCCTCTGGTGTCTTTCCCTCAACATCACGGGCAATGCTGTCCAAGTCATCACGACCATACTTTTCATTGGCCTTGATAAACTGATTGAAATCTCTTTTGCTCCAATTGGTAAATCCCTGTTAAATGTTTCATGAATGTTTATTTTAAATATACAAAAAAGATTCAAGTACTGTAGTGTCACTTGAAAGAAATCATTCCCAAGTTTTGACCAACCCCACTTTAAAGCCTCACCAACCTCTTTGAGAAGTTCCTCCTTTTCTGCAAGCTCTTCCTCTGTTAAGACATCTGCCTCATCAATCTTACTTTGTTCTTCTTTCCTTACTCTCTCAGCATCAGCACCAAGGTCGGGATTCTTGGGGACCTGTCACAAAATGACATTTGCGATTTAAAACACAGAATATAGGATCATGCAAGAGTATTATTAAATCACAAACTTCCATTGATGATATTGACATTAATATAGTGAAAACATTATTTCATAAACACTTTCTTTAAAACCCAAATTTTAAAACTGACAACTTGTGCACACATCTTCACTTTATTTCATGTGTAAAAATTTCTGTCCATTCCATAATTTTTTGGATCAAACACGATGTACAGTGTACATCAGACTATCTAGCTTCTCGTGTCCTTTTACCCCGTAATAAAATTTGATAAGCAAAGACTTATGATCAAGTCTATCAAACCAATATTTCCTGTACTCTGAGTGCACATGAAAAATAATTTAAATTCTGCACATACCCTGTATCCTATAGACTTCCTGAAGTAGTAGATTTCCTTGTCCAGTATCTCAAACAAGCGCGGTGGGAAGAACTGGAAATCTTGTACATTGGGTTGTTTTGGAGGTCTTGGAGCCTGAATTTTAGGGAAAAAGATTATTATTGTTAATTGTTGGTAACAAGCAGCATTCCTTTTATCTAGAAAAACAGATGTTACAACCAATTAGAAGAAAAAAAAACTTAAAAGTATTTACTGCTTACCTTGGGGGCTTTGGGTTCACTGACTCGTAGAGCCTCCCTGAAGTATGCGTCAACAGCATAATTAGCTTTTCGCTCTCGTTTGGGTGGTTCAATCCAATTGCCTATCCCCTTGTGTCTCTCTCTGTAATCCTGTCCCTCAAACTGATACACACTACCCCCTTCTCCTCCTCCTGTATCCATGGTAAACGACCTCAGGGAACCCTCTCCTAGCTTGTCAAACTTAGCTTTGATTTCCTCTGTCTGCAAAATAGAGGAAATCAGTAGACAGATTTTTTAAAACTGATTTAAAATCAGAAGATAATTTTTTTTTAATTTAAAAATTTCATTGCTGATAAAATTTGTTCAAAGATAAGGAATTTTTTTTCTAATCTTTCCCATACCCTCTTCTCTCCTTTTTCGATGATAAGATCAATATCTTCATCTGTAATCTCGCTGTCTTTGGAAGCAAATACATGACTGGCCCCATGTCGGATCATGCTCAGAACTTCATCTTTCCCAAGTTTGTTTGTACTTGGGTCTACCAAACGACCTATGTTGAAAAAAGAAAGATCAAGCATTAAAGCAATGGTAAGAAAGATTAAACATGATACTGGTATCTAATGAAGTTAATCTGATAGCTTAATAGACTACATGTTCTAAACCAGCCACTTCCTCTGAGAAATAACCTTTGGCTTCTTTTCCAGTTAGATACTTTTTCGAAAACCTGAATTTAGCAATACAGGTGCCTTAATTCATGTAGCTTTAATCTGAGCTTCAATCTAAACTTCTTTGGAATGTTTGCTTGACACTGTCTTGAATGTTGCATTTTTATGGTCTATATGTTGCTAGGTAAATCTTGCAATCCACATTATGGTCTAATTCCTGTCCCTAGACCCAAAAAATGTCAAAAGCTCGACTTTTTACCCATTTTTAGTCTTGTTGCTTATAAGAGAAAATTCTACTACAATATAAACTAAATAACCCTTTTTCTTTGCAATTCCTACCCCAAGAGAACATGATTTGCAGTAGACTCATAAACAGATCTCCAATGATAGAAAATATTTTCACTCTTTTCTAAAAAAAAAAATTTAGTCAGTTGCAAAATCAACTTACCTTGCTGAATGACAATGTTATCTAAGCGCAGCTTCATCTCTGCTTTTTCCACGATTCTTTCCTCAACAGAATTTTCTGTGATGAATCGGAAAACCTTGACCTGCTTCTTCTGACCAATACGATGGGCACGATCCTAATGAAAACATGTCAAGATTCATGATTATCTTTTAAGAAAAATCAATCATTACTTTTATTGTCACATTTCATTATGTTTCTTATCCATTACACTTGACATCACAGTTAACCTCAACTTAGAGATCCAAATGTTTATTGAAGTTACATGTGGACTTATCAATATTTATTTTTCATTTTTCCTTGCCATGATCAGAACACTTTTTGCTGTAAAAGATTTCCTACTAACCATAGCTTGTAGATCAACCTGGGGGTTCCAGTCCGAGTCATAAATAATGACAATGTCTGCTGTAGCCAAATTGATACCTAATCCCCCTGCTCTTGTACTCAACATGAAGACAAATTTTGAACTGTTTGGCATGTTAAAATCATTTATGTAGTTCTGAAATAGCAAAAATACAGTGTTCAAATCTCTATAAAATGACTTAAGTAATATACTTGTACTGATATTTAGAAAGTGAAATACCCTTTCAATCTCAATAAGTGAACTGATAACTGGTGATTTAGTAGAATTTAGCAAATATCAGAATGGTAACATTACTTTAGAACAAAATGTGAAAGTTTTCATTTTTGGCTTTTAAACTTTTTTTTGTAGAAGTACATAAACATATATGAATATATGTGTAGAGTCTAACACTGTGCAGCATTCTCTCTGATATAATACCTTTATTTCTATTCAAGATTTTTTTTTTTGCAGCTTTAATTAAATCTAATTGTCAATGAATTATTTTTCCCCAGAATCACTAACTGTTCTGTCTTCATGTGGAGTTTGACCGTCCAGTCTACAGTACTCGTATCCTCTCCAATGGCAATAATCCTCTAGAATGTCCAACATCCTTGTCATCTGACTGAAGATTAGAACTCGAGAACCTGTCAATGTTAACACATTACAAAACATGATACATGCTGCTACAGTAAAAATGGGTTATAGCAAAATCTTGAGGACCTGTGAACTTTACTTCACTATATCAGTAATTCATTATAATGAATTTGTGAAGGCATATACTGTTACAGTGAATTTGCAATATTTACTTAAAGTATGACTACCGAATATGTTCAAGGAAGTATGAAATACAAAACTATACTTTATAAAGTTGAACAAGTGGTCACAGAGAGCCAGAGTGACTAAGTGACATGTTGTAGTTACACGTGGCAAATAGCTGCGTCGTATAGCTAAGTCTCTCTTTGTGTACTTAATTGTAGCACTAGGCAAGTGACAAATTATAAAAGATTACTAATACATGTAAACTGAATTTCAAATATGAATACTTACGAAAAAAAATGTCGGTTCAATATTTTTAATTTAGGTATCTTTAAAAATCTGTTAATAAATGATATAAATTTCGGTATTTTTAACATCTATGAAACATAAAATTAGGTTGCTATATCTGTAAGTCCATCATAACCATAAAATTTCACAAGAATTTGTTAAAAAATTTTCAGGGGATCCCAAAAAACTTTGCTATATCCATAAATTTGCTATGTCCATGTTCTTACTAAACAGCTCCCATACAAATTGCCTTTGTCATTATGAGACTATACAATTCATCATGCATGAGAGAAGAATACATACCCTGGGCCTGGAGTTTTGGTAGAAGTTTGTCAAGGATAGCCATTTTACCACTGTTTTCATACAGATGTTTGTCAGTGGTGTAAGGAGGACCTGTAAGACAATCATTCATTATCGATCAAAACGTATATTAGTTAGTAAATGACTCCTACTGAATCACATGTGTTTATTTTCACATTGACTATAAAACTACATCTACATGTATTCTTTAATGGCCTGTATCAAATTTACTTAGGAACTATGTTATAATGCCACACATGTGAAATATAAATTTACCTGGCTCCGCTCCATCAAAGAGATAAGGATGATTGGCACACTTCCTCAGCTGCATGAGGATGTTCAGCAGTCTCATTTTGTCCGACTTTCCAGCTCCATTGACCACATCAATATCTTTCATGAGGATCTTTGTGTACCTGTAATATCTTTCTTTTTAACATACCTGCCTCACAAAACTAAATTGCATGTATATAAGTTCCAGCTTTGTCTACACTGAAACACTTACCATTCTCTCTGCATCTTACTGAGGCCTACAAAGATCTTGATTTCCTTTTTGGGTAACAGGGCTTTCTCTACATCAGACTTTATACGTCTTAAAAGGAAAGGCCTTAAAACCTGGAATCATTAAATGCAAGTATTTTCAAATTCACTGTACTAGGGATAGCTTAGAAAACTTCTGTTTTGGTCTAATGCCAAGATCTTCAAGACAGTCATAAGTTCTTTGCATAGTAATACAACTAACAAAATAAAGGTCAAATTCTGCATCTGTATTAATAGTTTTACAATGACTGTTCCTGCCTTTTAGATTACTGATGTATTTATACATACTGCGTGAAGCCTTTCAACTAGAGCTGTGTCTCCAAAGCAGCTGTTTGTATTAAACCATGAATCAAAGTCCTACAAAACATTCAAAACAAAAGAAGTTTTTAATGCCATACAATATGAGTAAATGACACTAAGAAAAGTTCCTCTCACTTATTGTATGATTTTTAATGAGTCACTCTCATTTTTCCCTTTTCATAAATGTCCAAGAGTGCCCAAGTAATCTCCTTGAATTCATGAACACAAACTAGAAATATCACAAATCAAGGGATTCAAATTCTCTACAGCTGTCATCTGTACTTTTCCTAACAAATACTTACTTCTGAGGAGTTGAAAACATCTGGAAGAAGGAAGTTCAACAGGGCCCACAACTCATGAAGGTTATTCTGCAGTGGTGTTCCAGTCAAAAGCAACCGGTTTGTTGATTTAAATTCTCTGACAATTTCAGACAGCTGACAAGATAACACAAACGAATTGATACAAATGTACTAGATGTCATTCATAGCTGAAACTTCACCTTTTTACTGTAAGCTGAGTTTCAATGTCTTCGAAATGATACTAATGGATTTTCATACATGTATGTTAAACAAGGTATTTAAGATTTGTAAAGAAATGTTTTTGATGTTGTTAAGTAATACTAACAAAGATATTAATTAGTTAGAATTTAGCATATTAACTCACCTTTGACTTTTCATTCTTGATTCTGTGAGCTTCATCAATCACCAGATATCGCCAATTAAATTTCTTGAATACTGATTTTTCTCTGATACACATTTCATAAGAAGTAATACAAACATCCCATTCTCCTGGCATCATGACATCTCTGATAAAAGCAGTCTGACAAAAACAACACATTATACAGTTAAAACAGAAATCTCTGACTTCTAAAAAATGCAACGACATTTTCTGTTCAAATTTAAACAGTGTTTTTCTCTGTGTTAAAACCTTAATGAATGCATACCACTGTTCTTTAATGCAAACTTACTCTTTGATCCTGATTTCCAATGAGACAAACTGCCCTTAGTGTTGGACACCATCTCTTGAACTCTGCCTGCCAGTTAGCCAGAGTGGACTTTGGACAAATGACTAAGTGAGGAGAGGGAATGTGTCTGTAGTGTTTCATGTATCCAAGCAGGGAAATCGTCTGTAGCGTTTTACCAAGGCCCTACAACACACCATTCATATCTCTACAATAGGTTTCTGGTCATACATCATTCTTTTTCTTAAGCCCCAATATGAACAATGCCTTATTACATTCAAAATAGAATTGAAGTTTTGACAAGCATTGCTGTAATATGTGGAGTAATTTAGGCTAAACAGGGGATAATAAATGTTTTGCTTAAATATTACCCATTACCAATATCTTCATATAACGTTTTTTTTAATAAAATAGTATGGTATATTACTGTTGAACTTCATCATCTTGAATATCGATATCTTGAATACTATAGATATGTCGAAATGATTAGGAATTCAGAACCACTTTTGTATTTTAACCATGTTATCTCAAACCCTCAAATATCTTCAAGTTTTTACTTGGTCCCATCCAGTTTGAGATACTGAGGACAGAGGCTTGACTGTTTATTGGTATTGCATAAATCATCCCAGCAGGTAAGGTTTTTGCTACCATTTTGTGTAATTAGCATGTGTTAATATCCCGGTTTACAGTATTGATCTCTATTTGTTATTACATTCTTGTTATTATTTATAACAGTTGTGCACTCCTCTTTAACAACATATTAGTTATTACATAAAATGTTTACCATTTCATCTGCCAAGATGCCATTGATTCCATTTTCATATAATGAGATCATCCAATTTAATCCACGTACTTGATAATCCCTCATCTCTCCTGACTTGATATCTATCAGAAATTTTTTAAAAAATGTTTAAAAAAAAAAATACAAAAAAATTGTATTTGTTGCTATGAAGAATTGTCAGAATTACTAGTTTATTTCTTACGACAATTACATTCTTACACCAGTTTATTTCTTACATGAAGGGCTGTTTTCAAATCTGAATGTAGCTGCATTAGCTTTTTTACTCTCGGACAATAATTCTTCGTCCTCCTCCTGTTCTGTACGTCTATGGCGATGACTGTAATACAATAATCAGGTTCTATAATGTTTAAATTAAGTTTCTGAATCAAAGATTTCTTATTTGACTGTAACTCTACTGGTTTGTACTTAGAATTGCAAAGTAACACTGTTACAACGCACTTTGAAAAATTATGCACTTTGAAAAATTTTTTCAAAGGGCATTAATTTTGGGACCACGTTAATGCACTTTGAGAAATATGTGCACGGCTTGGTCAATATTCTTGCAAACTTTAGGTATGATAAATAATTATTTGAACCTGGTTGGATAACTTTTCGGTGATGACGTCAGGATCTGAGATATAGACGTTTTAAAGATTTTTAGGAGTTGTCTTGTTTCCAAAGGTTCTCGTAACTGTTATAAAAGGGAAATGGGTCCTAGAAATAATGGAGGAATGATTGTTTAATAGCACAGTTTCGTTTCTTTTTTAAATTTTATCTAGTCTCTAATAAGTTCGGTAGATGTAGGTGTCGATAATGACTTAATTAAAGCATCGCATTTTTCTTAGGGAAAAGGGAGCAATCATGATTTTTCCATACCATGAAAATTCTCTCTCTCTCTCTCATCTATTTTTCTATCATATTCATCTATCTATCTATTGTGAACATATATGAAACAATGGTTGACTCATTTATTTGATAATAATAAAATAAACCTTAGCCACATTAATCACTCGACTGAAATTTTTACCTCGTTCACTAATAACTTTTTCTCAAAAAGTTATGCAGTCAGATTACTTCTAAATCTGTAATTTGATATCATAAAAATGCTAGACATGTCAAATAGCATGTTTTAATTACCATGTAAATGCATTTTTCTGAGGAATCATTGTGGATACATTTGGAGTAAAGGTTATGCCGCTCTCTTCTTTAATATAATAGGGAGCGTATCTTTTTTTTTCAGGAAAGCTTATCTCAATTTTTTCGTCTATTTTACGTTAACTCAAATTTATTGAGAGAAATAATATCAGTTATGTAAATACATATATTTGTGTAGGATAGAGAGTTGGGCTGAGGGACTTTCTACCTGTCTTCTCCTCGTTCTCAATGAGGGTAGATCAATTCATCAGTTTTTCGGAAGAAATATAACAAATTAATGCTATCTATTATTAAAATCTGAGTCCAGAATATTTGTTTTTTACGTATTTTTTCAAAGTGCGTTAAGTGTCTCCATGGTAAAAAATGTTCATGTACACTCTTAACTTTGAAAAAAAATTTCAAAGTGCGTTGATTTAGTCCAAAATTTAATGCACTTTGAAAATTTTTTTCAAAGTGTGTTGATTTTGTCCCAAATTTAACGCACTTTGAAAATTTTTTTTCAAAGTGCGTAATTTTTTCAAAGTGTGTTGCCACATAGCACCTCATCAAGTATTACATTTATAGAATTTACCGTATTTTGCTGAATATAATACACACTTTTTTCCTAGAATATTTCTTTGCGAGAATGGGGTGTGTAATGTACACCATAACAGGATTTTGATGTTTCTCTTTCAGGTGAAGCATGGCTTTCATATGGACATACAGACATAGCCAATATCTTGTTGTTTACTGCTATATTTAAACCTTACGAAATTATTATTGGAACGTTAACTTGTCGAAAATTTTATATTTTTAAGGTGTTGATAGTTAAATTGGGCGTGCTTGATTTAGCTTAACTCGATGTACAAAATTGAGTTAATTCCCTTTTCAATACGTCAATTAAATTGATCAATGCAGCAGTTTTTGACTTGATGCGGCGGTGCCTGAGAAACTATTGATTAAATTTTTTTGGCCTTATTGAAATATAATTTTATCTGAAAAGATTACCACAATGCGTAACGTCGGGATAATCATTAGCTCAAAAACAAAATCAGCACATAAAAAAATTATCGTGTTTAAATTGCAGATACATTATTTCTGCAAAAATTTTCGGTAAAATTACCGCGATGTAAAAGAGTCAAGATTATCACTTGCTCGATTTTTTCTGCGTATAATACGACTGAACTGTGTTTTTTCCCCAAATTTTCAGGCCCAAAAAGGGGGGTGCATATTTTACAGAATGTGTGTCATATTCAGCAAAATATGCTGTGCATTTTGATTTTTCTACACTTGTGGAAAGTTTACTGAAATTAAACCAAAACTATATGAGGATTTACAATTTGAATCAATTTCACAGATAATTTTATTTTTAGTTATCTATTACAATATCATTCATAGAAATTGAAAATCACTATATAGAAATATGTCTACCAGAGTACCACTTTTCACTGAAAATGCAACATACTATTAATGAAGCAAAACATATGATATCTAAGCTTGCAGTGTTAAAAAAAACATGTTGAAGACATTTTTTAATAGAAATAACTGTTTTTCTTATTTCCGCTTTCTTAATCTCCTAAAATTTTAGAACTATCAGACATTTCATACAAAAACACATGATCCTAAATACTTACTCTCCTGCAGACACTAGTTTGGCCCTTTCATCTTGTTTTTTGCCCTTGGTTGGTCGACCTGGTTTCATCTTCAGTGGACTTGTAGGCGTTTTGCCACTTCCTGTTTGCCCACTACCCGTGTGCATGAAATGGGAAAATAGTTCTGTCTGCTTGAGTAAGAACTCAAATCGATTTCCCCTGTCTGTTTCCTGTGAAAGAATTTGAACATCTATTGCCTCTGACTAACAACTGAACATTTCATATACATAAAGTCCAAATATCAATTGAAGGTTTTGGTCCAATTAACCTGTAACAGGTCTGGACGATTTCCAAATATGGAAGTCAAGAAGGATAACTGAAAGTTGCTACAAATATACTTCATGTACAGGTAAAAATGTTTCTGTCCAATCAGAAAACAGCATTTTCACACACCCCAAAACAGATAAAAGAGAACATGTGCTTTTGTTTTTCTCCTCAAGAAGATATTTTTACAAAAAATCTTTTGAAGATGAAAAGGTTGAAGGAATAAGGTATCCCCCACATATTTATCATGAACAAATGAGATATTTTCATCTTGAAAAAAAAAAAACAACACATTAATGCATGTAACAAAATGTGATCGTTTATGGAGGAATAGATCACACCGTCAAAATATTATCAATTACAACATTTACCAGAAAATGCTTAAGGTTGGTAAATATAATGTTGCTTAGCCATTCTGATTTTCATCATATATGTGAAGCTTTCATGCATACAACTCTAATGCACATAAGTGTTCATCGTTTATACAACATGTACGTTTAAACATCCCGGGTTTCATGAGTGCTGAATATTGTGATATATACATAATGATGTACAGTGAAACTTCTCCAAACCAGCCCCCCTGAAAAACCGGTTCTCCCTAAACTTCGACCGAATTTATAAGTCTCGGCAAAATTTTTAACATTTTTTTTACACATAAATTCTCATAAAAACAGCCAACCCTGAAAACCGGACACCTGCCACTTTTCTAAGAACAAAATATAAGAAACATAGGTAACTTCCCCTCATTATACCAGCCACTTTTTGATTGCAAGAATTATAACTGTCATTGGCCAGAGTGGTAGTAATGACCGACCAGAGATGTGAGATGTGAAAAATACCAACCAGAAGTCAGAGGTGTGAAAAACTGCAAACAGCCTCTTAGGGATTTCTATTGTTTACCTGTGATTTGAAGGGGTAGTCATCATGCCAGGCTATGTAAGTGACCGGTCTAAGTTGTGTACACATGATTATAAGCTTCATGAATTGATAAAAATCAAACTATTGAATTAATAAAATATCAAACATATAATGAATACACAAAATATTGCAAGCCATGTTGCATCATACTTTTAAATAGACATAAGAGGCCTTAGAATTGGACACTGAAAGAAGACAAAAGCTGAGAAAAAAAATCAATAATGTTTATCAAAATATATGTTTTATGATTAAAAGAACAGAAATTTTGCTAAGAAATGTTCTAATTATTTACATTTCACTACAGTACAAAAAAAATTTATTAATGTCAGACGTGATAGGCATATACATGTAGATAGTTTAGGTAAGGAGGTGGGTTTTTTAATTGATTAATAAAGTACCTTTCCACGTTTTTTTTTTTTGTTCTTATTTAAGATTATTTAAAATTAATCTTAAAAAAGTCACCATGCAGCTATGTCGAAATTATCTTTACCAACCAGGGCTCGACATTAATTTTTTTTTTCCTACTTGTCCATTCGGACAAGTGACCAAGACATTTACTTGTCCGAACTTCAACTTCACTTGTCCGATTTTTTTTTCAATAAAGATCTAATACTGTCAATTGGAAAACTAAATAAAGTCCATTACATGTGCGTGATATTATTCATAAATACAACAAACACATAAAACAAAATTTTATCTAGACTTTCTGTCCTGACAACAACATCAATGTTCACAAGTGAATCTGTCAACATAAATTCGCAAGTTTCATGCCTTTGAGTATGCAATAAGTGAACTTCGATCCCGATCGAATGTACTGTTTCCGTATCTGAAGTACCGGTAAACTTTCAAGTCATTTTTAAATTATTTGGAGACGTCTTTACATTAAAATACACTTGTCCAATCGGACAAGTGCCCAGCAATATCCACTTGTCCGTAATTTTTTTCCACTGGTACCGGACAAGCGTTAATGTCGAGCCCTGCCAACGGAATAATTAATTTTCGTGAATCTTTAGGCCTTTGGTATACAATAGGTACCTAACGATAATTAATCATGTGTTGACCAACAATCATATGAGATGCCAATTTTATATCTTTCCTAGTATCTGGCAGATAATTCCACATGCAATGATCATCTTGTATAATTTTCTAAAGTAAATCATACTCAAAATTACTTAGTTTGAAAAGTTGTTTGTACATGTATATTGTTTATTAGAGAAATACCGACATCTTACGAACGAACGTAACTCGCCCTAACTTCCCGTATCTCGGTAGTTTTCCCGGGACCAGTTATTGCACCTAGTTTAACATTAATAAATCAGAAGAATTAAGTATATGCGTATAATAGAACGGACAGTATGTTAATGACTTTGTAAATGATAATTTCTCCTGTCTAATTTTCTGTGATCACTTACAATGTAATTAAAAGCGGACAAATAGAAGAAAATACGCCAAAATACCTAAGACGGGTTAGGAAACACATTTGTCATGCGTCAGTGGTTATACGTATATACTAGTGTCAGCTGTGTTCATTTGGGGAAGTTACGTTTTATAGCATGGATGAAATCTAAACTCACACCCTGTATAAATCCATGCAAAGGCAACAAGTTACCAGGTGATGCGATTATATAGTGTCTTGTATTTAAAAGTATACATTTATGTGCTTGTAAGAGAGAGAGAGAAAGAGAGGGAGAGCACATGCAATGGACAATAATTGTTGTAATGAATTATACAATGTAGCATTGTTTTCCAACGTTTCAGAAATCAACCATTAAAAATCAGAAAATAGTTGGCACTTCTCCGGAAAATGTAATATTTTTAAAGTGGTCGCGCGTAGATGTCTGTGTACTTGGGGAGGGAGAGGGGGTCGAAGCTCAACTAATCGAATTGAATGTCCATTTTCATTACATTTAACTAAATACATGGAATACTACGATCCATATACTACAATCCTTATGAAAGTGGAATGGGGCAATGCATGCATATGCAATAAATTTTTTTCCATATCGTATCTAGTAAAAGAAAGAGTAACTTCATAAAGAAAGAAGGGTAGGTTTTTCTTTATGCGAAATATCACTTCAAAGAAATAAACGAGCATTCATATGATAGACGGTATCTTCTTGGATGATGTATTATGTTGCAATCTTCACTTAATTTATCTGTCGGCTGCCTTTCATGATATATGTTATATCTATATAGATATGTGGATTATAAAAGCTGCAAATTATGTATTTGGGTAGGGTTCACAGACATAGCATCGTTTTTTTAAAGCTGGGGGGTGGGGGGGGGGGGGGAAGCCAGAGAAAAAAATTCAACTTACCTGAAAAACCTGACAAGCAAAATAATTAAAAAAACACCCTTCTTTCGGTACCAATTTTTTTCCCATACATTACTACATTAGCCTTATTTGACTGTACTGCAACAAAGTGGGGAGGGGGCAATGAGCCTTTCAATGAACATTTCCAACAGTAAAAAGTAATGTGTGGAAAAGGTGGGGGCAGGCCCCTCTGGGTGGTGTATATTTATTTATTTTTCTTTGTACTCAAGCTATGTACCATTATATCGTTTGTTAAGCATGCATTATTCGTCAGAATATAAAATTACAAGATACACTGTATACGTGAAGGGTAACTTTGACCCCGCACTCAGAGTAATTTCGAGCGAAGCTCTAATGTACAGGAAAAAAAACTATAGTCGAAATTATAACTTGCGTCACCTCTAAGAAAAAAAAATCCTTGATTTATTCAAGTACACTGACAAAAAGATACTGTAGTTCTCTAAATGTGAATAATTTGAAGACATCAAGTGCATGACGCTGATTCACTGAGTTGTCAAGGCATGCTTCAAATGTACATGCACACACAGGCAAATAAACAGAACAAACGAGTTTTCACTGATTCTACTGATATTTTTTTTTCATTTTTTAAAACAGTCATAAAATCTTTCTGGTAAAAGTTATATTGCTGTAGATTTATTTATTATTCATTAGTCGAATTAGAAACATATAATTTTCGTTTTTAAAAGTGGGAGGGGTTTGGGGAGCCAGAGAAAAAAATCAACTTACAAGAAAAAATCTGACATGCAAAAACAAAAACAAAAAAAACAAACAAACAAACAAACAAACAAAACAAAAACAAAAAAGGGGGTGAGGTTTAAACTCGAAAATCCTTTTTTCATGTGGGGTGGTCCAACTTTTTTAGAAAAAATTTCTTTATACATTATCATATAAAAATTAGGTCGGTAGATAGGTTATAAATTTTTTTCCAGAAAATGTCAACATTCTTATTGATGGAGAAAGAAAATTCAGGAGGAAAAATTATCGTTTCCTCAGATTAAACAAGTTTTGAGTCGGGTCATTTTTAACCAGTCGGTGAGAGCAAAGAAACAATTTTTTAAAGATAGTCTAACCTAATTTGGTTGATACCACGTGTCTGGAAGTTACTCACCGAAGCAGCATTCATGTGGACAGGGGTTACTAAGGCCAATTTCTGTTCAGCTGATTTAATTGCATTGCATTTTTCTTTGTAAAAAACTGAATATTTTAAAATGAGTGTGCATGAGTTTCATTTACAAAAACATTCTCATATATGTCACGTCAGGAATGGCTATTGATTAATTTTCTACACAGATATTGTCAGAGATGATAATTCCTTGTAATGGCTAAGAAAACTATCAAAATAAAATTAAACCCGGCTTCAATATACATGTACATGTATTATAGCCACATCATGAATCCCTGGGAAAAAAGCCGGTTCGTAATTTTTCGGCTGATAAGGCTTCTTCTTAGATATATGCGATCCTTCGATGTAATTTTGCTCCAGTCTTTGCCCCCCCCCCCTTTTCAGCTCTTTGATTTTTTTAAAATTAAATATTTCGGATTTCCAACGATTCAGCATGAGCATTACTGTAGATTCCTAAATATACGCGAGGAATAAATTATCGCGTAATTACGTGAGAAGCGCCACTCGCGAAATAAAATTACTCGCTTTTATTTTATGGTGCTTTACTGTATATAAAATCTTTAGATAAATCACCCATTCAAGAATTATTGTTCTCGCGATTTGATGCCCTTCGGCCATTTTGCGATATTAAGTACTCGCGTAAAATAAGGAATCTACTTAAGAGACATAATTTGTTTAAAGAGACACTGTGACGGACTAACAGGAAAACTGACAGAAGTAAAATTTTTGCAAGACACATGCAGATTTAATTCAATTCTTGAAAGTATTAGGTTTAAGAAAATTTCAGGTTTCAGAACCTAAAACATAGGTAATCAAAGATTACGAAGCTCACCTCGACGAATGTTATCTACATGTAAGGCAAATTTCACATCATATTTTTTTTCTAGTTAGGGTACATCCCAAGATCAATGTCCATGCAAGTTTGATTTAATTACAGACCTGCTCAAAAAACTTTTGACCTGTTTAGTAATCAAGAAAATTTTGGTCACTTCCAACATCCAAAGCAAGTCTGGAAGTTTTCATTCTTAGATGCACCATCTATGCAAGTTTAATCATAACAGGCCATAATATTATATAGCTACTCCAAAAAATTACCCTGGTCACTCATCTGGAAAATGTACATCAGATTCAGAATCCAAGGCAAGTCTGGAAGTGTCCATCCCTAGATACATCATCCATGCTAATTTGGTTAAAATATGGCTAAAATTCACTCATGTGGAAAATCTAGGTCAGATCCAGCATTCGAAGCAGGTTGGTTAGTGTACATCCCTAGATGCATCATCCATGAAAGTTTGGTCCAGGTAGGGCTTATAGTTACTTGGAAACGAGACTACTCCTAAATCTAAACCTGGTCTCACATGTGGAAAATCTAGGTCAGATCCAGCATCCGAAGCAAGTGTGGTAGTGTCCATCCCTGGATGCATCATCCATGCAAGTTTGGTACGGGTAGGGCTTATAGTTACTTGGGAATGGACCTGCTCCTAAAACTTTAACCTGGTCACTCATCTGGAAAATCTAGATCAGATCCAGCATCCGAAGCAAGTGTGGTAGTGTCCATCCCTAGATGCATCATCCATGCAAGTTTGGTCCAGGTAGGGCTTATAGTTACTTGGGAATGGACCTGCTCCTTAAACTTTAACCTGGTCACTCATCCGGAAAATCTAGGTCAGATCCAGCATCCGAAGTAAGTGTGGCCATGTCCATCCCTAGATGCATCATCCATGCAAGTTTGGTCCAGGTAGGGCTTATAGTTACTTGGGAATGGACCTGCTCCTAAAACTTTAACCTGGTCACTCATCCGGAAAATCTAGATCAGATCCAGCATCCGAAGCAAGTGTGGTAATGTCCATCCCTAGATGCATCATCCATGCAAGTTTGGTCCAGGTAGGGCTTATAGTTACTTGGGAATGGACCTGCTCCTAAAACTTTAACCTGGTCACTCATCCGGAAAATCTAGGTCAGATCCAGCATCCGAAGCAAGTGTGGTAGTGTCCATCCCTAGATGCATCATCCATGCAAGTTTGGTCCAGGTAGGGCTTATAGTTACTTGGGAATGGACCTGCTCCTAAAACTTTAACCTGGTCACTCATCTGGAAAATCTAGGTCAGATCCAGCATCCGAAGCAAGTGTGGTAGTGTCCATCCCTAGATGCATCATCCATGCAAGTTTGGTCCAGGTAGGGCTTATAGTTACTTGGGATTGGGACTTGCTCCTAAAACTTTAACCTGGGACGCCGACGCTGACGCCGACGCCGGGGGGTATAGCATAAGCTCATCTCGACTTCGTCGAGGTGAGCTAAATATCTACTTTTGTGGAGAAAAATATTAAGGAAAAATAATTTTAGTTTGCCCCAACACGAAAAAGAAAACTTAAAAGAAACACATGATATTGACTCACTATGTAACTTTAAATGCGCATCTGGTGCATCAAAATTGGCACCGTATATGATTTACATGTGCAAAGTTTAGCCAGTAGCATGAACAAAAAGGCCATTGTTTTATGTTTTTTTTTTTTTTTTAACTCTCCCTCGCCCTCTTTTTCGTTTTCGTAAGACAGAATCTTTGACTTCATGCTTCGAAATGAGACATTTTTCATTTTCCTTTTACATGTGTATTTCCCTTTTCGGAACCCCTTTGCTCGTTTAAATGTCCATTGAAATGTATTGTAGCGTCACGGTAGCGAGGTAGTTTTGAGGTATCCTGCGGGGATTTTATCTTTATTTTATCTCAATAACATTGAAGAATTAAATAATGCAACTGTGAATACAATGAACGATCCCCTTTTTTGGTTACGTTCGTTCGTAAGATGTCGGTATTTCTCTATTACAACATTAGCCATTAACACTATATTAATACTGTAATTCTGTAAGTACTGTTAATCTGCAATTCTTCAGTTTGCTAAATTCGTGGTATACCGGCCACCCCTCTAGTCCAGCCATTTCATCCAGTCTGTCAGCAGGCCGATTTAGAGAAGTTTTACTGTATACACTTTAAATGGCGTAAGGAAAGGTGTAAAATGTAGGGAAAGGGGAATGAAGATGAACGCTTTTTATCACCATAACTTACCACACATACCAGAAACTGGACAATTTTGTTATACATGGGAAATTTAATTAATAGTTCTAACTGTTGGGATTGCTACCTCATACTGACAGACTTTAACCCCACTTAGAAATTACTCTAAGCTTTCGAGTCATGTTTGTTCATAGTAGAATTGTTATATATGCTGTATGATTCCTAAATGTGCATTAAGATTTCAAAAAATTCTAAAAATTTCTTCTGAGCATATTTGGAAATCATCCAGACCTGTTTAATGCAGATTTAAAACTTAGTTGCTGAAACATATGTTGTCAGGATGAAGTCTGCAAATTGAAGGACACTCAAGTTTTTCTGTCATATAAAATATTTGACAACTTGAGATCTTCACATATAGAAAGTTGCATCTATTGAAACTGTCAATGTCCACACAAAATTAGCATATGTCATGAAAAAAAAAAATCCATTAAAATTTGTAGTTCAAATCAAAACAATTTGTGTTGAACAAGTTATTGAAATTGCACAACCTGCATTTGTGCACATGGAACTTGCAGTTTACACTTTTTTATTCCTCAAAAAAAAGAGGGAGGTTTCTCCTTTTTGTTTACAAGATTTGTAAATAAATATAGGTTGATGAAACTTATGAAACTGCCAACTTTACACTTACAATTTTGGTATCGAAATCCTCCTCATCCTTTTCTTCATTATCATTTTTTCCTTTTGGTGGATTCTTGAGTAAAACTGTTGGGCCAACCACAGGCTGAAAAAAAAAATTACAGCTGTATGTATGCCCTTCACACCTATTCTGATTCACAATCGAACTCAGTGTACTTATCTGTGTACACCAGTGCATAACACAGATACTTTTATACCATGAAATATGATCAAGAAATAAGGTGAATTTTAAACATGTACTGGGATATAAATACGGGTTGGTCAAGTGATCAAATCCCATAAAGCAATGGCACTCTCAGAAAAACATTACAGTGCCGCAGTATTAATTATATTGTTATAATCATGATAAAGATTTTTTCATTTCATTTATCAAGAAATACAAACCAAATTTTTTTAGAATTTTTTCCACAATCTTATATTATTGTCATCTCTAATGACAGCATTAAGAAACCATAAGAGACATGATCTTTTCACATTACCATCGTCATCCTTCATAATTAAAACCTCCTTATATATAGGATTCTCAAGTACCCAAACTCCGTCAGCACAACAGGGGACGAAATTAACGGGAAATACTTGCTAAATGCGAATTAAAAACAGAAATTGTGAGTTAAAAGCGACCTGTGGTCGCCAACTTTTGCGAGTAAAAAAAAAAAGAAGGTTTTTTTCGGATTTTTTTTTAGTTCCAGGGATGTGCAATTACCATTGCCTCACACCGGGGCTACCATTTTTGGGGGTCGGGCTAGTGATTTCATGCACAGAGGTAGCCCCTCAGGCTAGTAAAAATTAAAATTACCCATGTAATACATGAAAAGCACTACAGGTATTTTTGTTCACTTTTTTGCTATCAAATTCTCAAACAGTGAAAAATTTCCAGGTAGCATGCTCCTATAGTTCGTAAATCTTCATAATCTTATCCATTTTGCAATGCTACAGGGCTCGAAATCATTGATGGCCCGCTGGTCTGGGGCCGGTGAATTTTCAATCCGGGCTAGTGCATTACAGAGGGCATGTGCTCTTTGGGTCAGCATTTTTTTTTATTCATAATAAAATTCATTCACAGTCAGGCTAGTTAACTTGACAGGGTTGTGTGTCCCAACTTCTGCTGTTTCTTGTTTTTTTAAGTTGTACTTCTAAATATCACAATATAAAAAAATATTACTATTATTATTATGGTTTTGGGCCAGTCTTTTTAAAACCTACTGGCCCAGTGGGACAGTGAAAGTACTAAGCTGACCAGTAAAAACTTAAGGCGATAGCCCGAGTGACCAGTAAACAAAAATAATTATTTCTAGCCCTGTACTACCTGACTTTATTTACTTCCAAAAACGATCGTTTTTTTTCCCTAATCCGAATTTCCTCCATTCCTTTGTTTATGGTAAATGCATGTAAATATCCCATTTAATTATTTACGATCACTTAATCAACTAGAGGAAAAGTCTTATGTGATTTTCAAAAAATATATTTAAAGAGTATTAAATGATTTAAGATGAAAAAAATATGAAAGATAATTTATTTTTAAATTATTTTTGTTATTTTCAATCATAATTGATTTATATACGATTCAGTTTTTCTAGTGAGAATTAAACTCTCAACTTAAAAGAAAAATGACCATAAGACCCTGACTTTTTCAACAATAACTTATTTTTCTTTCATTGTTGGTTACTTTTTCCACTTACGTTTGAGCTAGTAACTTTTTACTTGGGGCTAGTATAGTCTGTGGGCTAGTGCTTGAATTTTTTAATTGCACACCCCTGTATCCATTCAGATTTCACCTTGTATAAAATGACCTTAATACTCACAAGGTGTAAATTAGTTTTCTGTGAAATCATTCAAATATTTCCTATGTTAATTACTATGAGAAGAAAAAAAATGCTAGTGAAAATTCAATATTGCTAGTAAAAAAAAAAATTCCACTAGTAAAATTTGCTAGTGTCAAAAAAGTTAATTTCGATCCCTGCACAAGCGAAAAACATGTTGCGTTACCTTCAGAATTATTTTTCAAATTGAATTTTAATTATAACACTTAGATATGACCTTAAACATTGTTTTTAGTTGTTGACAAAAACTTGCAGTTATCAGGCTTATATAACACTACTCAACTGATTGTATATCACATTCAGGTACCTTATGTATGAATGTAGTTCCATCACCTGGACATTTTATACAATATGCCAAAGTGTTGAAATAATTTTTCCTGTTTTTTTTTTTATTTTTCTTTTTTTCTAAAATGTATAAACATAAAAAATTAGTTTTCACAGTTTAAAGACAATATTTAATTGTTTTTGAATAAAGTAAACAACAGCATAAAAAAATTCATTAATATAACATCTTTCATATGGATAACAACACACTACTGTTATCTCCAATGTGAAGTGCACAACAGCAAATGTAGAAACTAGAAATATGTCCATAGGACATGAATGCCCCGCCAAGGGTATATTAGTAATGCAACATTTTAACACAAATTGAGAAAAGTGAGGTCAAGGTCAAAGGAAAAGTCAAGGTCAAAAAATATTGCTGCAGTTGAATAGCTTACATCAGTATGTATCAGCATATGACGTTTGATTCAGAAACTAATTTAAGAAAAGTGAGGTCAAGATCAAAGGAAAGGTCAAGATCAAAAAATGTTGATGTAGTTGAAAAGGTTACATCAGTATGTATAAGCATATGAAGTTTGATGAAAATATTATGAATGGTTTCTTTAAAACTGAGCTAAACACTAATTTAAGAAAAGTGAGGTCAAGGTCAAAGGAAAGGTCAAAGTCAAAAAATATTGATGCGATTGAATAGCTCTCATCAGTATGTATCAGCATATGAAGTTTGACACTAATTTAAGAAAAGTGAGGTCAAGGTCAAAGGAAAGGTCAAGGTCAAAAAATGTTGATGCAGTTGAAAAGGTTACATCAGTATGTATTAGCATATGAAGTTTGATGAAAATATTATGAATGGTTTCTTTAAAACTGAGCTAAACACTAATTTAAGAAAAGTGAGGTCAAGGTCAAAGGAAAGGTCAAGGTCAAAAAATATTGATGCAGTTGAATAGCTCTCATCAGTATGTATCAGCATATGAAGTTTGACACTAATTTAAGAAAAGTGAGGTCAAGGTCAAAGGAAAGGTCAAGTCAAAAAATGTTGATGCAGTTGAATAGCTCTCATCAGTATGTATCAGCATATGAAGTTTGATAACACTATCTTGAATGGTATCTTTAAAACTGAGCTAAAAACTTATTTAAGAAAAGTGAGGTCAAGGTCAAAGGAAAGGTCAAGGTCAAAAAATGTTGATGCAGTTGCATAGCCCTCATCAATATCTATCAGCATATGAAGTTTGATAAAAATATCTTGAATGGTTTCATTAAAACAGAGCTAAACATTAATTTAAGAAAAGTGAGGTCAAGGTCAAAATAAAGGTCAAGGTCAAAAAAATGTTGATGCAATTGAATAGCTTACATCAGTATGTATCAATATATGAAGTTTGATTACACTATCTTGAATGGTATCTTTAAAACTGAGCTAAACACTAATTTAAGAAAAGTGAGGTCAAGGTCAAAGGAAAGGTCAAGGTCAAAAAATGTTGATGCAGTTGCATAGCCCTCATCAATATCTATCAGCATATCAAGTTTGATAAAAATATCTTGGATAGTTTCTTTGAAACTGAGCTTTGAACAGAGCTAAACGCAAAGTGTGACGGAAGGACAGACGGAAGGACGGAAGGACAGAAGGACGGAAGGACGGAAGACGGACATGACAAACACTATATGCCCCGGCCATATTCATGGCGGGGCATAAAAAATTATATAAATCTTTTCCGAATATTTCAAAGTGAAATATCATTTAAGTAATGAGTTATCACTCCGTTATATGAGAGAGTCAACTCGTATTAAACCAGAGTCTTGTTTAAGAAAAGACATTTGCCTGTTGGTTTATAGGGTTAGGAGTCGGTCAGGTTAAGAGTTGACCAGAAACCTTCAAAAGCAACAATGTTTAAACTATCTTTGCTCTAGGGGTTTTTTTTTTGCGATTTTTTTGTCTACTAGTACCTAAAATAAACAGCAACAAGAGGCCCATGGGCCACAGCGCTCACCTGAGTAACTTTGGCCTTGCTGTTTTTCACCTGATTTCTCCCCCCCCCCCCCCCCGTAGTACTTATTGTGGCTGTGGCCCTGCCCTACCCCGGGGGTCATGATTTGAACAATTTAGAATCTACACTACCCCAGCATGCTTCCACATAAGTTTCAGCTTTTCAGGTCCAGTGGTTTTTGAGAAGAAGATTTTTAAAGATTTTTCTTATATATTTCAATGTAAAACTTGGATTCCCTATTGTGGCCCCGCCCTACCCCCGGGGGTCATGATTTGAACAATTTAGAATCTACACTACCCCAGCATGCTTCCACATAAGTTTCAGCTTTTCTGGCCCAGTGGTTCTTGAGAAGAAGATTTTTAAAGATTTTTCCTATATATTTCAATGTAAAACTTGGATTCCCTATTGTGGCCCCGCCCTACCCCCGGGGGTCATGATTTGAACAATTTAGAATCTACACTACCCCAGCATGCTTCCACATAAGTTTCAGCTTTTCTGGCCCAGTGGTTCTTGAGAAGAAGATTTTTAAAGATTTTTCTTATATATTTCAATGTAAAACTTGGATTCCCTATTGTGGCCCCGCCCTACCCCCGGGGGTCATGATTTGAACAATTTAGAATCTACACTTCCCCAGCATGCTTCCACATAAGTTTCAGCTTTTCTAGCCCAGTGGTTCTTGAGAAGAAGATTTTTAAAGATTTTTCTTATATATTTCAATGTAAAACTTGGATTCCCTATTGTGGCCCCGCCCTACCCCCGGGGGTCATGATTTGAACAATTTAGAATCTACACTTCCCCAGCATGCTTCCACATAAGTTTCAGCTTTTCTGGCCCAGTGGTTCTTGAGAAGAAGATTTTTAAAGATTTTTCTTATATATTTCAATGTAAAACTTGGATTCCCTATTGTGGCCCTGCCCTACCCCCGGGGGTCATGATTTGAACAATTTAGAATCTACACTTCCCCAGCATGCTTCCAAGTAAGTTTCAGCTTTTCTGGCCCAGTGGTTCTTGAGAAGAAGATTTTTAAAGATTTTTACTACATATTTCAATGTAAAACTTGGATTCCCTATTGTGGCCCCGCCCTACCCCCGGGGGTCATGATTTGAACAATTTAGAATCTACACTACCTTAGGATGCTTCCAGATAAGTTTCAGCTTTTCTGGCCCAGTGGTTCTTGAGAAGAAGATTTTTTAATGACCCCACCCAATTTTTGTATTTTCTTGATTATCTCCCCTTTGAAGGGGACTTGGCCCTTCATTTTAACAATTTAAACTTCCCTTCACCCAAGGTTGCTTTGTACCAAGTTTGGTTAAAATTGGCCGAGTGGTTCTTGAGAAGAAGTCGAAAATATGAAAAGTTTACAGACGGACGGATAGACAGACGGACGACGGACAACGGGTGATCAGAAAAGCTCACTTGAGCTTTCAGCTCAGGTGAGCTAAAAATGTGAACTTGCATAGCAATAGCTAAATGGAGCTATTTGAAGTACCTAAATAAAGCTAGGATAGGTAATTAAAGTTATGTTGCTAATTGTACTGATTATTCTGCACCAACTGGACTGTTAAAGCGTCTCAATATTTGATAGCCGATTTTCTGAATGTGGAAAATAACATCAAAATCGCATTCGTTTACAAACAGTGCAGAGTTTTTCTGAAAGTGGCATAGTCAGGTCCCCGTATTACAAAAGAACTTACGTCTAAGACCAAAATGTTATTTTGTGAATAACTTTCTAATTTACATTCATTTGAAAATGGCTTTAATCTTTTAAATAAAAAAAAAGGAAGTGTCTATCGGCACGACGGTCGTGCCGATTATTTTCGTTATTCGCACGACGGTCATGCTAATTACAGTTCTTATCCGCACGACACAAGAGAGATAACTCTATAGTACATTATATACACTTTTTACCAAAAATGTAATACAAAGTAAAAAGAGATGCACCTAATACACATGTAGAACTAATTATAACATACAGTAAAGTAAAATGTGCCTATGTTGAATTTTCTTCGTGAATCGTCGTGACACAGTATAATAAGAATGAATTTTTTATTCGTCCTTTATATCATCTCTTGAGTACATATAACGTACTTCTGACGTTATTTTGATTGGAAATATAAAAAATATATAGCGATTTATATTCAATAATTTTTTTTCGTTTTTATAGTGTTTATATTCTCTTTCCATAATTTTCCATTTTTCTGGAAGGTCTTCATAATCTCTCTCTCTCTACTTCTAGTATACTGTAGACTTTTTTTAATCTTGGGATTAATTAGTAACGCTATATGTGAAAATTTATCACAGCGTACAAATTTAAAAATTTTTAAGACGTGCAAAGGCAATCAAAAATTTGGATAATTTAATATCCGCGAATTGAACAGAATTCGTGATTCCGTGGAATTGTGACCCCGTGGAAAAAATAACGTTTACATTACTTCATATAGATATTATAAAATGATTAAAATATTCTGTCGTATTTCCCCTATTTCTTTTATTTTAAAAATAAATTTTATGTTAAACAGTAAATCAATTAATTTCTTATATATTCATAGAGGATTTTTTTTAGTCAATTTATGCATTATTATATACTTTGATAGTGAACATATATAGTTTCATCTAATCGTTTTCTTATTTAAGTACGTTGATCAAACTTGTTTGGAGTTTTTCAAATATACAGGAACATTTAAATTCATTCAAAAATTCTTTAAAATTAATATGATACGATAAAATCCATGTCCATGAAAGAAAAGACACTGATTTTAATTTCAGAGTAGTAAATATAAATATTTTTAAAAAAGCATGGGATAGATTCACATCTAGTCTACTTCAGTTTATTGGAATACTGAGACCGTGATCTTGATTCCGATATAATAATTCACGTGTACATGTACACGTATCAGGCGCGGATCCAGGAATTTTTTCCAGGGGGGGGGGGGGGGGATTCCACCCCAGTCAAAAGAATTAAAACCCAGAAATTTCTTGACAAGCAAAAATATATTTAAATAAAACGTAAATTCCTTTCCCAAACGTGAAAAACCTATTTCAGAGGGGGGGGGGGGGGGGTCACATTGACATCTAAAGCTTCATACCAATGTCTTTTCAGACCAACTAGGGGGTCCATGGTCACTTTTAGTTGGTTTAGTATATACATTTTATAACTCTGCAAATTCCAGGGGGGGGGGGGGTTCCTCTAGATCCGTGCATGTGTATTATAGGACGAAGCCCAGACTACCAATTATTTTGCTATAATGTACTCCTTTATAACATAAAAATTAATTTAAAGAATTTCACCGCCTCAACTCACCTGGAAAATCAGGGAAATTCGTAGTGTACAAGCCATGCTGTGACACTTCAAATAACCCCTACACTGCAATTTCAAATTCCCTTAAAATTTGAGAAGCAGATAAAAAAAAGAGAGTCTTTTTTGTACCCTTCCTAAAAGGAAAGATTCCAAGATTGTAATTTTTAAAAAATTCCAGACTTGTTTTTTCTATCTAAAATCAACCCATTCCACCCCATACACATTCCAGAGGATTTTAAAGGGGGAAAAAAACTCTATTTTTTTTTTAAATGGCACTACTTGCACAAAATGGGGTAAATTAACCATCAGTGTCAGACTGTCCAGAAGCTTTTTTTTTTTCTAATATATAAAACTGAAATTTGAGTGTCGTATTTCAGAAAATCTTAATTATGCCACGGCAAACACTCTAGCCTTTGAATGAACTAGGAATTTCTGAAGAGTTAGGGATAAGTTCACTTTTTGTGTCCGTCTAATATGTAAAATTCGCTTTGAATTTCTACACACAATAGCAAAACACCGAGTAAAAATTTATTTATACAAATAAAGTATATGCAAATATAAATAATATAAAGTTATAAACAAAAAAATTATAAAATTGTTTCAAAGTTTGTCGTGCTAATAGCCTCCGTAATCGGCACGACTGTCGTGCGGATAATAACAGTAATTGGCACGACCGTCGTGCGGATAATACCGGTAATTAGCACGACCGTCGTGCGGATAGCCTCGGCCAAAAAAGAATTAGAAAGATATTTTAATGCAAGCAGTTTTTAACAGAATCATTCATTTTGCAAGCTTTTACAATCAAACTAACCTTTTTGGTCTTAGTTGTAACTTCTTTTTTAAAACGCGCCCCAGGGTAGTGACGGAGATAAGGATTAGACGATATCCGTAGTTTGTAACAGTTTAATTAATACAAATCATATAAAACTTGATGATAACCAGCAATAACTACAACTGCATTCAACCCCAACGGTCGCCCCGTAAAATATAAAAGAAATAAAATATATATATGTAAATATGTGAGTGGTTGATAAAACTTTAAACATCATAAACATAGGATGTATGTAGTTAATATTTAAAAACGTGAAAGCATAGCAAGATACGGTACGTTTCTTAGAAGTTAAAAATGAAAGAAACATAAACCTACAGCAGTTTCCATTGGTTCCTCTGGTCCACTATCTTCTGAATCCGACATGGTCGTTTATGGATGACAAGCCCTTGCTAATATATAATTTTCTTTGTCACGTTTTCACGGTTTTGTCTGAAAAATTTCAAGCGGCTTGGCGGCTATAATGGCGGTCAACAATCAATTCAATTTTCGTATGCCGAACCCGATGCTAATGAAACAGAGTACTCTTAAGGAGGTTGGATCCTGCCATCAAAAGTAATGAGAATTTTTTATCAAGTATATTTTTAGAATTTATACACATAGCTTTATTAAAAATCAAAACAAAAAATGGGGGTCAATGCGCTTCTTTTGGCGCTACAGAGCATTTAGTTTGACCTTTTTGCACTGTAAATACGTCTTACACATAAATCAATTTTTAAAGTTTTTCCTTCAATATTTTTTGTTCAAATAAATTATGGTGAACAAACACAGTCTTATTTCATCTTAAATAGACACATTAAAATTTGTAACAACGAAGAAATTTTTGAATTACTCCGCATGTTCAATTATTTGACCTTTTTGCACTCAAACATTTTCATTTTTCTGGTATTAAAATTTAACAAGCAAAAAAAATCATTTGAAAGTAATGACATTTTACTGAATTTAAGAAGAATGATTAAAAGTATCGTAGTATCGTATATATTCAGAAAAGAAAATTAAAAGTGGGGGTCTGTGATGTTAATTTTTAGATATTACTAAAATAGTGCTAATTTTAAGCTTAAATTAGGGCTATTTTTTTCTTCATTTCCACAATATATTTGCTATATTTATCAAATATGATGATAGAATTCATGACAGGTTTTTTAATAGATAATTTAGGACCAGTATAAAACAGTCCACTGCACAAAAGAACTATGTGTGCAGACTACATGTAAAAATAGGAATCCAAACTTAACATACTTTTAATTCTTCGATAGGAAAAATGATCATTTTCTTCTAAAAAAAAACCTTCCGCCACAAAATATAGTTCCTCACTTAATGCTTTTGGTATGGAATTTAATCATGGAGTTTTAACTGAATATAGTTAAATTGGCATTGTAGAATCCAAATTTATTGTAAGAATTAAAACATTATGCAGAATTTTTGAAATATAGGTTAAGATAAGAATCTGCTCAAAAGCTCAGGAGCGAACCTCGTTAACGTCGAAGGTCGGAAAAACGTTTGCACCAATAAAATATTTGTATTTGAGGTTGTGGCCCGAGAAGTTTCTATTGAGAGTACCGGTTGCTCATAGACAACCTTAGTAAAATTTGCCAATTTTAGCCAACTCTAATCCAGGGCCCATAATTGTTGGGGAGGGGGGGGGGATCACCAACTTGGGAATGATTGCAAAATAATGGTTCTGTTGTGGTTTTTAGTCAGACTTTTGAATTTTTTTATAGTCCCATGTAAAACTCTGATCCCCTATTATGGCCTCACCCTGCCCCAAAGGACCCATGATCTGAATAGTTTAGAACATATATTATGTCAACAGGAAGCTTTCACATATAGTTCAGTTATTCTTCAATTGAATCATTGTGCACATAAATTCAATTGTGATATCTTTAGTACATTTAAAGAGAGTAACACTGAATTCAATAATTATAGAGCGCATCAAAAAAGCAATTAAAAAAGGTCTGAAAATAAAGGAGGCACAGTTAGGACCCATGGCAATTTCATGATTGTTGGGAGACCTGCAGGTCAGCAAAACGACATAGATATTGTCAATGAAGAAGTTGGGCATCTTTTAATATTAACCCCAGAGTACTTGCGTGTAGAATCAAAATAGTTTTTGACAAAATAAGTTTGTAGATGACCAATGAAAAGATATGACTAGATATGAAAATTTGTGAGCTCCATTTTTATTGAAGAAGCAGTGACTCTTGTCTATGATGTTAAAAAGCCTCGTCTTTCATTTATTCTGGGGAAAATATGCATTGAGTATTGAAAAGTCATACGTTTTGATTCGGTCTGTTGTTCATTTTCAACTAGAAAATACACACAATAGTTATTTTGGTACAAACATATTTAACGTTTTGTATTATCCCTTGTATAATATGATTAACTATACGTAATACTATATCGATTAATTTTGACGAAAAATGAGTGCATGTTGATAAATAGCTATATTACTTTGCGAATTCAGTGATTTTTTTTTAATCAGTATTTCAGCCATTTAACTGACGATTTTTAAAATCTGAGGGATGAACTACCTGAAAATAGTTTGAGGACCTCGACAATCCTATCTTCACACGAAGGTTAAAACAATTAACACGTTAGTGTATAATCAGGGCACTGCTTACATAAATGAAGTCGCTAATGAACAGATTTTAAAATCGGATTTATTTAAAACACAGAAGTATGATTGTTCAGCACGTTTCACATGTTTGTCGTTGATTGTGAATAAAAACATTTTTCTTTTTGGGGGGTGGGGGGGATGGGGGTTGTTTTTGTTGTTTGTTTTTGGTTTTTTAAATAATATCCTCATCTCAAAAATGAAATTCTTGTAAATTAAGTCATTTTGAACATATCTCAAACACCATGAAGGGGAACAAAAATTGTGAATTTCATTGTCTTTGCCTTCCTGGGGCCTGAGGGTTGGGGCCAAAACCATAAAATTTTATGCAGTGTTTAAAAATTTCTTTGATGATCCTAGTCCTTTTAGTGGGCAAAATTTAAAAGTTTCAACAAAAAATCATGTTAGGTCACTTTTGAAGTGACCTTGAGACCACATTCTTTGCCTCATGGTGATATCTTGAACAATATTTAATCTACACATATCCTCATCCTTATGTGTAAGTTTGGTGATCTGCCCCATGTTCTTGAGTAAAAATTTTTTTTAGCAACTACTACTTTTGTTTTTATTTCCCTATCTTCCCTTGGTTAAGTATCACATCCCTATTTTCAGTACAAATGAAAGCCCTTGGATTAAGGATACTCCCAACAAAGAACAAGGTTCACTTAGGGCCTTTTTTGGCCCTGTGAATTTCTGAAAAACTGAAACTGCTTAGTTTTAGTTGACAATGCATTAAATTTCAATTAGACATATGGCGATCGCGAATCTACTAACAATGACGTAATTTTCTGGTTAGTCAATGCATTATGACGTCATGAAATGCATCATTTTCCTCGTATCCTGAACAATTCTACAAAAACAGCCAATTTTTAAAGGTATTTTTCGATAATTAATATAGAGCGCAATCTCTGATCTAAAATATGCAATTATCTACTGATAGAACTGTTTCTGAGGATTACAAAACATGTTTTATTTTTTAGATCAGAGGGTGCACTCATATTATTTTTCTTCTCTGAAAGTACTCAAATATACCTGTTTTCCTTAAAATTCAAGAACATTGCAATTCCATAAAGCTTGTTTTCCAAGACCTGGACTTTGAGGAGAAAAATTTTAATAGGAAATGAAAGCACTAGGACTCTACTTTATCTTGATGTTTAAAATGGAGCATAATGTGTTAGTCAATAAATTGGTATATCTACAGGGCCATTTTATGCATAAAGTGAACCTAGCTCTTTGACAACTGGTCAAGGGTTCTTGAGATATGGCCCTCACAAAGGTGTCACAAACTGCATAAATGGCAATAGCATCCTTTGGCTCAGAAGAGCTAAAACTTCCACATGTGCAGAATTTCTTTTTTTCATTAATATTTCTTTGTGTTTTCATTACAAACAAAAATTATTTGTTAGTTATTAAAGAATAACAAATGCCATTTACAATAACTTTACTTTTAATAAACACTGTATGATACTCCACATCTAACAGACATTAACAGAGTAATAAGAAAGATTTATTTACAGGGCATTGAAATACACACACTTAAAATTTCAGAAAGTATAATTTACAGTGAAAGTATACATTTTTGGCAAGTATAAATCTCATCATGTACTATTACTTAAAACAAAACAAAAACAATAGACCACAGCACATACAATTGTCAAGAAAATTGAATCTTAAGCATCATGATTTGACCTCATCATCAGACATATCTATCAATGTGCTGTACTTATACACAACAGTTTGCCAGATAACAAAATCAACTTGGATGCTAAACAATTTGTTTGTATACTTAAGCTTCAGATTATGCTAGTTAAAGGATGGAAAATGATAACACAATGTTCTGAAATTCGCAACAAAAAAGATTATCTGCAAAAATCAAATTCATTACATACATCTATCAGATGAAAATATTCTTAACTGGCTGCTCCTCTTCAGTATATCTTTTATTTTAAACAGATGTGTATGACCAGTAATTTAATTAGTTAGTGCCTTGTGTTGGGGGACTGTTAGTGAACTGTGACAGTGTTACTCTGTGATTTGTTTTATTTACAGGTGTTACTAGTGATAGACCTTTATAAGCCATTACCTCTCTGTGAATACTGAGGACGAGAAGAATAAAATAATATTGCTCACCACTTAGACATTCTGATCACTGCTGTACTCTACACTTAGTTTTTGTGACATCTGTGTACATTTATGGTCAAGTAACCAATCATACAGAAAAAAAAGGAAAACCCCAGGCACAATTTAAATTGCTTTGTAATTCTTACAAGGCACAACCATATACATTAAGTAAAAGTCATTTGCAGTTTTCGAGCAAGGTATATATCAAACTTTGATGCAACTTTGACCAAAACAGGAAAAAGTTAGAATGAAGCATGGTACTGCCTTGTAAGTTTCAATCAGACTTACATATGAAATGTTCAAAAAAGTAATTTCCTTAAGAATAACCATAGTTTTTATAAGAGTTCTAAGTAATGAATCAATTCATATGATCATCTCTGACATCATAACTGACATTATGAGGATGTGGGTTATTAAAAACATGACAAATCAATATGCCACCTTTTGTAGATGTTCCAACTGAACACGACTTAAGCTGCCTTAAATAAAACTACAAAATACACTGTAAATGCAAATAGCACTACTTCTTGGGTTCTAGATTTTAGTGTTACCCAAAACAAAAACCTGTCTAAGAATCACTGATTAACAAAAACCAATGACCTGATTGCATTTACTTGGTAGCATCACACGTTATATGTTCTTTGTAAATTTGCAAAGCACATCGCAAAAAAAAAAAGCATTGTTTAACACATATAAATTAACCTGTAGATCTTTGTAATGAGGCATAGAGCACTGTCATAAAACATAAATATGTAACACATAATATTCAAGCCAAATAAAGGTAGAACTTCTTTAAATTGTGTAAATATCAATAAATAAACAACATCAACAAGATATCACACTGCTGCTGTGCTAAAGACATCTACAAACCAAAGTCATTTCTACATGGGTATCCTTCTGAAGTGGTGCTCTTAACAAAAGCAAAAATTTCATCAAAATTTCCAAAATTAATGAGTACGACTTTTATCTTTTAAGAATTTTAATAAAATTCTCTAGACCGGGTATATATATATATATATATATATATATATATATATATATATATATATATATATATATATATATACATATATATATATATATATATATATATATATATATATATATATATATATATATATATATATAAGTGTTCAAACTTGTTTAAGTCAAATCTTCAATGCAATTTTCATAAATAATACCAAGAAAAATCTTTTTATGAATAAAACAATTAAAACACTTCCAATTTCTTAATGTCTAATCTTAATTCTAAAGAAGGATTTGATGCTATTTCGTGAAGAGCTGATAACAAGTGCAACATATTTCCATATGATAGCCAGCATGCAATAAACCTACATAACATTAGCACAACTGACTTAAATTCGTTGTTTGCAGGGCTACACTATATGTGGGAAATAATTTCAAATGTAGCACAGCAACATAAATAAGTAACATTCAAATAATATCCTGTTGAACAAGAGCAACACAGATTACCAACAACACATAATCTGGAGCCTTGCTCCCACTTTCACTTCAATTATGCTCCACTTTCACTTTTACTAGACTGCACTTTCACTTCATTCTCCACTTTCACTTTACTCCACTCAGTCTGAACTTGTCCTGATTCTTCCCCGTCTCAAATTCTCCATCCTTTCAAGACATCTCATGCAAGATATTGCTAACTTAATATATACTGTATATATACATTTTTCATTACATGTATTATTCTTTCCAGATTTTATACATTATTTCCATGGAGTGACTTTGTCAAAAAGTAATGAAATATTTCACTTAAAATGTACAGAAACAGTATGTAATTCAATTCATGCTGCTTTGACATGATCTGGTATGCAAATAAGAAAAACACTGCATGAGGTGTCCTAAATAATCAAGGATGTTCTAATGACTTTAATATTGAAATGTCAATCTAAGAGATGACCCAATTCCTTACTTTGAAATCAACTGCATCTCTACATACACACTCTTTCAGCATCACAACATATTTACACACACTAATATATTACAGAGAATTACAATGCTTAATTTCACAATATGTGAATTAACTTGGTTGGTACATGTACAGTGAGTGAACTGTGACTATATGCATTATAAACACTGCAATAAGCAGAGACAACATTAATATATATTTATCTATTGATGCATTGGCTTGCCTACCAATAATTAAAACATACAATTTATCAAATGAGTAAAATAGACATTGAAGTTAACTTACTATGAAAAATATATCAAAATCACCAAATATTAATCATGTTTGTAAGCAAGACATTTGATGCTGATTTAAACCTCAATTATAAAAAAAAAAATCATGTAAGAATTGGAAACTGTGTTCATTTAAGCTCCACTAACAACCAGTTCCATGCTTTGTACCTATGAGAGATCCTACAATGGAAATATGATTCAATGCAAAAACAGGTATTTATACAAAGCAAGATGAATGAGATTTCAATACAGATACATGTTTCTAAGATAGCCTCTGTCTTTTTTCTTTGGCCTCTTCTGTTTTAATCTACCCTCTTTTGTTCTTTGGTATTGTGACGCAAGGTTTGCTTCTTACTGATCAACCTCTAAACATCACTAGTGTCATGAAGACTTGATGATCTTCTCAGTTTATCATAGGATCGTGACTTTTCTCCTGACATTAAGGAGTTTCTTTCTGAGCACTCATTTTCACTGTCCGAGTCCGGATCTATGTCTATGACTTCATGTTCACTCTCAGTAGGAGAGGAAGGCTCAGTAAGAGCTTCATGCTCTCCATTGTCATCACAGAAAGTATCTGATCCATGATAGTGCACTGATGGATGACTTATCAACAAGACCTCCACTCCCTCTCTGTGGTGGAGGTGGTGGTGGTCCTCGGGAGATATCATGATGGGATCCCCATCCAGTCCAGAAGCTGTTAGTTCATTACTATCAGGCTCAGCATGCACAGATTCTTGGCTGCTGTTCAACTGTTTGTAGAAATAAAAACAAAAATGATGATAAAATTAATATTTCATATTTTAGAGCAGCTTTCAGATCTTAGACTAGAAGGTCCATAGATGTTAAGATTTTGAAGTGAAATATTGAAGTAAGCAAATGTTCCCCATTCAAAGCATTGTCATTGAGTTTTTTATTGCTGCAACTTGAGCATGCAGAAGGCTTAAATAATAAGATTCCTCACTGAAAAAGCTGAGATACATCTCTATTGAATTGCCTTATTAATTATCCCAATCTTTTGATATTACTAGAAAAAATTCTTGTGCACTAATCATTCTTCTTCTAGATGTATAATATAGGTAGTCTTTTGGTTTGATACTAACATGACTTACATGCATCCCGTACGCCCTCAATATATCCAGCTTACACATTGGACAGCTTCTTTGATCTAATAACCATGGATCTACACAGGACTTGTGAAAAATGTGTCTGAAACAAAGACAAAAGGTCCATAAGCTACAAAGCTCACCTGAGTTTCATTTTCCCTTATAATGAATATGCAAAAATATGAACCTCCTTATTGTACTCCATAAAGTCCATGGTTTTATATTTTTAATTAATATAATGAGACTTGACATCAAGCTTACATATGGTCGTCTTATTTCTCTTTGAGAATTCTATATATTCATGTGAAACTTTGAATCCCTATTGTTACACATCCTAACTCTGTAATCTACGGCTTGAACAGTCTGATTACAACCTGGGGATGCTTGCAAACTGATAGAAGTTACCCCTCACAAAACTTTGACCCTCCCTCACTTACTTGCGAACAATCCAAGCTTTGAGTTATAATTTTCCCCTTCATATTCCTATGAAACACCTTGACCCTATAGTGTGGCCCAACCCTCACTCTACCAGACACAATTTGAAAAAGCCTCAATGTACATGACATGGAAATGTTTGCAATTTAATTTTAATTCAAAGATTTTCCAGATATATTCTGATAAAAAATGCCAACCCCCTTTAGTTAGTGGCCTCATTCTAAACTAAAGGATCATAACATACCTTGAAAAAAATAATTACTGCATAAAGGACCTTTTATATCAAATGTCTTTTCTAGCTAATATGTTCACAAGAAGACATAAATGAAACCTTCCTGCTTTTTTCTCTATCTCACTAAGCTTAAATTGCCTTTACCTAAAAAAGCAATGCAAAAATTTTGATTGTAATTAGTCCAAGGGAGAAAGAGGGAAATTTAAATATAAAAAAAGTTTACAACATCATAGTTACATAACACATGATAGACAGACAGTTAAATGAGAAAAACTAACTTAAACCCTTGGCCTATGTGAGCTAAAAACTGGATTATAAATAGATTATTAATAGAATTCATACAATTTATATCCTTAAAAAAAACAAACAAAAAAAACCTTTAATACTAGTAAGTTTTTGCACTCACAGGTGCTTGTGGACAGGAACCCCCCCCCCCCCCCCCCCCCCCCCCCCCCCCGAATTGCACCCTGGGTCCAAGGATATTTTTATTCACCTTTTTCCAGAAATTAATCTTTTAGTACACATTTACAATGTATTCCATATGAAAAATAAAAAAAATAACGTAGAATTAGCGTTTTATTAAAAAATCATAACCACGATAGAAGCACCTATGTTCTATATATTAAGTAAAATAGTTCTGAAAATATGTAAAATTTAAAAGTACCTTTCTACTTCAAAATAATACAACAAACATCATTTCATCCATTTAAGCTGAATGATAGTGATTTCCATCACCTATCTAACTTCTTAAGTCTGTGTGTAGGTTAAGTGAGTATTTACCCAGAGATAATATTATTGCATGCAGATATAAATTAATTTTGATTGAAACAAAGCATTTGTGGACAATCATGAACCAGTTATATACATACAGTTAACAATCCTTTTTGGCTGATTCTGAAATTTTGGATAAAAAGTCTAGGTCCCCCTTTCTTTTGACATTTCTTAGAACAACCTTACTTATTAAAGATTACGTCTAGGTCATCCCATAAGCATTTATCCCCATGATTAATTAAAATCAGGACCCCTTCCCCACCCCAACCCCTTTGTACAAACTGCTACAAACTACTTAATTTATCTTTGTGTGTCTAGAATCCCCCACCCCTTTCTATGTCTGTAAAATAGAAATCAACTGAAGCAAGAAAATTCTGGAAGTCAAGACATTTCTCAAACATGAATTTTTGAAATACTCTTCCATTGATGTGCAAGTGATTTTTGATGTGTAGAATAGTGCATGAGTTTTGATTCAACATCAGTAACATTTGTGTTTGATTAAATCACAATTTTATTCATTATCATCTCTTTCATTATTCTTGGTAAATGTGTTTCAACTGTCTGCTGAAATAATCTGACATGTATAATATTCAGCCTCAATGAAATAACAATGAGGGTTGCATTATTTACTAAATTCAGTAAATCACCAGATGGCCATATTTGCAGTACATAACATGTGAATGGTGTGATTTCCTGCAGACAAAGGTGTGATTTCCTGCAGACAAACTTACTTGCATGGCAATGTTCTAACAACATCTGAAGTCTTGTATCCTTCAATACACACTGCACACTGATCAAACTCAGGATCCAATTCCTACAAAACACATACAGATAAAGGTAAACATTTATGTTTAAAATTACACAAGTCATTCAGTAACCTAACTGGAAACATTACATAACAAGCATAATACAAAGCAATTCATTAACTTCTAGATAATTCACTTGTCTGTGGACAAAGAATATGCAGGGATGATTCATGAGTCAATGAGTAATATGTGCAACTTGTTCTGATTTGGATTTTTTGGTAAGTACAACACATGTTAAAACTGAAGAGTGTTTCAATGGAGGATGAAAAAACACTGCACAATATGCCAATGAGCCTCAATGCTCATATGGATTTCTTTTGACACAAGTGTTCAGCCTTGATCTTGAATAGAATATTTTTATTTATCATAAATAATGTGTTTGTGTGGGTAGTTCCAATGGTCCATGAGCACTGTGGCTTATTCAAGCTTTATAAAAATAAGAAACTAATTTCCAAAGCCATTTTCAGGCTAGTAAAAGACTGAGAAGTATAACTGTGCCCCTCTACTACAAACCCAGTGTTTGAAATAACCGTGCACCCGACCGCCTGAGACGCACAAATTTTGCAGCGGGCGAACAAATTTGCATGTACTGAGGTCCAGATGGACGTGTCAAAATTTTTGATAATTAAAATTCATATATTTGATAAATCTTTTTCATATCAAGTAATAGTATTGGTAGCAAAGTGTAACAAGCCAATAGGAAGAATTCATCAGTCTATAGATTCTGGTTTGATGTTATGGTGACCTGGTTCCACATTATCGTTAAAAAACAAATTTATAAAAGACAATTTTTTTCTCGGGCAAGTAGATCTTTGGCAGGGCTAACAACTTTTACTAGCAGTCAGCCCTGCATGTGCACTAATTTTACAGTGAGTTTCAAACACTGGTAAACCAACCATTATCCACAACATCTTTTATTCGCAATTAATACTTCAGTTTGGAGTCAATCTGCAACATCTAACAATGTTTACTTGAATCAAATTAACCCTGCTTATCATAAGAAGAAGAGTTTAAAAGATTCTTTCCTATAAGTTTCCATGTATAGCGTGAAGTTCCTAAGAAGACTTTCTGAAGCTATTCTGGCCTCTGCAGCCATGCACTGAATCAACATTAGTCTACACCATATACAGATGCTTCTTCATAAATTGACATTTTGTTAATCTTTATCATCCATGTATGTTTTATTTCAATTGGTACAGTGCTTCTGTAATTCTAAGAGGTCAAAATGTTAAAAGTTTACCTTCAGCAATGGACAGAAGCAGCAAAACTTCACCTGAATGACCCTGGTGTCCTAATCCAACCCACAAATGTTCTGTGCCAAGTTCCAATACATGTATATGTACAGTAATTGACACATGTTAAAAGCATATCTTATTAAAAACAATTTTGCAAACAAAGACAAATAAAAAGTTCCAAACTATTTAAAGTTAACACCTAACAAACTTAACTTGTCCTTGTTTAACTTTTACAAAAGTTCACTTAAATTCTGACCCACGTGAACTTACTTAGTAATGGATTAGCTTATTTTGTAATGTATGAACTTATTTTGTAATGTATGAGCTTCTTTTGTAATGAATAGGTCTTCTTTGTAATGTATTACTTAAATTTACAAAGAAATTAAGATCTTAACACAGATGACCATATTTGATTTAATTATGTAGTATAAGCTCCTATAATCATACAGGTAAGTGATGCTGATCATTAGGTAATAACAGGTAAGTTAATCTTAGTATTACACCAATACAAGTCTTGCTAACTGTATGACCATAACATGATTAATGACCATTGACACTTTCTATCATGTATGAATTTAAAGTACATTAAGTACTAAACACTTTTCACAAGAGGTACATTTGGCGTTTTACCATGAATCATTTCCTTTTGAAGTAAATGATCACTACTTTTTGTATATACAAAGGCATTAAATGAATGAAACTAAAATCACTGACCACAGTGTTATGAGTCACGGACATGTGCCAGAACTTTTAACCAAAACTGAAGGAAGTTTTAATGCCAAGAACTCACATTAAAAAGGACGAAAGCTGCACTTGTATCAGTAAAAACACTGGTAGATGTAAATATTTTTCTGAAGTACATCAGCTGTCAATCACAGACAAAAGTTACAGACTTTCTGAAGTATGTACTTCTATATATCTACAACAACCACATAATGATTCAGTTTGTAATTTGACTGTCTGGGGAAAAAAGCCTTAAAAATAATTCTGTGTTAATTAGCCTTCATTAAGTCACAGAGTGCAGGAAACTAAGAGGCAAACATGCCATAGTTTTCCCCTTGGCTATGCCTGTTGCAAAAGATATGCATGTAAGAATGTTCTGATAAACATATGCATACATATTTATCTTCGTAAACACATTGTGTTTTGTTGTTTATCGTTTTACTACTCCCTTACATAAACTATTGCAGTCAAGTAATCAATTTAGATTAAAACACTCCCATTACCTTTCCTATTATGTATTTATATGTGTTTTCTGAACTAAAAAAAAATTAACTGCAATTATTTCTCTTTCAATGTTCAAATGGAAAATTTTCATAAGTTTTTTATTACTGCATTTGTAATACACAGTACCCTGGCTGTTGGGGACTATTTCTTTTCTGACCAGGGATCCACATTGGTTATTAGCATTATTGGTGTAGTAGCTGTGAAATTAAAAGTTCCTAACATATATAATGTAATTCTAGAGTTTTGGGCATATTTCACATTTCTACTAACATATACATATCATATACCGGTATATCAGCTTAAGAAAATCTAGTGAAAGTCCATACATGCAGATTATTGCTGCAGTCACTTGATTGTCAGGGGTCACCAAGAAGCATGTCTGTCAGTGTCAATAACTGATAAATGTCTCCCATTACTAATAATTCAGCTCTGCTAGCACTGCCTAAATAAGCTTTTACAATCTTAAAACTGAGTTTTCTGTCTTCCTGCAGACAATTTTTCCAATAGCTTGTATGCCATAAATCAAAGCAAAAACTAAGCTGCTTTTCAGATATTCTATTGATTTTCTATCAGAGCAACCTATGCAAATGAACACATTTCATAAATATTGTCATTGAGCAAAAGTTCAAGTACACTTGTCCTAAGGAAACAAATACTGTACAGCGGGTTTCTTTAGTGGGTGTAAAATTTTGCATTTTGCTTGCTCAAAGGTATGCTAACTAGAACTGTCCAAAATGGTCAAATACCCCCCCCCCCTTTCAGAGAAGGTGCCAAGTCACTAATACAAGTATTTGATGGATCTAAGAGGTGTTCACAATTTGCTTAAACACTTAGAGTGAAAATTTACCAGGTAATTGCTCATTATATTTTTTTAATGAATGAAACTAAGGCATGCCTAATAAAACATCACTACTAATAATAACATTGTTTTTTATTACATTGAAAAAATAAATAACTATTTTTCATGTATTTATCTATTGGAAAGTATGGATGCATTATTTATCCATTTTTTCTACAGTGAATATAGGTCAAGATCATGACACACCCTCAGGTCATAAGCAATCTTTCTGTGAAGAGGAAACTCAAGTCCCAACATTATTCTCCATAAGAAAAATACGGACCTGACATGAATTATGAACTTTATCTCTCAGTGACTTTGAACTTGTGCAAATGATCTTGGGTCAAGGTCATGACACACCCTCAGGTCATAAGCAATCTTTGTGTAAAATGGGAACTCACCAAGTTTATCTATAAGTAAGATATGGACCGGACATAAATTACGAATTATTCTTTCACTGCCCTTGAACTTGCCCAATTGACCTTGGGTCAAGGTAACAACACACCCTCAGATCAAAAACAATCTTTGTGTAAAATAGAAACTCACCAAGTTTATCCATAAGAAAGATATGGGCTGGACACAAATTATGAACTTTTTCTCTCAGTGATCTTGAACTTGTGCAAATGACCTTGGGTCAAGGTCATGAAAACCCTCAGGTCATAAGCAATCTTGGTGTAAAATGGAAACTCACCAAGTTTATCCATAAGAAAGATATGGACCGGACATAAATTACGAATTATTCTTTCACTGACCTTGAACTTGCCCAAGTGACCTTGGGTCAAGGTCATGATACACCCTCAGGTTATAAGCAATCTTTGTGTAAAATGGGAACTCATCAAGTTTATCTATAAGAAAGATATGGACTGAACATGAATTATGAACTTTTTCTTTCAGTGACTTTGAACTTGTCCAAATGACCTTGGGTCATGGCCATGACACACCCTAAGGTCATGAACATCTTTGTGTGAAGTAGTAGATTTGAATGTTACCCCTTAAGAAAGATATGGACTGGACACGTTTGCTCAGACAGCTAAACAGATGGACAGACAGATGGATGGACGGACAGACTGACAAGGTGATTCCTATATACCCCCTTCCTCCAACTTCATTTGCAGGGGTATAACAAAGTCATGATGTTAAGCTATTTAACATCTCCAGTGTTTTCCAAGGACCTACTGACAAATAGGACACATTTTAACATAAAATATGTACAGTATGCCAAATTTTATTTTTTTTTAAAACAAACTCAACTTAAAGGTCACATTATCAGTACATTATTAAGATGCACAGTCCAATAAATTTTGCTTCAAACAAATGTAGGGTAAAATTCATATAAAATTTCAAGTTCAATGCCATAAGGCCTGTAAACTCAATACTTTATGAAAGTTCAACTGACATTATGAAATACTTCTTGTAAATTTACTCTAGTAAAGCAAAAGTCAAGTTCAAGGTCATTCAGTAATACGGGTATGTTCAAAAGCCATTGTGCTAAACAATATTATTATACATAGGCAAAATATCAAATACAAGTTTATCCCTTACAGTTCAAAAGAAAGAGGATGTAAATGATTGAAAAACCTACCAGACAGAAACTAGGCAAAGTGATGATAAGATCCCAAGTGTTACTTTGCATTGAAGTTGACACAAAATTAATGATCATTGCAGGTGCAATATGAACCAAGTATACTTCTTTGTGATGCATGATTATGCTACAGTGGCATTTTTTAGATGTCAATACAAAGTTATGCTGGTTTAGATGCATTTAACAATTTGTAATGTTAACTTCAGCATTAGAAAAGTTCTCTGTTGTGTTGATTAAGAAGCTGGTATACAATTTCTTTTTTACAATATTTTTTACACACCCTGAACAAGCCCCTGTGCTTCAAAATGCATAACTCAGTGACATGCATCATGTGGATCTTCATGAGGTTTTATGGGTGTTAATAAGAATTGCTAAAAATTTAAATACCTTTGATGATAAAAGCATTTGGCCCAAATAATGGTAGATCATTATAATTAAAATACATAATTTTCTAAGAAGGATTTTAACACAGCTAGTGTAAACTAAAGCATTAGAAGACAATAGTAATGACATGATTTTGGGTAATGTCAATGCAGGGTTTGACACTAACATTTTTAGGCTTTAGTCCAGCCGGACTAGTGCTTCTTTACTTTTACTAGTCCGCACACGATTTTATGAGTCCGTCCAAAAACAAAAATGAATAAATAAATAAAAAAAAAAACATCAATGTTTTGTAACAATTAAATTAAAAATAAACATTGCAATGAACTTTTTATACTTTTTTTGAAATAAAAAGGATTTACGTGAAATGTTGATTCCGAGATTCGTTGAAATCTCGTTATCAGGAACTATGATCATATTCCCGATCTCATTTGTTTTTCTTTATACATTTTTTACAATTCCAAATATTTTCTTCAAGATTCTTTGCAAATTAGAAGACTGTTCATTTTCTAATGAACTACCATGGATGAGCACGAATATATCCATTGTTATGTCATAATAATACCGTACTGGATGTCAAAACTATAAAACAAACTGTTTTGCTTTAAAAATGACAGTTGCATGACGTAATTTGTTGCAACTCATCAGAAAAATAATGTAAATATAAGAAATGAATTTAATTTTTGAAAATTCATGAGGTACATGAACTACAATACTTCACGTCGGCTTATTTATCATGAAGCGCTAACACGCTTCATGAAATATGCTGGCGTGAAGCGTCATAGTTCATGTCCTCATTAATCTTCAAAAATTAAATTCATTTCTTAATTACATCCAAACATCCGACCGACATCTTTCCTATGTGTCATACTAAATCATGATTGCTAAAATGTTTAATTTCATATCAATCAGTCCTAAAATTGAGTGCCGAATTGACTCGGAATTACCTAACTTCCTGCAAAGAAGCTAGAATGCTAAAAATACATGTGGGGTTTTCCATTGAAAGTTGTGGAGAATCGAACATTGGTAATTTATTTTTTTTTACAGAAATTTTTATAAGTCCGTTCGGACTAATTAGCCACATATTTTATTAGTCCGAATGAAAATGTATAAGTCTGAGACTAACGGACTAATGTTAATGTTGAACCCTGCAATGACTTGATTGACCTGAAAAATTGAAATTATATAACCATACATGTTTCACTATTCACACAATTCTTGCCCTTTTTGATATATTTTTATAAAGAAGTTTGAATGCAGTTTCTGCACCAGATACTGGTTGCTAAAATTTCCTTTGAATATATCCCTACGACACAGCACTATTAGCAGCCTACGATTATTACTGTAATATGTTTTAAGTGATGTGCATATATATATCTGCATACCTTGTCGCCTCCTTTGAGTGTTCTCTGGGGAATCTTGGCAATGGCTTTTTTGGCAGCGCTGGCTAGACGTCTCTACAAAAAACAAAAACAAGTCAGTGTAACATCACCATATCAAAAAATAATGATCATAATAAGAAAAACTTAAACAAAATTGCTCTGTGCTTACATCAATATATTCTCTATACATTAACACTTATTTAAATCAGATGCGAGTCAAACTGATTGTTAAGTAGACTTGATCCTAACAGTGAGTGATCATGTAATAGACATATTACCATGATTACAGTATTTATAAGAATGTGGTTCAGAATTTCATTTTTATTTCTCATGTATGCAAGTATGACTAAAATAATGTACCAGGTAATTGGTGGAGTTTTTCTATAGCGACAACTGTATTTAAACCACTTCATCCTAATCCTTATTTGTGAAATGACTACTGAAGTTGTGGGCAGGAAAAAAAAAATTTAATGGTAAACAAACACACAAAATCCTAGTTATGTAAAAGGTTATAATAAGATATTAATATAGGACATTGAGCAAAACATGTTTTACCCTACTTTGTATCTCTCATGCTTATGTATATATAATTTTTTTTCACATAACTTCAGGTATAAATCTGCTACACAGACATATTTATAGCAGGAATTTCTATCGTATTGACTTAAGTATTGATGGTCTTGACAAATAAGCAGTACTTGTTTTCTGATTATAGTGATATATTAAGTAATCTCTACAATGAACTCTGAAGACAATGAAATGCAAATTGATGTGGGGGTATTGACCTCAACCAGTGCTTAGCTCCCATCAAATTATGTACACAGCATTGTCTACAACTCATGCCATCATTCCTTAGAAATCAATATGTCTACCCTCTCACAGAGATATTTAATGCCATCAAATAAGGCCTCAGTTTGTGAAGGAAAAAGCACTGCCATAGCAACCAAAGGTAGTTATTGTGCACGCAGCAGAGAAACAACACTGATACATGTAAATTGTCAACAACCTCTAAAACAGGTCCCTTACACTGTCATATCTAATCAATTCATCATACACAAGCAACACAAAAGATTGAAGCTGATTTATGTCATCACAATGCTGAACAAATATTTTTTTTTATTTCATAAATAAAGGGCTAAAGAAATAAAAGATTCATTAAATAATCTTAAAATATATATTTGTTTTTAATACACAAACAATGGATAGGAAAACCTCAACTTACTATTATATGTCAACGAGCTATAGCAAAAATGTTAAGTATTTTGTTATTTACATAGTCTAAAGACCTTCCCACTCCATTCTATTAATATTTCAATATTACTATATAAGGCATAAAATTAAATATCTTCACCATGACACTTTTTTTTTGGTTCTTTAACAATGTAAAGTGAATTACATAACTCCTAGTTGACTTGACAATAAAGTTGCTAAGACATGTAAGTAACCAATACTGCTACACTAACTCTAATTGTGCAAATGGTATCAAGAGAAATGTATGTATAATTATGTATACACTCTCTCTCATTCACTTCTTTTCAGTTGTGAGGTCAAAGAGTAAGTCTAAAGGACCTTGTGTGTGTGTTTTTTTTTGAAATTCGTACACTACATCACATTAGCCAACGTAAATCTTGGCAGATCAGGCTTAAATTACTGTACATCTTATTTTGTGCATAAAGGTTCATGTATCCATCAAAATATGTTTACATTCCATATGAAAACATAAATAACTTAAATTCTCAATCTTGTTCATCAATCTTCAAATAAGATTTTTGGATTTTTTGTAATATGAGACTCAAGTTTGGTAACAGCTAAGGAAAGCCCATCATCTCTAACAAGGTAAAAGCTTCAGCAATTATGTAATCAGATTATGTATTGCTTTAACAAGATATGTTTTTGGTTTTTTTGTAATATATATTTCCTTTGCATAGTCAAAATGAGAGAATTATTTTGAAAAAAAAAAATTGACTAGACATACAACATGAGCATTGTTTATGTTTCCTAAATGTCAATGCTGCTCACTTCCTTTTCAAAGAGTACATGTGTGTTAGCAGCCATTATGGTTACAAATTTTAGCCTATAACAGAGGCCCATGGGCCACAATGCTCGTCTGAGTAACTGTTCTTCATCAGCATTCTTTTTGAATTTTCCTAAATACTTTTATGTAAAATTTTGATTACATATTATGGCCCTACCCAAGGGGGTAATGATTTGAACAAACTTCAATTTACACCACCTGAGGATGCTTCCACATAAATATGACTATTCAAAGCTTTGCTGTTCTTGACAAAAAGATTTTCTATATATTCCTATGTATAACTTTGATACCCTGTTGTGGCTTACCCTAGCCCAGGGGCCATGATACAGTCTTCGACAAATCCCGGGAGTCCGAAGCCCGGGACCTGGTAAAATTGGAAGGGGGCATGTGGAAATTGCATACTTACAAGCCCGAAGGGCATGTAAATTCTGAGGCCTAAGCCTCCGTATTATCAAATTTAATAATACTAATAACCATAAAATGTACTTAAAAGTCTGATTTTTCATCTAAAGTTGAGCACCAAATAAAATTTAACGATAGTTTATTCTACCGCGATTTCCAAGGAACTCTTTTGCAAAGGAGATACAAAAAGTATACACGTTGAAAATAATACGTGACTTCCAAGGAACTCTTTTGCAAAGGAGACAAAAAAAGTGTACAGGTTGAAAACAATATCAATGGCCAGACAATAGATCGATAAAAATGGATTTCGGATCATTTCTTTGGCATGAAAAGGAAAATAAGAATAAAATTACTTGATAAAATTCTGGGCATGTAAATATTTGTTCGGGCTAGCATAATAAGTGGTTAAACCTGCCCAAAGGGCATGTACTGAAAAAAAGATTTGGCGAAGACTGATGATATGAACAAACTAGAATCTACACTACCTAAGGAGTTCTGTATTAATATGACTAATAATGGCTTTGCTGTTCTTGAGAAGAAGGTTTTTTAAAAAGATTGCCTTTTTTCTGTGTAAATCTCTGATCATCTATTGTGGCCCCACCCTAGCCCAGGGGGTCATAGTTTGAAAAAAAAAAAATTGAATCTACACTATATAATGAAGTTTTCACATGTTTCACCTTTTCTGGCCCAGTAGTTCTTGAGAAGATTTTTTAAAAATGCCACCAAATTTTCATAAATTCTTAATTATCTCCCCTTGAAAGAGTGCATGGCAATTCAATCTTGAATCCAAGTTTGGTTGAAATTGGCCCACTGGTTCTGGAGAAGAAGACGGAATTGTAAAAAGTTTACTACAACAACAACGATAGACAACGGACAAATTTTGATCAGAAAAGCTCACTTGAGCCTTCGGCAATTACCTGCCTTAATTAAAAAAGACATACAGACCTACACACAATATTGAAAACATTGACATGATAGATAAATATAACAAAGTCTTACTGAAAGTCTTTCTTTGGCATGTGCATATCGGAATCGTTGAATGTAATAGAAGACAAGCCAAGCCAGGGAAATGATCATGAGAACCACAAAAGAGATTGAGACGAACATGACTGAGGTCTTGCTGATGTTGGTAGGGGTTGACGGATCTGTATTGGTGTTCACATTCTTTAAATGGCCCTCAAAAATCTGCACATTTACAACTTTGTGTTTTTTCAGGATATCCAGTAGCTCCTGTCCCTCTGGTTTGGTGACAAAGATAGCCAATATGTTACCTACAGAAAAAATAGGAATCATATACAAACCTTATTATCTCAAACTCAATAGGACTGAGAAAAATCCTACGAGATATTCAGGGATTAGAGGTAAAAAGGTTAAAATACATAAAGAAAAACTGATTGGGATTTCCATTTCACTTTGATATATCATGTTGATGTTCCAGATACCAAACTTTGATTGTAATTATTTGTTCTGTTATTTAATTAATAATTACATACAAGATATGAATTTGTGTTTTCTTAATTTTTAACAAATGGACATGTCATTTTGTAATAATTGACATTTGATAAGACCCCAATGCTCATTTAAATGAAAAATTTTACCACTTCTATGTGTATCATTGTATCATCTAGCAGGATTTTACTTGGATGATATGCCTACCACACATACATAAGAATGTAACTTTACATCTAGCTTAATGTTTTTAATTCAATATAATTTTCTTTGAACTTAAAAAAATTATGACTTGTTAGGCCAATACAATGCAAATACTTGATATACCCAACAAATCAGGCAAGATGAATATTGTCTTTTGAGGGTAACAAACAATACTGATCAAATACAAGAGGACCATTTGATGGGGGGGCGGGGGGGGGGGTGTCATTTCAAACCTGGGTTTGCATTCTATAAGTTTTCAACATAAATTTTCTTTAATCTGGACTAAGTCTAGATGTTTTTTTAGGAGAGTTTTTAGCACGTATAATGATATTACCCTATTTCATGTCATGGGGCATCATTCGAGAAAGCTTTCACACAAGTTTTGTCTTTTCTGGTCCAGTGGTTCTTAAGATTTTTAACTAACACCGCATTCTTTTCTCATCTCTGATGAGACTGTAGCTCTACTGGTGGGTACTTGGTGTATATTAATATAGTTTTCTTGTGTACCAAACAACCAATATACAGAATTACCGGTAGGTATCTTAGTAATAGAATACTTGCATGTGTACCAAGTCTTATTGAAATTGGGCAACAAACTGTAGGAGGAGAAGCATTTAGAAAGAATTTCACAGAAATTGTTATTTTTAGTAATCATGGCAACACCGTTTGTCAAAATCAAAACCATTAATTAAAATAGATATGTATCTTAGCATAATATACTTGTGTACCAAGTCTTACTGAAATTGGAGGAGTAGCATTTTGAAAAATTGTTTACAGACAGAAAGACAGGATGGATGATGGATACTTTACTATTGCATAAGATTTTCTGGTCTCTGACTAGTAGAGCTAAGAACATACATTGGACAAACTTTATCAGAAGATCCTACTTAAGCTTTGGCTCAATTGAGTTACAGAGTAAATATTTTTTTCTATCGCTCTACGGCTTTAAAGGCATTTTTTCTTGACTTCATTCTCTAAAGAAACAGATAATACTACTTGAAGTGGCAATTAATACATGTATTATAATGTGTTGTCATAATTTATGTCAACCATCAAACAAGATCAACAAAACATGTAGGTCATTCAGCAGCATCAGGGCTTGACTCACACTTTTTGGGCATGAGGCCAGGGCCGTAAAGATTAGGAAAAAAGTGCCCTTTTCGGAAATCTTGGGATAACCATTATACTTTAAAATCATGATTTATTGGGTTTCTGGTCTTTGTTATCAGCTAAATTTTTGTTCTACAATACAGGGGAATATGAATAACAAGTTACTATATATCCAATTATATTTTCTCTAAATAGTAATTTTGGGAGAAATGACTATTAATTTTGGGAGAAATGATGAAATGAGAAATTATTGGGAAAATTAACCAGCGTTTATTTCCTTATATAACTAGTAACGATAAATTGCACCATTTCGAATGCCCCCCCCCCCCCCCCCCCAAGTTAATTTTTCCAAATTTTGAGCCTAAAAATTCCCAATTCAACTGCTGAGAAACAGACTTTGATGACATTGTATTATCCTAAATGTTTTACTCCCTCTTAAAACGAAAGTAGAAATCATGGCGGGCTGCTTAGTGATGGTAGTCATGTTAACTTAGTGTCTTACATTCTCAACAACTTGAAAGCAAGACAAAGTGAGAACAAGGGACATTCATATACTAGTATATAAAACAATGAATGCTTGTTGATTATTCTTTAAAGCATGTATTAATGGGTATAGAGGTTAGAATTAAAGCAAAATAAATTTCATTTGTTAACATGACAGAAAATTCCCTTTTGTTCTATTTCGGCGCTATTTTTCTCAATACGAAAGTTTTGAAATTGTAACTCTCCAATGATAGAGGCGCAAAGAGTATCCATATCTGCAGGTTCATGAGGTTGTTATGTACACAAACTTGCATAAAAAATGAGCAATGTCTAGGGCTTTTAAAATTCATTAAATGTTACAGAAAGATGAAATTGTCAAGCAGTGATGATTTTGATGAATTTATTGAGCTCTATACATGTACAAAATCTAGTTCAAATTAGGATGCTTGAAATCAAAAGAACCATCATAGTCTCTGTGAAACAGACACTTCACTGATTGTACAAACCTCTTCAAAAAAAGTTCGTGGGCTCTTTGAAATTATAATAAGGGTAAAAGTCGTTGTGTCATTCAGAATGCCGAATGATCAGAAGCCTGTGTATTATTGGAGATCCATGTCTCTCCCCTCATCTGTGAAGTCTTATATCTGCTGATATTTTCTTTGTTCTGTTTTTTTTTGTCTTGGTAGAAAAAAAATGACACCCATAGAAAAATTCAGTAATTTTTTAATTGAAGAGTGTACCCCTAAAATCATTTGTGATAGATCGGCATATCAATGTTGTAATGTATCCAGTATAAATAACTGTCCCACCTGTCTGTTGATGGGAAAACAAAACTCCCCTCCGTAACGAAAGAGCGCACCAAGGGAAATAATCTTGAAACTTGCATATTGAATCGGAACCGAACCGATCCAAATGGGTAGAAAAAATCACTGTTAATACATTTTGAATTGTGAATGGGGCCCTTGAATGGCCTCAATTACAGACAATTGAGAGCCCTGAGTTTATGCAGGTCAATATGATATTGGGATTTTTTTTTTTACTCAGATAACATGGATAAATTTGTTTAAAATTCTTCTCAAATAATGTTGTTTCAACATTTTTTTTTTTACTACCTTACTATTTGAACATGTATGTACTATATAACCTTTGTTATTAGGCCAAACAAAAAAATATGTGTGGTTCCGGTTACACTTCAACAAAAATTAGGGTAGAGAGGTAGGGAATTTTTTTTTTTTTTTTTTTTTTTTTTTTTTATAACCAGTCAGGGGTGAGACTGAAATCCGTCATTTCTGAAAAATGATGGATAATCGTCATATTTACTAACTACGTATTTTCGTCATTTTTGTCAATATGACTTACTATCGTCATATTTTCTTTTTCAACTTAATTCTTCTATCCTTGTTACATAAAAGCGAAATTTGAATTCACCGCTGAAAGAAGAGTGTTTACGCAAGTTTCATTTCATCCGGGTCACTAATTACTGCCGACCACGTGCGATAGAAGATCAACATGGAAGGTGAAAGTTATTATTTAGCGGTAAAATGTCGAATTTTGGTAGAACTAATTCGCCATTTTTACATGGCTTTTAAACCTATAAAAACATATAGTACACCGTCTGGAAGAATACGTACTTGTAGAGAAAAGTCTTGACAAAAAGTTAAAGCCATAAAAAAGTAGTGCGCCCCGTAAAACAAGCGAGATATTTCAGTGCGCCCAGACCCTCCATTTTGAAAAAAGACGGCATATCATCATTTTCGTCTTCTTTCCTATTTAATGCAAATAAATTGACAAATAACTCTTCCACTCTTATTTTTGCTTGGGAAATTTGTACTGTCGACATAACCAGTATTGTAGTCAACTGTATTAGAGAAATGAAGTTTGTTTACGATGTTTTTTGTCCTTTTTTCGGTTGGTGGATCTAACATTTTTCAAAGAGAGGTAACTCGGTATTCTAGAAACACTCTAAATTTTTATGACTGTTTTTCGTCATTTTCTTAAAAATGACGAGTTTAAGTCATAATAAAAATTTTATTTTATGACTAAAAATCGTCATTTTAAAAATGACGGATTTCAGTATCACCCCTGACTGATAACAAAATGATTTTCTTAATTTTTTCTTTAGAAATAATACCTATCACTGCTTTGCAAATGGCATTTAGATGTGGTGTGATAATATACTAGTCAATATTGGTAGGGGACACCTACATGCTAGTTTGCTTTGGATTTAACACTATTAAACTATGTTTTGCAAGGAGGCCACCATTGCTGAAACTAAAACTTAAGGACGTTCGATCCTGGGTTTTTGAGCGGATTTTGGTCCTGTCCCTTATTTATAAACTTCTGCGTCATTTTTAATTTCTAACATTAAATCTGAATTCTACAATGCAAATTGAACTATATTCAATGAAAAAAAAAACGCGATTAAATTTCATTCAAGTAGAGTTAAGCTTGGAACTATATTTTGTGGCGGAAGGTTTTCTAGAAGAAAATGATCAGTTTTTTCCCTTTTGAACTATAACAGTACTGCTAATTTTAGATTCCTATTTTCCATGCTGGTTGCACACAAAGCTGTTTTTTGCAGTGAAATGTGTTATGTTGGTTCTGAAATATCTATTAAATTATTTTTATGCATTCTTTCAACGAAGTGTGACAAATATAGTAAATATATTCTGAAAATCCTGGAAAAAATTGAGCCAATTTTAACGTAAAATTGACACTTTTTTAGTAATATCTGAAAATTTACATCATATACCCCCACTTTTGGTGTTCTTTTCTAAATATTTAAGTTAACTTTGACCTATTTGCTTAAATTCAGAAAAAGTTTAAGACTTTAAAATAATTTTCTTGCTTATTCAATTTTCAATACCAGAAAAATTACAATTTCTTAGTGCAGAAAGGTCAAATAATTGATTATGCGAATCAATTTGAAACATTTTCATAGTCACAATTTTAAAGCGTCTTTTTCTAAATAGACTTTGAGTTCATTTTGTTTCATGCTTTAATTGGACAAAAATATTGGAGGGAAAACGTGAAAGATGTAATTTTCAATTAAGACACAAATTATAGTGCAAAAAGGTCATATTAAATGTACTGTAGCGCCAAAAGAAGCACATTGACCCCCATTTTTTGTCTTAAATTTTAATTTAGCTAGATATGTAGAAACTAAAAATATACTTGGCAAAAAAAGTTTAAGACTTTAAATATCAGGATCGAACGTCGTTAAACTGGAGCCATTGATGGAAATCGGGGAAAATTCCGGAAAAAATATGAAAATTGCCAAAAAAAAGTTTAGGGTCGGGGGTATAAAATAGGGAAGGTCGGGTAACCGGAACCACACATATTTTTTTATTTGGCCTTATCATCCCATGGAGAAATTCAGTCAGAGGGTCAGGTTCTGTTGACCTATTTTTTATTTATCAACATCCAATCAAAGGATATCATGATGATCTATTTGATTGCATAAAAAGATAAGAAGTTATGTTTATTAACAAAATTAAGATATTTGCAAAAAAAAAAAAATGCATTTCAACACCTAACAGTTTGCTTGCTTTGTATCTATATATTTTTTTCTTTCGTTTCCTAAAAAATCATATCATTATATATGAGACAAATGCATAACTCATTAACATGATTAAACTTCATTTTCAGAAATATCCATAAATGTGTTGAAAACACATTTCAAATCAAGACATATTAAAATTTCAAATTATTATACTTTGATATTATATATAACATGTATAAGACCCTCTATCAGTCGTTTACAAAGATGGGGTCTGATCAGCTTGAGAATATATTTCATTTTATCCCAAGTTTACCCCTTTATCCCGTGGATATGACTCATTGGATAAATTTTTCATAATCCACAGTTAAGTGCAGTTGTGACGTCACAATGGTTTTTGCATTAGCGTGATGAAGTAACATAAAGTGGAGTCCTATATAAAACAGTGTAAAACATTGGTTGTGAAGTATTAAACAAGGGATAAAAAGAATCTCCCATGATTTGTAGTTGGATATGAGTTTTATCCAACTCGTTGCGTGTTTTTATCCCCTCGCCAAGGCTCGGGGATAAAAAACACACAACTCGGATAAAAATCATATCCAACTACAAATCATGGGAGATCCTATATATATTTCTTTTCATTTGTACCTTATTAGGGTGACTTTCTGCAAAAAAATTATTATTCAATTATGCAATCACTGCTCTATAATTATTGTTTTGAGTTGGCCACTTTGAGTTTACAAAATGTTATTTTAATACTTAAAGAAACAAATTGTGATTAGAAAGTTTGATTAGCTTCACATTTCAGAACAGAGAGACACAATGCAATGAAAAAAACATCAAATGTGAAATGTCATGGTATGTATCATGATACAGTATCAGGTTATGATACACTTAAGCCATATCATTTCACCCCCTACTGGATATGTTTTCATCACTGAGCCTTTGACAAGGGGATAGAACAAGTATTTACCCTTTAACAGTGCCATAAGCAGAATTAGATAGTGATATTTTTAGCAATATATATAAATATATATATATATATATATATATATATATATATATATATATATATATATATATATATATATATATATATGTAATATATAGAGTACCTTTTAACGAGTGTATCTTCAGATATTGGATGAGGGGGCTTGCCCCCCGAGTCCGATATCTGAAGATGCACGAGTTAAAAGGTACTCTATATGTTTGGTATCATTGTTCTCAGGTATTGAGCTACCCATGATCTATCAAATTCATGTTAATAGCACTTAATTCAACTACATTTTCTCATGCACTGAATTAGCCATGATCTATCAAAATTTCATCATACCATTTTATATAACCAATGAAAAAAGAGCACGTGATTCGAAAAGTATTGCGCACTGTACTTCTTGAACTTTCTACCTCGTCCATTCATATTCTGAACGCCATGGATGAGGGCTGTGATTTTATGCTTTCGCAGTTCTTATAGACATGGAAACCGAAATTATGAAGGAAAATTCCTTAGATCAGTTAGGAAACCAGATGCAGGTTGAAGATTCTTTGGGAAGTATGACGTTTGATCTACGGAACTAAAAATTGAACCTATTATTATGGATTTCGATATAGGAGATATTTTAGACATGATGGAGACCGAGTTGAGTGCGTTAATTTCACCAGTCTCGAGGTCGACACGAAGACGAAAAATGAAAGGTTTGTACAAGTGTCCGATCATGAAATTCAGCGTTTGATAGACTCTCAAAAAATATCCTCGTAACGTTCAAGCTAAGGAGTGGCGTGCGGCACAGGAAAATGTCCACTTTTGACCGAGATGAACAGCGATTCTCTAAATTACTAGATTTATTATTTGTGTTGGAATTAAAAACAAGGAATATCCACCTCGCTTCCTGTACTACATTGTGTGTGGTTTGTTATGCTTCAAGTTTATGAGAGATGAAAACATTCATGTATAAAAATGTGCTTGTGTGAATATCGGTATGGATTTTAAAAAATTGACGTGCAGAATTTAGAATTTATGTAGACATAAGGAAAGGTATACCTTCACTATGTTTATAATTATGTGCTTGTATTTTGCTCATAAAGTCATCTACTTTGTTTATATTCTTTTTCTTTATCAATGTAAGGTCAGGGGTCATTGGAATTGTTGCATCATTACCCTGGTGTGTTCTATCTTGATAGAGCATGGTTGTTTGAGCACAGTTAGTCATGGTGTATCAAAAATAAAAACACAGTGGACATCAAAGGAAAAACACCGCAGCAATGATACAAATAAGAAAATGATACAATAAGTATGGCATTACCTTTCAAGTTATATGTCGAGTAGTCTCTAGTAGACTTGGGTTCCTCGTTGTCATATATGATAACTGCTGATGCATTTGCTTTCCAACATGTCTGAACTTTCTGTGGCAGAGTGCATATCCCTCTCTGAACCAAGGCCACCCATCGCATATTATTGGGGGCATTTGTTATTGTTTTACATGCATCTGTTTTATTATCCACTGTACGTACATGCACCAAAAGCCCAGGCGCTGTGTGTACCCGTGAAGTTGCATCGTTTCCGAACACCCCCATCTCCAACACAGACGATTTACTGTTCCTTATATCATCGTAATAAGTAACATTGACTTTAGCTGTATATATGGCGTTTTCACAACTTACAAAAATCACATTCTGTAAAATTAACATACTGCACAAGAACACATAATATGTAAGTGGAAAGTGCGACCTCCATCTTGAAATACTAATCCGACAGTTCTGACGAGATTTCTGGTCCAATTTTGTCCTTTCTGTCATCTCAGCGTCACACTCTGGATACATTTTTAGAAATCTTATCATCCAAAAATTCAATTCTTAATAAATAACGCCATTTATATGAGAAAACATTTGTAAATTCATGAAAACATACAACCTTCCCCGTCACGCATTACATTAACATTGTTTTGATGAGTGACGTAAATAGTCATGTGACCGTCTAGAAAAGAGCGCCACCTATAAACAGGGAATTTATGAATGAGATGAACAGAGCTATACAAGAACTTTAAATTTAACTCCATTCTGTTGATCGCATTTTGATCTATTTTAGCGTCATTTTCCATAATAGCCCCGTTCATATGCACCTATTTACACACTGTATACAAATTCAAAATGTACGCAAATTTTGCACCAGGGTGTAGTACATAAGCACTTGAAAAGGAAGAGTCTATTACTTAACCAGTCAGGCAGTTCGGAAAAACAAATTCCGGTATGACTCTAGATTATGTAATTGGAGAGGGAAGGCCTAACCCGATTGAATTGAATGACCTAATAGTTTATGTGTTTTTCATATAGATGTTGTAAAATCCTTTTTAGTCTAGGTATCATTAAGTCAGGCAATTATTTGAACTTAGGTAAGGAAACTGCTTATATAATTTTAAAAAAGCACAAATATAAATTAATGGAATGGAATTAAGAATATTAAAGAATGGATTAAAATAGCTAAAAAAAAAAAAAAACCCTGTCCGCATCCACCAATCAACAAAGGAATCTAAAAATTAAAAAATAACAATAACCCCAATCTCACCCCCTAAAAAATAACAAAGGCAGTTTAGAACTTGGTTATCAATTTCAAGCAGGTATATAAGGGAGTCCATTTGTTTCTTTCTGGCACGTTCTATCATCTTTGAAAAAAAAACGAGGGGAGGAGGGGAAGAAAACAAAGGCAACTTGCTTAAAATAACTTTGACAAACCAACAAAAGAAAAAAAGAAGAGGGGGGGGGGCAAACTCGAAAATCTTTTGTTGTGGGGGGGGGGGGGGTTAAGGTTAAGACTTCTTTCACAGCAAAATAATGTTTATACTTATTCATACACATTTGCCTAGTTTGCCTATACTGCCAAAAAAAAGTGGTGGGCTAGGCAGCTTTTCAACGAACATTTTAAACAGTAAAAGGATGTGTCCCCTCCCCGCCCCGTGATATACTACGACCCTGTACATGTATTTATTAAGGAAACGGAACAAAAATACTAGTACATCTGATTTACACATGAAATAAACATAAAATATAAGTGAAAGTAACGGTTAAGCAGAACATAAACGGTCACTTTCATAGCTATCCCAGGTTGGTTAAATCCTTATCCAGTCTGGAAGGAATAAAAACCATTTGCTAAGAACATAATCCGCTCAGGTAGAAACATTATCAAGTAACTTTTAAAACCTAAAACTGAACCTAAAACATTCAGTTTGAAACCTTACCAAGTCGGGCAGAAATTATGAATAAGGCAAATTAGAAACCTAATCCACTCATGCAGGAACTGCAAATAGTCAGTTTAGAATGTAACCCAGTCAGGCAGAAACATGAACAAGTCAGTGAAGAACCTAACCCAGTAAGGCAGAATCATAAACAGTCAGTTAAGAACCTAGGCAGGAACATAGAACTGTCAGATTAGAACCTAACCCAGTCAGGCAGAAACCTAACCCACTCAGGCAGACTTATAAAACAGTCAGTTAAAAACCTAACTCAGTCAGGCAGAAACCAAACCCACTCAGGCAGAGTCATACAACAGTCAGTTTAGAACCTAACCACTCAGGCAGAATCATAAAACAGTCAGTTTAGAACCTAACTCAGTCAGGCAGAAACCAAACCCAGTCAGGCAGAGTCATAAAACAGTCAGTTTAGAACCTAACCACTCAGGCAGAATCATAAAACAGTCAGTTTAGAACCTAACCACTCAGGCAGAAACCTTACCCACTTAGGCAGAGTCATAAAACAGTCAGTTTAGAACCTAACCACTCAGGCAGAAACCTTACCCACTCAGGCAGAGTCATAATACAGTCAGTTTAGAACCTAACCACTCAGGCAGAAACCTTACCCAGTCAGGCAGAGTCATAAAACAGTCAGTTTAGAACCTAACCACTCAGGCAGAATCATAAAACAGTCAATTTAGAACCTAACCCAGTCAGGCAGAAACCTAACCCAGTCAGGCAGAATCATAAAACAGTCAGTTTAGAACCTAACCACTCAGGTAGAAACCTCACCCACTCAGGCAGGGTCATAAAACAGTCAGTTTAGAACCTAACCACTCAGGCAGAATCATAAAACAGTCAATTTAGAACCTAACCCAGTCAGGCAGAAACCTAACCCAGTCAGGCAGAATCATAAAACAGTCAGTTTAGAACCTAACCACTCAGGTAGAAACCTCACCCACTCAGGCAGGGTCATAAAACAGTCAGTTTAGAACCTAACCACTCAGGCAGAATCATAAAACAGTCAATTTAGAACCTAACCCAGTCAGGCAGAAACCTATCCCAGTCAGGCAGAATCATAAAACAGTCAGTTTAGAACCTAACCACTCAGGCAGAAACCTTATCCACTCAGGCAGAGTCATAATACAGTCAGTTTAGAACCTAACCACTCAGGCAGAAACCTTACCCAGTCAGGCAGAGTCATAAAACAGTCAGTTTAGAATCTAACCACTCAGGCAGAATCATAAAACAGTCAGTTTAGAACCTAACCACTCAGGCAGAAACCAAACCCACTCAGGCAGAGTCATACAACAGTCAGTTTAGAACCTAACCACTCAGGCAGAATCATAAAACAGTCAGTTTAGAACCTAACCACTCAGGCAAAAACCTTATCCACTCAGGCAGAGTCATAAAACAGTCAGTTTAGAACCTAACCACTCAGGCAGAATCATAAAACAGTCAGTTTAGAACCTAACCACTCAGGCAGAAACCTAACCCAGTCAGACAGAATCATAAAGCAGTCAGTTTAGAACCTAACCACTCAGGCAGAATCATAAAACAGTCAACTTAGAACCTAACCCAGTCAGGCAGAAACCTATCCCAGTCAGGCAGAATCATAAAACAGTCAATTTAGAACCTAACCACTCAGGCAGAAACCTTACCCACTCAGGCAGAGTCATAAAACAGTCAGTTTAGAACCTAACCACTCAGGCAGAATCATAAAACAGTCAGGTTAGAACCTAACCCAGTCAGGCAGAAACCAAACCCACTCAGGCAGAGTCATAAAACAGTTAGTTTAGAACCTAACCACTCAGGCAGAATCATAAAACAGTCAATTTAGAACCTAACCCAGTAAAGCAGAAACCTAACCCAGTCAGGCAGAATCATAAAACAGTCAGTTTAGAACCTAACCACTCAGGTAGAAACCTTCCCCACTCAGGCAGGGTCATAAAACAGTCAGTTTAGAACCTAACCACTCAGGCAGAATCATAAAACAGTCAATTTAGAACCTAACCCAGTCAGGCAGAAACCTAACCCAGTCAGACAGAATCATAAAACAGTCAGTTTAGAACCTAACCACTCAGGCAGAAACCTTATCCACTTAGGCAGGGTCATAAAACAGTCAGTTTAGAACCTAACCACTCAGGCAGAATCATAAAACAGTCAATTTAGAACCTAACCCAGTCAGGCAGAAACCTAACCCAGTCAGGCAGAATCATAAAACAGTCAGTTTAGAACCTAACCACTCAGGTAGAAACCTCACCCACTCAGGCAGGGTCATAAAACAGTCAGTTTAGAACCTAACCACTCAAGCAGAAACCTTACCCACTCAGGCAGAGTCATAAGACAGTCAGTTTAGAACCTAACCACTCAGGCAGAAACCTTACCCAGTCAGGCAGAGTCATAAAACAGTCAGTTTAGAACCTAACCACTCAGGCAGAAACCTTACCCACTCAGGCAGGGTCATAAAACAGTCAGTTTAGAACCTAACCACTCAGGCAGAATCATAAAACAGTCAATTTAGAACCTAACCCAGTCAGGCAGAAACCTATCCCAGTCAGGCAGAATCATAAAACAGTCAGTTTAGAACCTAACCACTCAAGCAGAAACCTTACCCACTCAGGCAGAGTCATAATACAGCCAGTTTAGAACCTAACCACTCAGGCAGAAACCTTACCCAGTCAGGCAGAGTCATAAAACAGTCAGTTTAGAACCTAACCACTCAGGCAGAAACCTTACCCACTCAGGCAGAGTCATAAAACAGTCAGTTTAGAACCTAACCACTCAGGCAGAATCATAAAACAGTCAATTTAGAACCTAACCCAGTCAGGCAGAAACCTATCCCAGTCAGGCAGAATCATAAAACAGTCAGTTTAGAACCTAACCACTCAGGCAGAAACCTTACCCACTCAGGCAGAGTCATAAAACAGTCAGTTTAGAACCTAACCACTCAGGCAGAAACCTTACCCAGTCAGGCAGAGTCATAAAACAGTCAGTTTAGAACCTAACCACTCAGGCAGAATCATAAAACAGTCAATTTAGAACCTAACCCAGTCAGGCAGAAACCTAACCCAGTCAGGCAGAATCATAAAACAGTCAGTTTAGAACCTAACCACTCAGGTAGAAACCTCACCCACTCAGGCAGGGTCATAAAACAGTCAGTTTAGAACCTAACCACTCAGGCAGAATCATAAAACAGTCAATTTAGAACCTAACCCAGTCAGGCAGAAACCTAACCCAGTCAGGCAGAATCATAAAACAGTCAGTTTAGAACCTAACCACTCAAGCAGAAACCTTACCCACTCAGGCAGAGTCATAATACAGTCAGTTTAGAACCTAACCACTCAGGCAGAAACCTTACCCAGTCAGGCAGAGTCATAAAACAGTCAGTTTAGAACCTAACCACTCAGGCAGAATCATAAAACAGTCAATTTAGAACCTAACCCAGTCAGGCAGAAACCTAACCCAGTCAGGCAGAATCATAAAACAGTCAGTTTAGAACCTAACCACTCAGGTAGAAACCTCACCCACTCAGGCAGGGTCATAAAACAGTCAGTTTAGAACCTAACCACTCAGGCAGAATCATAAAACAGTCAATTTAGAACCTAACCCAGTCAGGCAGAAACCTATCCCAGTCAGGCAGAATCATAAAACAGTCAGTTTAGAACCTAACCACTCAGGCAGAAACCTTATCCACTCAGGCAGAGTCATAATACAGTCAGATTAGAA